CATACTACATTTTCCCTCATGATCGTCTTCTCGAATGCACTCATGCGTGCCCGCATGATATCCATCTTCGATATTCGGTGCGATAATATATCGGATGTAGAAGAACTGCTATGCATCCTTTAGGATCTAGACTTCGATATCATCTCATCAAGATTCGCTCGCGGAGTCGCGATCGGTCGATCGGTCGCGGTTATGACGATAACGTAACTTTTGATACTCACATGTTACAGGCATGTAAACAGTTTTGGTATTCCGTCAACGTCAGCACTGATTGGTAACCAGCTTCCTCTCATTTGCTTCTTCGGCGTAAACAGTGTGGGCGGCCGGTGTTGAGCGGCGGGGCGGTATGACCCCCCAGTTACAAGCACTATCAATAGTGCGATCAATACTGGAAGAATTTCGGTTAGTTCTCCCCCCCCCCCCTAACCATTCATACTGAAATTCTTCCCGGTGTGAGGGGAGAATACATCTTACCCCACGATATTAATCACAACAAGTACCGCCAGGGTACTATTGGAGCCAGAAGCCGATTGTCGATCTATGGAAAGGGTTTATCGCTACCTCCTAGGTGGCGTGCGAGTAAGTACTTGATACCGCCGCCGCTCCCCAGCGCCCCCGCATGATTGCGATCCTGGAGGGGAACTTGCCGCGCGCGTCCCTGTGTCAACACTCAGGAAGTTTCATTCCACGACCTAGACTGGGCCGTACGTACGTACTGCCAATTCCACATGAGAAGCGACGCCCCCCCAGGCCAGGGTCATCGATGTGATCGAGTTGGCAGCCGCCCTCATCATATGGTCATCTGCACTGACTGGCTTGCTTGCTTGCGGCCGCCTACACTTGACGATCTTTTTTTTCTTTCGTATCTGTATCCCTCTCCACCTCTGTGCCTATGGTTTGTTCCCTTTGCTCATGCAAGTGGCGGTCTCGGTTCTAGCCGACGTCATGATAAACGCCCCTGGGCTTGGGGGCAAGGCGAGTGGCTTTACCTGCTCCACACACACACGCACACGCGTCTCAACAACCCAGGGCTTGAGGGGTAACATATGAGCAAAATATCTTCGGAAGTCCCGAAGACACGAGCTCCACTGGTTGGTAGTACTACTAGCAGACGAAAGCACGGGTCATGTACTACTACGAGAGAGCGTTGCATAAGATAAGACGATCTATATTCGTAGATCGGAGAATAGTGCTCTCAATTCAACGATTGGAGGATCTATGTCTCCTGGACAAGATCAAGCTTGAATGCTGTGCAATCTCCCTCCCCCCCTTTCCCGCGTTACAGAAGCACAGAAGCCAAATCGATCTAGAGTCCAAGACTGTTTTTTTGGGCCGCCACCACGGTTCTGTTCCAGTGCTCAGCTTTTCATCCGGGGGAAATCCGGATAACTAGCGGTCTCGGTTCTAGCCGTTGTCGTTTGCAAGGGGGGCTACATTGGCTTCTCACATCCAACTCGAACGGGAATTCCCGCAGAGAAGGTCATCGAAAGAGATGCAAGCAGTCAATTTGGAACGCATGTGCCCGTACCCATGCATTGCATGTGGGAGGGGGAAGATCCGAGAATCTTGTGTGTGAAAAATATTATTGGTGCGCCTTCCTTTGAGATATTAAAGACAAAGAACGCTTAGTGATGAGCTATGTACATGAATATGGGCATGTGTGGCATTTTTTGTTGCCTTTGATCCGGTGAAATTCCTTGCTCGTTTGCGGTGGGGAACAACTCGATCTTATGCTTGTGTACGTGACCTTTAGGGGGTCGATCGAATGACGAAGCATGCATGCATGCATGCATGGTCGCATGACGCCTAACGTCTGCTCTAATTTTCTTGGTCCGTTGGCGCTCCTTATGTTATGCCGTGGACAGGTTCCATGGGGTGCCTTTTCTGAGCTCCTGACAATACTCAATATTTCCAAGCCATTCAACAGAAACGGAAAAAGCACGCCATTTTTTGCTCATCTTTGGCAATTTCCTATTACATATGGTTGTGGACCTATTTTACATATGTTCACCCATAACATAGGGGGGAGGTAAGCAATCCATCGATAGGAATCTTGAATTTCCTGTTGTATGTGAATCAAATCATATGGCTAGGGATCGAAGCCCGGCTATGTAATTGAATCGCGCGTTGTGCCTGGCGACGTCGACTTGGTTGCGGAAAATTCAAAATGACCATCGAGTTCACAAACGCTCGCTGCCCAACTTGTGGCATTACATACATGCAATAATGATTGGCACAGCTCTTTGCCGGGCGGCTAAATTTGGCCCAGGACATATACATATACAAGTTTGCGCAATATGTAACGCAAACTTGTTTCGATGAGCCCGTTGTATCGATTTTCCAGCGCCGGTTCATCGATCAATTGCAGACTTTTTGTCGAGCGTTTGATGGTTATACATTCATCATATGTAACTGCAAGGCACCAACTATTAGCCATGCGTGCGTGCACACGTGTGCAGGCGAAAACCCCGTTTCTTTCTTTGGAGCGTGAGCGCACGCTGCCCCCCCCCTCGAAACAAATACATAGGTCCATCGCCGCCGCCCTCGCTCAAAGGGGGGACCTTCGAATAAATTTGGTCGTTGCTCTGTGACTAAATAATTCATCGGTGGCATATATTCCCTCTCGAATAATGAAATTTCATACCTGATTGCAGCATATTTCCTCAAGGGTCGTTATGTAAGGCTACCGCGTGCAAAAATGTCGCGATGATAGCCGTGCTTCTGCCTGGGATGAGTGATTAGAAGTCCGATGCAAGCAGATGCAAGTTATATTATGCTGCTTCCGTGTCCTCGATTGCCAGGAAGTCGCCTAGAGAGATTCGAGCCTAGAGCGCAACAACACATTCTAGACCAAAAGACTAGAAGACAGGGATTCAGATCTCCGTTCCCACTCCAATCTAGAAACCCCGCCGACGGACAGCAACTTTGGGAGGGAAAGGAACATCCTGTTCCTTTCCCAATTGGCACAAAAAAAAAAAACCCTTCTTGTGGTAACACACAGGTTTTTGCGCGCTAGTGATGACATTCAGCATTAACAGGTGGCCTAGTCCCCACCGCGCGCTCACGGCCAGGCCCTGTGAAGGGTCGCCTCGGGATTTGTAGGAGAGTGTGAAAAGCTTGGTATGAATAGGTGAGTTTTTTTTCCTTTGGTCCCCATTTCAAATCCTGGCATAACGGTGAGCGGCCCCGATTCATTCATGCATGGGACCCAGGTCATTTCTTTCCACACTCCATATCCCCAGTCAAGCATGGCATCCAACCCAGAGCGCAAATTGCCACTCGGGCGGATTGAGGACAATCGCCACGAAGGCCCCTTTTTACTTTCAGGTCCCAGAATGAAATTGAAATTTCATCAGGCTCCGACTTGTGCCAGGCCGAACCGCCTCATTCCGACGTATTCTCGGATTCTCGGTGCCTTGTCTCAGGATATGAAATTCCCGTTTCTGGCTTTGTGTCGATACTTTGCTGTTTTCCCCCCTAGCTTGTGGGTTGCGCACTTATCGCCCTTGGGCAATGTGGCGGGCGAGGCTCTGTGGAATGATTAATTTGCAGCAGCACAATATCCGATCCTGCTTCTGGATGAGCAGTATCAAGTTTTGCGTACACCTCGCTCCCCCCTGGTCTAGTCACAGATGGATTGATCGTGAACCCCTTCCGCCTTCAGCTACACAATCTCCAGCCAGGGTTTAACGGCTCCGACGAAAGCCAATATCCACCTCTCAATCGCGTGTTTCATTTCGTTCGCTGGGCCCGCCACCTGGCCCCATGACCCTTGTCACCTGCGCCAGGCACGGAAGATCTAGTTGTCAGCATTGGTGCTGGTAACCGGGATTAGCCCACCTGAATGGGGCTGGGGGGTTGGTTCTCGCCATAGAAGAGTCTGGATATGATGAACGATTTGGTCACGCTAGAATTCGTGCCTCTCCAGGAGAGGCGGACTTTTTTTCACTGGCACTCCGTTTATCGCCTTTTGGCCTTGCTTCTCTTCTCAAGGTTGTTGGCGCAACAATCCTGGATTGCGCGTCCGGGCCCTGTGACCCGACATCAGCACAATCCTCAGATCGATGGTGCCTTGATCTCAACGATACCAATTCCCGACTCCATTAAGCTGGAAAAGGCAAATTCATAGTCTTTTTTTTTTGGTATTCGCTCACATATTTCTAATTCATCCAATCACAGGACGCATTCCCCTGGCCAATTTGGGCGGATTTCACAAGCACAATATGACGCCCGCGCTTCATTTGGCTGATCAACACTTGCTCGCCGGGAATTTGTTCCAGCGTTAATTTCAAAGTCCACGTTCCGAAACAGCGCCTTCAACCTCGTTTTAGTCTGATGGACCGCAAATGCCCCTTTTCAGGGAGTAGCCACCAATGCCCGTTCATAAAGTTGATCCAGGCAGCTTCATTTTGTTTCTATGCAAGAGTCGAACCCCGTTTGGGGGATTGATGAGTGGCCCCAGGTTGGAATGACTATTTCACTAACTTTACTCTCTAGGATGGCAGCGGCAGTGCAGCCTCTGTAATTCTTTCGGATAGCTACACAACTCGTTCTTGCATGAACAGTGTATAGGTGGTGTTCAGGATAGTATTAAGTAAGGTACAAGCAATGATAGGGCAAGAAGTTGCTGGAAATACCGTTTCTTCTTTTTTTCTCCAATTCCTCTTGAAGATTTTCTTCCTTCTCCGAATAAATTCATGTTCCTGGCTTATCGCTGCCGGATAAAGGCATGTCCTTACAAAAAGTCCGCCACTTGGAAATTGCTGCACTTGCAAACTGGCTTCGGATATTCCCACAAAGGCTTGGCGCCACAGTTGCTTAAGCACTACACAAAGCACCTATCATATACTCTTAGTCCGCAAACTCATGACGCGGGCAACACAGGCCGGCAGAAGAAGCATTCCACGTGTGAACGGATCGAGCATGTATTTGTCTTGGGTGCACATAGCGAACTTACTCTGTGGCCACGTGGGTTCACTCTTTGCTTCAAGTATGTGTGCCAGGCAGTAAACCAATGATATTGTTTGAGCCTCATTTACGAAACCCCTCTTCCAGCATCTCTTAAGACAGGCTGAGTTCACAGGGGGGAATGTGCCCAGTAATTGGTCTAACTCCGAAAACTAAGGTCGATCTAGCAAGCATAAGGTACAACTGATACAAATGGCAATAAAGAGTGAGAAATACAGGCAATGGAAGGCGCTAGAAGCAATGAATCCGTTGTTCAAAAGGAACAAAGAAGAAACTGTCTCAAAAATATAGAAAGAATTGAGATAGTATTGGGAAACGATCGAACCGCAGAAGACGTCGTCAAAGTTGATGGGGATATGAAAAACACGCGCGACGTTAAACGATGCAGTGGGTGCAATGTCCAATAGAGTGCTTCAGGTGGGACACTCGTATGATCGGTGGCCAAGCAATTACTGCGCTCGCCCCCCCCGGTCCAACTGAGACAGCAGGGTGTTGCCAACACTTGCACTACATCGCTCGGCGTAGGACGACCGCTACTAACAGCGCCGCGAGTGCCATGATAACAGCATCGAGAGCAAGGGGAACATCTCGCGGGGTCATACCTTGATCATGAGGATCATTGGTGCGGGACAGCGGGGAATTGTGACCCCCGACAGGGGAACGCTCGCTACGGGGAGGAAGAATGCGACTGGCGGGTGTTGAAGGAGTGAGATCAAGAGGACGCGAGATGGTTGAAGGTGCTTGAATGGCGATTGAACTCGGTGGAGGGGAAACTGGTCGTTGTTCAGGGATAGACGGAGGTTTTGTGATGGCGACGGGAACGAGAGCGACAGCCCCGCCTTGTTCCTCGACACTTGCTTCCTTTGTAAACTGCAGGGCTGGTGTTTCCGGAGTCGCTGCTTCTGTGGCCAGCTTGGCCGGCGGTAGCTCCTCCTTATCCAGAGCCGTTTCCGGTATTGGCGTGCATGTGTCAGCCTTCTCAATCAACTCTCCGGAAGCTTGGCCTGAGGCACTTGACGTTTCGATTGGTGGAGAATCCTGAAGGGCTTCGGCATTTGACTGCTTGCACTGGGAACATACCTATGATACGAAATTTTAGAAAATAAATAGGGGCATAGAGGCGAACTATACTTTACCCAGTGTCGAGAGCTGCAAAGTTGGATGTGAGTTGGTGATTTTATTCTATTCTGTGAACAAAGGCAACTCACAGGGTAGCTAATCGCTTCCTCTCAGGCACTGGTACCTCGATGCCTCCAACGCCACTAGCATCTTCTCCTTTCAGTGGGAAGAAGGACTGAAGACCTATGATGGCTGGGATGTCATGTCAGGATGAGCATCACGTGAAGGTTCACAAGCACCGGTTAACGGCAACGAACCAGTTCGAACGCCCCATGACGGCTGCCATTGGTCTTCATGATATGCCGTGAAACTAATGCAAATCTTGATGAAATGAATCGTCTGAGTAAAGGATATGTAAACAATGGACATTCAAAGTATCGTACCTTCTTATTAAGCTCAAATCGGCCGTTTGGAGTTAGAAGCATTATGGAAGGCGCCTTGAACGGGTATTCTGGGGGGAGCAATATCCGCGCATGATACAGCCCCCCTCAAATTCCGTACCAGCAGGCCCTCGTAGTGTACAATGCCAATCCTTATGATGCCCATCAGCTCCTGGGCCAATGGTATTGATCCCAAGATTGCAGACTTACAAAGATATCGTCCTAATAAGCAATGTACGTTAGGGAAATGCAAAGGTGCCGCAACAGCGGTGAACACATACTTCAAGAGGGCTAGCAATGTACTCGGTGGAGCTGTCGCGCTGCAGTTCGCGTGCCTCGGCCATTATTCGCTTCACACCTAGATCGGAAGCAATTATTTGATGCAGGAAGGGATTCTCAATGCTACCCAGGTACGCACCAGAGTTGTTCTTGTTGTAGGTAGACTTTGAGGACATGTTTTCACGATGGTCAACGTGGAAGTTTCAACCCAAGCAATTATTGGAGCAGCATCAATTAGTGGTCACAGCCGCCGGTAACACCACGTGATCAACTTCATAATAATGAAAGTCGACCACCTCAAAGTACGCCCAAGAAAAGGTGAGTATTGTTCTGTTCGAGAGAACTGAACACAGTGAGATGGTCTTTTCGCCCTCAATCTAGTGAAGAATGCTGCTCCGTGCGCCTTGCAGCTTGCCACCATGTTGAACTGCTGGGCGAGCAAAAATGATTTCCGATCAATCGGACCATGTGCAGACGCCGCTCAAAGTCTAAGATTGTGCATGGGAGGAATGGTGAGCACTAAAAACATCCACTGCTTTTCCGGGATATTTGATGTCCCGCCGACTGCAGGCTGGGGGCCGTGTGAAACCTCACAAACCAACGATAAATTACCATCTTGCTCGCCTTGGGAAGCAAATATGAACAACCTTTAGGGTAATGCTAGGCCCTCGACAGGAGCCAAGATAACTTAAATTTGCAATAATGATATCAAACACGAGCATTCGAAGCCACTCATTTTTCTGTTTGACCGATGACATAGGCAACCTCCGTGACGATCCTGAAAATCTGCAGTGTCTCTTCATCAACGCCAGCTGATAGAGTTGTTCGTCGTTCTGCGTCCAAGGCATTAAACTGTGCGGCCCAAGCGTCCCGCTCCTCCACTGCACGCAGGTTATGGCACACCGCCGAAAGAATGTAAAGTGCTTCGAGTGCTTTCTCGAACTTCGATATAGTCCGATAGTCTCTGACGGCCCGAATCAGATGGGGCCGTGCTTCTTTTAATATTTCCTCATTGATATCTAAAGGGGTGATATTCAAACCGTCTTGTTCCGACTTGGGTAGTGTCTCACCTGCGCCAGCTCCAGCCATCATCAATCGCGCGTATGTCAAGCTTCCGTAAGCGCGGAGTTCAAGATCGTCCGCGAGGAGAATCTTGAGAACGGTGAGTCGTTTGGAACACAAGACTGATTTCCAGTGCATACCTGTGGTAGAACTTCTTCAATCATGTGTTGGCCAGATTTTGGTAGACCAAGGTCAATTGCGATGTCGGCAAGTAATACTACTGCGATGCGGTAATACTGAAACATCCCTCGAAATTCTGAACTCCAAACGGCCTCCATAAGCGGCTGAACAGCTAGAACGGGCTGATTCGCTTCCTAAGCAAACCAGACCACATATACATTCGTTTACCATACGGGGTCGAGAAGACGTACTTTGTATCGCAGAGCTAGCTGTAGAGACTCAGTTATCACCGTACGACGATGGAACGGAGACGGCGCGCCGACCGACTGAACTTCAGGTCTTGGAGACGGTTGGTTTGGCATGAGAAAGTCACGTTGAAAGGACGCATGTCCTCTGTGGAAGTTGATGTGATTATGTACACGATCACCCTATTATTGGAGTCAAGATAGAGACTTACTTCCGTTCCGCTGTGAAGTTGAAAACATTCCACACTTCCAAGGCCCATATTTGATATTGCTGGAATGTCAGCCCTCGCCAAGTTTGTGGGTCCAGCAATAATTTAAGTGCTTCATCAGTTGCACCCTGTCTCGTGTACTGCATAGTTCTTCATGAGAAATGAAAATGCGATAGCCTAAAAGCATTATCGCACCCGTGATGCTCTGGCACAGACCACAGACATACGAGAATCATCATCGCCAACCTGAGTGAAGGCCAAGATGATGTTCTCGTGGCACTTGGCGAGCGTCTCCACACCTGCACCTCCAGGTTTGCACACGGTGACGAAGTAAAGGATGTATCCTCACCTGCTAAACGCCAAAGGATGGCGCAGACAGCATGCCTAGGCCATTTCTCCACACCAACATTAATGAGGACAGATTTAGCATCCCACACTCCGATACTCTCTGCTACCTTGGTGAATAGGATTTTCAGCCCTTCTCCCTATGAGGGCGTCAGTCTAACGCCGAACACACCAGGTAGAAATCCTCACAAGCTCTAGAAGCTTCTTGATTTCCCAAAGAATATCCAGCGGGTTTCCCCAGACCTGGACAGAAATAGCACGATCTCGAGCGAGGAATGCGGAGCCTGGGTCTGGGTCAAGGCGCTGCATGAGACTGATCACCACGGTCCGAATCAGCGGCGAGGACGAACATAGGGGAAATCCACTCACTTTTGACAGCGATCCAGTGTGAAATGATCATTCTTCTCTTTTGAAATCTTAATCGCTTCATCGAGAAACTAAAGAAACCATCAACAACGTTAGATGCGAGGTCCTGAATTGGCGGGCTTACCTGACGGGCAGCCAGAAGTTCGCCCCTTGTATAATGAAGTGTGGCCATGCTTAGAAGTGAATGCTGATACATAGTCCTGAAAATTGCCTCTTGAGCACTGTTGGCGATGAAGCGAAATTTGTGCTGACGTGTCATCAGTCGCAGCAAATCGTTGGTCAAAGAAACGCCTCAAATTGTCTACTGCGGCTTTGCTATCCCCAGTCTTCAATGAATCCCCGGCTCTAGAAGAGCGTGTAGCCAAATAATAAATAGTGCAAAAGAACACACTCACATTTCGTAATATGACTGCTTTGCATTTTCAGGAAGATCCAGGATGCCTGGATATATGAGGAGGCCTACAAGGGAGGTGTTAAGACGGTCCGCTTCCTACAAACATGCAAACACCACCCTCACCCCTTCGCCTCTCCTTTGAACCGATATAGTATCCCGCCCCTTTATCCCCGTCACACCACGCAATAAAGTCATTACACAGGCGCAATTGACCAGCAAAGGACAGCTTGCGAAAGCTCAAAAAACTCCTTCGAATAAACATCCCAAAGAATGATCGTCGTTCCTGAGTAAAGCATAAGGAGGGATTCCCTGAGCGGAGTCAATCCGACAAACAAAAGCGCAGGAACTGGTGTTTTCTTCCTTGATATGAAAACTTCAGCTGCGTAATTGGGCAGTACAGGATGAACCCACTGGTTCATCGACCCCAGGCACGAGACTTCGCACATCTGTATACGAGCTGATGTAAGGGCAATGCACAAAGCTATCCAACTGCTCCGTATACCGCTAAATAAGTCACCCATCACTTCCGGAGTGGAAATCATCTTGGGCTAGTCCGAGAATAAGACTGAAATGTATGTTGGTGGAACATGCGCTACGCACTGCCTGATTCAGAGTGTGAGAAAGAAGAGCCAGCTCCGAGTTGAGTGACGGGTCATCAAATCCGTTCACTAGTTTAGACACCAATTGGTGATATGGGGTTGGGGGTTTCAACTGTGTCATCGGTTAGAACCTCCAACGATACCCGCATTTACATTCTACTTGCCTCTCCTATTTCTCGCGCCAGAACTCGTAGCATTCTCATCCTAACTTTGGGATGCAGTGTCGTCGGACCTATACCAGGCTCACCATAATCCACACCGCGATGGTACACGAGAATCATAATAGTCAAGCCAACATGATGAGGATACAAGACATTGGGCATTGGTGGCCCTCCAGGGATTTCCATATTAAGGTTCATCGGTAAAGGAGGCGGAGCAGCCATGGTTAGGGATCCGGTGCAAGTCGATAGGCAAGAACTTTGTCGCGTCGCGCTACTTTGCTTCCGCTTGCGCGTCGATCATTCACTTGTTGCGGCCACCGATGAGCTCATCCCAGACTGAGTCCATGTGATCGGCAGCTCGTAATTGGGACTTTTTGTATCTAACATTCCGTTCAGGGCACTGGCCATGCTCCGAAGCACGCTTGGCCAGTTTTACCGCGTCACCATCCAGGATGGCCGTATCTTCATTGGTGCCTTCGTCTGCGTTGATAAAGAGAAGAATATGGTTCTAACTAATACTGAGGAATTCTGCCCTGATGCAACCGACATGACAAGAGGGCGGTATGTTGGACTTGTAATGATCCCTTGGCGCTGGGTTGTAAAGGCAGAGGTCGAACATAAATCTTGAACATGTAAGCGCCTATACTTGCATTCCTGGTTTTTCATTACTCAAAAGTGAAGGCTGTCGGTATCTCCACATATTATACGTTTCCCGATTCGACTTTCTTTGGCCATCTAACTCATTCTTAAAATGTCCACACCACTCGAGATGCGGGACTGTTGCTTCCTACCAGCGCCGGTACCAACAAGGCTCAGTAACTTCGCTTGTCCGCCCCGTGACAGGATGGCCCTCAGTAAGATTGTCGAATTTATTGTTATATTGTTATATTGTCTATTCGAAATCTTCCGCATTGTTTGATCGGGTTTGATATCGGAAGAGATCATCGGTGCATTATCATTGGAAATACAGCTCTGAGGTTATGAAAAATGTGGACGGATAGAAAGCGTGTATACGTCACCGCAGTCGAAACCCATAGTGAACACGGGTGCTCATCTTGTGAGCACGACATATTCACAACGGGGTAAGAACCTGACGTGAACCGTCCGGCCGCTAGACACCGCCAGAGAAAGGCACCAATATTGTCCGAATCGTCAAGACGAAAGAAGGGGTTTCGCTGTCGTGGTCGAAGTGTGAAAACGGTGTTGAGGCGAGAGAAATACAGGGATGTTGAGGATGTTGTACGAATACAAAGTGTCAAACGATGGCATCAAAGAGGCGTCCGGCTACATGAAATAAGTCGTCACAGAACATGCCCAGTCGCGTGTTACAACCCTAGTCAGAGAGGGCCAATTCTACGCCGGAGTACGGCTATCGGGGTAATTGACTTTGCCTCCAGGACCCATCCACCACCACCTTCTGTTTGGGAGGATCCGTGTGTTTGGTTCGACACGCAACGGGGTACGAGCCAGCTCAATTAGAATACGAGCAACATTCCGGGCATCCTAAATAACCAGAAAGGTGGTCAACACCGTATTCAAAGGTCCTTGCGCTGATCGGGAAATGACCTACTCACATCCAAACCACAATGTAATCGCCCAGTGAACGATGGCAATAAGAGGGCAGAGAGTTGCATGGGTATAGGGAGATACAAGTGTTTTTGATTATTCCGCTGGATATGCGCTGCTGTGGATGTCATTGGTTCGCGCTATCAGAGAGAAACATTTCGAGTGGCGGGTTCGGTACATCGGCATCAACTAGACACATCGCTATACATACCAGTTCGCGGCTCGCCATTAGGCTCGCCACTGATTTTCGAATGTCCAAAATATCCCCCCGCAGATAGCCTGGAATTGGGATCTGAAGATACGATATATAAGATCCCCATCCAGCCAGTTGGGGAACAGATCACCTGCCTTGGATATATGAGATTGCTTAGTGACAAAATCTCTGATATCGAATGGACCATCGCAGCAGAATATGAACTTCTGCGAGCGTGCGCCAGTGCGTGGGTCTATCAAGCCATGGTGCGCAAGAAACTCTGCGAACAAACCCAGGACCTCGGGCCAAGTTGGCGCTGAATCAATGTCCGCCTGGAGATTGAGGATCAAAGGTTGGAGTTCGTGATTATGACACGCGGGATTGCTGATAGAGCATCAAAATCACACCTGGGTGATACCAGTGAGATCCGTGCAAAAGGTGGACAATTGAGGCCTCCATGTAGGTCGAACATAAGAACGGAACTCGGCTACTTGAACAAGGCTGCTTGCACGGCCGTCTTCCGTCTGATCATTCCAACGAAGAAGGATGACTGGCCATTCCTAATCAAAAGGGATAGCATATATTTCCCTGCTGTGCAGAGGAAGTTTTGGCAACATACTATAATCTCGTTTGGATAATCAAAACCGCAGCCGCTGTGACAAGTTGCCTCGACATCCACGACAAGGAAAGCATCATAAGGTTGCATAGTCCGGATGTCCTCCACGAGAGTCTCTGCTACACTCTCAGTAGGACTTGACCAGTCGCTCTGGACTATAAGTTTATCTGGCGGGCGGATAGGAATGTTGATGGGGGCGGAGGGAGGCTTGATCACAGCTTTCGCAGAGCTCGCAGCGGACTGTCTAAAACGTTTTCCTTTACTAAATCTGTCGCTTCGCTTGTTCTGCCTTTGTGGCGGCTCCTGGGGCAGAGACATTGGTGAGGTCGTTGACGATAAGGTCTTGCGAAAATGCGGGGCAACCACGGAGAGAAACCGGCGAACAGAAAAAACAGTAGCGAAGAAAACAAGAAGAACGGTTGCAGATGGCCAGATGGGCACCGATCCAATAAACTCCAGAGGCGACCTGGTCATGGAGAGAATACGGGAAGCTCGGATGCTCTTCGTGAACCGAAGCTGTCACGTTGTAGCACAGCCCTCAGCGGCTTTGAGACATTATTGGGCGTCTCAAAGCTTATGTTTCCTGCGAGGCGAAGATGCGCCCAAGCACCAAGCGATTAAGTTGTAGCGATTTCCGATAACCTATCCCTATCCCTTTTGAAATTGCGATGATCGTGCATTTATGGCGCCATTGATCAAGACGCAATAAGTAACTCCAATTGTCCGAAGATCCCACGGCGTCATCCCCAAATTACGATGTGTGGAAAGCTGGCCCCTCTGAATATCCGCACATACTTGCTCCCAAAGTTTGCCTCGCGGTTGGCTACTCTTCGAAGGCCCTTGAGGATCCCGAGGTTCTAAAGCCCATTCAAAGCTAATGTTGAGGCCACAGTGCCAGTGTTCAAGTTCCAATGTTGTGGATATCCTCTTGGTCCTTCGTGCGAGGAAAGCTAGCTGGCTTGAGGCATGCAGTGTGCTGCAAGGCAAGCCGTGTGCTACACACGTTGTACTTAGAAGTGTCCCAGAGTGAACTCCGAGTGACTGCGCAATTCGGGGATGAGCCTGCGGCCATGAATGCCGGTGATGATGCCGACTAATGTTTTGCCGATGTAGTAGCAACGTTACAATGTTTCGAGCGGACTAGCACTAGCGCGCGTCTATCCGTGTCGCACAGCAACTCATTAAGGTGTACTGCCACAATACAAACATTCCCCATTGGCCACAAAAACAGTTCCATGGCGGGTGACAATCTTGTCTCTGGTGATGAGAGCGAACTTGTAGAGCACGAAGCGAAAGCGAAGGTCTCCGCAAAGGCTGAAAAAAGTCGGAAACGGAGAGCGAAACAAAGCGAACAAAAAGCCAAGGCGGGTCTCGTCTTCGTTCCATAAATTGTCACACTTAGTTAATTCCATGCTTTTTAGAGACAACGACTCACCATCCCCGATCCCGAAGAACTCCGCAGCGCTGCACTCACTGCGTCTCAGTCCCCCTCGTTTCTCGCGAACTTATTGGTAACCGGGCAGATTCAAGTATTCAAAGGCATAAGTGAGCTCGAGCTCGACGACAAGCGAATACCAGGTATCGTGTCACTGGCATCACACATACTTCTGGTATTTCCCCCCTGATACCGCCACTATCATTTTCTTAGAATCTTGCATCATTGACACTCGGTCGTGGAAAGGAGAGAGAAACCATGAGATCCTCCCAGAATTTATCCGGCAAGGTTGGTGGGCACTGAAATATCATAAGACGACGTTATGCACATGGCCTGGGATTTTGGAGTATCCCAAATGGCTATCAAATGATCAAACGCGTGTTCATGCATTTCCGTCCACGTTAAGTCTCAATGTAACTGATCAGAACCGTCTTCGCCCTAGTGCAGTTGATCGTACACTGGCGACACGGATCGGACAATCGTCGAAGGACAATGGGGCTCCGACATGCATCATTCTGGCCGGAAATGCCCTTCGTGTTCTTGATCTCATAAAACCTATCAAGACCATGACTACTGAAAAGAGTGGAGAGATCAGCAAGGTGAGATGACCTGGCCGACCGTGCCTACCGCGGATAAGCTCAAATTTGCGATTTTTTCTAGCTCTTCGCCAGACACTTCAGATTATCGCAGCACGCGGCTCATCTGGAGAAAACAAAAGTTTGCGTGGCAGTCGGAACCCCGAACCGAGTTCATGCTCTGTTAACTCAGACAGGTATGCTATGGTGGCAGTATTCTTTCCCTCGCCTTCAGTAATGATGATGGTGTATCCCCTAGAATCGCTCTCTCTTACGGCTTTAACTCATGTTATCTTAGATGTGACCTTTATGGATGCCAAAATGCGTTCCATGCTGGATCAGCTGGAGACGAAAGCGGACGTTTTTCATGTTCTTACGCATGAACCGCTACGGCAGCGGTTGGTGGATGGGAAAACTTCTTTGATTTTCTTCTGAATCGCCGATCTGCTAAATATTATAATAAAGTGATCGATACATAATACGTGCACGACATTTAGATGTATTAATTGGAGTGGAGATGAGGGTTGGTGCCTTGGAATGTTTAGAAGCCTTTTGGATTTTCTCGTAGTGTGATCTAGACGTCAATGAGGCCACACCTAGCACAGGAGTAAGGGAAATATGCGAACCCGAGTGAACTTTGGTACTTTGTGTACACTCTTACGGAATTTAGGACTTTTTCGGTTGAAAGTGGTGTATTTGTCTCTTGCAGGCATCTCGTGCTCTTTCGGCAATGCCAGGGCCTTGGTCTACAAAAAGTACATCGGAATTGGCACGCCCTGGTGGCAATGGGGTCACAACACAGATTGAACTCACCAGGGCTCTTAACTGAACGCCACTCTGCTGGATGGCTTCGATAACGCTATCGACTTTCTTCAGTCTATGCCTTTGGTTAGCTTTACGTGTGGGGGACAACCGCCATGGCGACTTCCTACATTGATTCTGAGGCTCCAAATTAGTCCATAACAGCAGTGTCATGTGGGCTCACCATAACAGGCCCCCAAAGTTAACGCTACTAGGTCTGAAAACGCCAAACATAGCCAAGAAAAAGCGCTCACTGTGTATTGGAGAAGCACTTTCCCAAGTGGCAGTGCTTCGGCAATCGCCACGGACATGTCCGACAGCGCATTCACATATGTTGAGCGAAAGGGCAAGAATCATCGAGCAAAGGCAAAAGCAAAAAAGGAATCCTTTGCTAGTTTGCTAGCGCGTACCTCAGAGACCCTGTCAGCGGAGCTTTGGCCCGAAAAATGCCTCTGTATGTTGTATGATCCTTCGGCGGCCCCTTTTTCGCCGTCCCTTCTGCGTTACACACCTTTTGAGTTCACTCTCGCCCTCTGCCTTTCGATCGAACAGCTACAATCCAGGCCTTTTGTGAGGGTCTAACGAACGTTACGATGCCTCGTCAATGTCTATCTCTAGGCCTTGGAAGCCCTTTCTTCTCCCGCGGTTCTCGCGCGCAGCTTGATATGCTTTTGGCAATTTGTAAACGGTTCGATATGGTGAGAAGTGTGCGAAGGTCATACACGTCACTGTCTGCTGATTGGTTTCCTGCGCTTTGATATTGGACGGTTGAAAACGCCCGTGTCTAAATTCGTTATCGTAAATCGGATCAGCACCATGAAGATGTTATCGTAGCCGATCCAGCGTTTCAACAGGAAGATATCGATGGATTGACCGCTCTTGGCTTTGTCGTGACGTCTGTTATCGGAGTGAGTACCTCATAATTAACATTTCAATTATCTGCATGGGAGCATGTGGATTCTTTGCACCACGAACGAAATGCTGTGGCGCCATATGCTCACTTTACACCGGGAGACAGAACGGTCATTACGACTTGACCCCAAGGGTACTCCTCTATATGCCCCATTGTGATCTGAGCCTGCACGAGGACATTTTCAAGCACAATTGGGAATCAAGTCGTCTGCACGGTCTTTTCATGATCGCGAATGATCTGACCATATACAGCGAAAGGTAAATGGATTTTCTTTTCCAATCTGAATGATCCTTATCGTTGGAATTGTTTTCATTTTCGAAAAACACCCCCTTACCTGTTCGCACGCTTCTCATCATTTACCCGCATGCCAATCCGCCCTCTATCGAACATTTTGGATGATGGATGAATGGCCGGTATATCCAAACGATGTGACAGTATGCCCACGCACAAACTCCGTGCGAAAGCTCCATTTACTGCTCAGCTCCGTAAGTTCCAATGTCGAATCTTGCTTCTCCCTTTGTCCCAAGATCGCAGCGTCTTCCAACACGATTCTTCCATGGTATACATATCTGCAACAACAAAAAAAAAACACTCGAGCGGTGCTGATGGTTACTACCCCTAACCCCAAGTTCCCTGACCTGTGCCTTAAAAGTTTTATTGCGTGCAAAGCTCAGAAAGCCCCTATACCAAGAAATCGGTGCTGGTCCTAGACCATGTGCTGAAGGGTTAACATAGCCCAATACTCATAACCGGGAAAATCGCTTTGTCTCGGCCCTTCTCTTTTGCCTAGGCTCATTTGCTTCGGTCAGCTCAGTCCCGATCCATCATACTGACATTGTATCACTTGTTCCCTTATCAAATTAGTCCCGCACCTGTGCATCCAGCGTCTACCCAAATGTGCTTCCTTTCCTGAAGCATTCAATGACCTTGCAATCCAATGGATCCCGAACAACGGGTCTCTCCCATTTCCATTCTCAGTTTCACCCCTTTCCCCAACCGAATCGAGGGACGAGGAGGATGCCTTGGTCAGTGCAATAACCGGTAATTTGGCCATGATATCGATATCGATCCCCGAGTGTCCTAATGGCCAGATAGAAAGTGAAAAATCGCAAGGGTAGGTGACCGTAGCCGTAGCTGGGAAGAAACAAAATCAGAAGAGGATGAGTTTGGACAAGAAGCCGGGATACGTGTTGTTTTTTTGGGGGGGGCGATGGACTATTTTTTTCCTGGATTCGGAGACCACCACAATGGACACGCCGCCCCAAGCCAGCACAGCGGTTGCCCCTATATCTAGGGACACGACTTTTGGATAATTGGATACCTGGTGCAGGGAGTTAGGGTCTGATACGATTCAGCAGGTCATATCAAGATCTTGGGCCGTAGCTTATGCTTGGGAATTTGGAAGGGAGAGAGCTCGACAAGGCGGATCCCGGCGAAGGAAACGGACGAAATCGGCAAGGGGAGATCGGCGGTACTGTGAGACCATGCTAGTTAATTACTGCCATTCCTTGCCGTGCGCCCATGTGGCTGGAACAAGTGGTACGATAGCTGTGCGTGCTGGCTTGTGCGTGCGTGCGTGGGCCAAAAACAAAACCAAAAAAAAAAAAAAACTAGTTTCATCCAGTACTTGCAGCCGCCCGCGCTCTAGTTTCTTCGATCGATCGGCCATCTCCTAGTAATGATAATCATTCGCACCCGTATGTTTGGACTCGTCTGACTTGTAAATGCACTGTACTGAGCTTGCTTGTATGAAGGATCGATTAAACGGCTCCCTAGCTTCATAATTCGTCTGTATCAATTAACTCCAGGCTTTAATTTGCCCATGCATGACTTCATTCCTATCTCGCTCGATCCAATCCCCATGCATTGTTTCTTGCGGTAACACCATAATCCTTCGCACACCCATTCATCTCTCTCTTTCTCTCTCTCTCTCCTTAAAAATTTCCGCTTGAAATACACAAGTACATACCTTGCTACTTACAGTAAGCTTCGCGTTTCAATTTATTTATTTTTTTCCACCGCACTTTTATACTTACGATTCCTAGAGCCCCTGCATGCAAGCTAATTACTTGACTCGTATATTAATCCCGGCCGGTTTCGATTCGATTCGATTCGAAGGGCATGCAACCCCAACGATCATCCCCGATTTTTTTTAGATACCGGATTGCCGATTGCAGGAAAATTTTACACTGAACGACCTGAGACCTTGCACCCCTCTCTCTCTCCTTCTCTCTCTCTCTCGGTTCCCCCCCTCCCTGACTGGTTGGTTCTTATCACTTACATAGATAATATAAATCCTTTCGAGCTCCTTTCATCCTCTTTTGTTCGACTTCTAACCGGGTTCCGGACCCGTGCAGTGGTACCAATGAGAAGCTCAAGCGCTGACTAGCGCACGAGCACATTGAGAAGATTGCGCCGCTAGCCCGAATAAAAATCGCAGCGCCCCCGGGCCTGTTCGCTAATATAATGATAGTGGAAGGGATAATTGATTAATGAGATGTTTGCGCGGGTAAGGGGGATGGGGGTGCATGTCTGCGGGTCTGCGGGAGCCGTAGCAAGTAACCATGCATGATCTTATGAACCCTTTTTTTTTATTTGCAAAGGGCATCTCACCCGAGCCTTCCCAACTTAGGAGGGGGGCTACTATACTACCCTGGCGATAATTTCATGTATCTAATCCATCCACCTCCTCTTTCTCCTGGAACGTCCTTGTGGAAGAATACGTGTACCTTATAGTATCATCGGGCTTGAGTTAGCCTGGGACAGATCGAGAAGCACGTATCCGTACTAAAGCCCTCTCACAATCCAGCTGTGTATATTGCATATCGCTAGCTGTGCATGCGCATGGATCAAATATGCAATTATGTAGCGCAACCACATGCACAGCTAGTCTAGTCTAGTCCCTACGTCAAGGCGACTTGAGAAACTTTAGCCCCCCCCCCCAGATAAGAACAATCTTTTGCGCTCATGTATTCGATCTAGCTTTGTTGTCTGTCCATATATACGCATCAGCTTTCCAGTAGTTGCATGCAGCTGCATGCATGCAGGAACAATTAGAGAAAGCAACATACTTGAGCGATCACCGCCAATATTTTTTTTTTTTGTGTTCCCCTCTCCGCGGCTTCGGCGCAAACCTCCAAGCTATACATATACTAGCTAACAGGGACATCACAATGATTTACCCGTTTTGCATGGGTTGGGTTGGGGGGGGGCCAAAAGTCGTCACCCGGGCCCTTCGTAACGGATCGGTTGAGCCGGTTCATCGCGGCGTTTTTTGCACAATTGCTCTACTTTACATAGTAGGAAGGTAGTAGTAGTTATCCCTGCCTACGTTTTTGTACTGGCACAGATCGTTAATGGCAACGAGTCGGAACCCTTCCCTTCGGAGAATCGTCCCGAACCGGACGTATAACAACTGAAGGCTACATACATAGTATACACCAACCACCGCAATACGCAGTCAAAAGGAACAAGAGCGGTAGAATTATCGATTTATTGTTCTGCTTGCTGCATATTGGATGATCCCCCCGGCCCCCCCCCTTGCCAATATTTGAAATTTCCCCAGTGTTCAGTTATCACTGTTCGCAATGAATGCAATGCAACAACAACCTTCCGCAAACAAACAATGTTCGTGTACGTTATGTAGCAACGCACTGCCATCTTAAGCGCTCGCGCGGCATCTACGTACGGTCGCGTCGATCGCGTAACGTAACGTAAGCGCCTCCACACAGCTCCTAATTGCCAATTAAGTTGACGATGGGGGGGGGGCCCCGCGCCATCCATCAAGGTTGATATCACTCCAACCAACGTCAACGCAACACCACTTGTCGATCGCGCCTCTTATATATATACATAATGTCGCCGTCGCGCGTCGTCGACCCAGCTGAGCCCCATCATGATAAACGATCGCGAACCAACCACTAGCAAACGCTTACCCCATCTATATTACACACATGACGCACACAAGTACAACATTATATTACGTACTTACACACTTGACAGAGCCTTTCCAAATGGATCTACCTTTACCACTTACTCTTCCCAATAATGCCCAAACCGATGATTCCTTCGGAAACACACACACACCCACACGTACACGCCACGTAGTACCTCATGTGTGTGTGCGCGCGCGCGCCAGAAGCACAAGCGCAGTAGCCAAAACTGGAAGCGAACAACAATGTTCCTTAGCCCGCGCTGTTTGCGTATACATCGGCCACCGTAGCATGTAATTAACTGTATATATATATATTGCACATATGAAACTTCCCCCCCTTTCGCAACGGAATTAGCCAGAACGTTCTCTCAGAAGCAGCCCAGCAAGGCTTGCAGAATCCACTAAGAAGAAGCTGGTCACTAGTCCTTCTAGCACGGGACGCAAAGTGGCACCGCACCGCCCCCCGCCCATGGCAATTCCATTCAGTCGTAGCTAGCACTTTTCATTCTTGGTTCGATCCTTTCGGCGCTTACAGGATCGACCCAGCGCCGAGGCAAATACCGAATCGCGGTGCTTGTGCGGCATCCACTTCGATAGTCCGATTCTGACGCGTGTGACGTATGTGCTCTAAACTCAACAACGGAGTCCAATATGTAATTATATGAGAAACCAGGACAGCGATATACCGGAATGGACAAAAAAAAAGAGTAAAGAAAAACTGAAAAAGAGAAAAAGAAACCAGAGGCAGCAAGCAGCAGAGGAAGGGGAACTACCAAACAGTGATAGAGAGAAGAGAGTGTGTGTGAGAGTGAGGGAAAGAGCAATATGAGAAATTGATTGTCTTGTGGGAATAGGAAAAAAAGAAATTGATGTTTGCAAGATGAAATGAGTTCTCAATCTGTTATGCATGGGCAAGCATTGTGACTGACTGGCTAGCGGTGGGGGAGTTGGAATGATATGGTACAAAAAATCGTGCTGCGTTGCATTGCGTGGGTGATGTTGACGTGGGGAAGCGCCGTGTGTTATGGTGTGTGACCGGAAATGAAATTGGGTGGGGCTAGATCAGCGGTCCCCCCAACAAGTCGGATGAGATAGACGAGAATGGATAAGAGCGTGTGATAGATGAGTAAGATGACGAAGGCGCTAGTCTAGCACAGGTTGGGTTCTCATTCGTAACGCTGGTTAGATTGGTCCATGGTAATGACGAGAGCGATTAACGATGTGAAGGGGGGGGAGAGGAACCGAGACGCGGGGAAGAATCTAGGCTTAACAAAGGATTCAGAAAGGCAGAAGGGCGGAGAACGGGAAAACCCTTTTGGAGGAGATACAAAAGCCGCGCGCGCAGGGGTAAAGGATAAAAATGGAAGGACGACGGGACGGGAATACGGACAAAACGGTTGGGAACACGGAAAAGAGAAGAGATAGAATGCCGCCTTCCATTTTTTATTTTTTATTTTTGCTACTGCCCAATCGTAGTTTCAGCCGACCCCCCGAAAAAGAAAAGAAGTTGGTGTCAGAATCCATACGTCCTGGAATAATGGCAGGAAAAGAAATCGCTCGGTGGTTGTCGAATATAGGAGCACCGCTCATCATCAAACTCGAACAGCGACAAGTTCTTTTCCAGCAGGTGCCGTTGATCATCCTTCTCGTCACTGTCACCACGATTATCTGTTGTTCGGCGGAGAGATGCGGATAGCGGGGTAGAGGGCTCCGACCTACTGTCATCGGAATCCGAAGAGTCCTCAGTATCGAAATAGGGTAACCCATCGTATCCGCATGTGCAAGTTATCGGTGGGAACAGAGGTCCAAGTTGGGGTCCAGAGTCGGACTCGGGGGTGCAAGCATGTGGGTCATAGTGATCATACGACTTGGTTTCGGTGGTGGTACTGGGTGTCGGCGCATCACGAAGAGACGGGAAATAGATATGTGATGCAGGCTGATAACGAGGTGGATAATAAGGTGTTGCAGGAAGATCATTGTCGTCGTCGTCATCATCCTCAACACTGTCGTCAACAAGGTCTGAAAGGACAGCGTCCAACCATTCCGACTCGTCAAGGACTACGTCGGGGAAGTTATCCGGTTCATTCGAAGTACTCGTACTAGCCCATGAAGAATTGTCCGGAAACACGAAGCCAAATCCATAATCCTCGTGGTGATTTCGGTCCCGCGGTGAGATGGACCCTTCTGTGTGTTGCAAACCACCGAGTTGAGACTCGGTGTCTACAAATGACTGTGAAGAAGATGAAGAGGAAGAAGAGGAGGTTGAGGCTAAGGAAGTGTTGGACTTGTTCTTAGTACTGAGGAGTAAGTTCTGTGTGAGCACGAGACGACGGAGGTTATGGTTGTCTCGACGTTCGTCGCAAGAGACGCAGCGCAACTTGCGTCGGGAGAGCTGTGAGATACGATGGGGATCAAGATGCTCCTCCATGATGGGGGCAGATGCAGTTGACTGAGGGTATAATTGTCGCTGAACACGGTGTTTGTTCGAAGGAGAAGGGTTGGAGTACTGCATGACTGAATGGATTGTTGAGCACAGGTGGTTGGCGCAGGCGCACAGCGAAAAGAACTCAGATGGGGGGGGGGGGGGGGGAGATAAGCTCACCTAGTGGAGAAGAGGGAGAGAGGATAAGAGAGGTCACTGGTGTATCGGATTTGTGAGAAGTAGTTGGTAGAGACGCAAACGAGTTGTAGTTGTGCGTGCTTTCTTTAGCATGGTCACGGAAACAAGGTTTCTGGGACGGAATGGTTATAAGGGAGAGCAGGAGGAGAGGTTTATAGTATTTAGAAATCCATTGGAGGGCAGGAGAGCAAGAAAGGTAGAGTATGATAAAAGGGGGGAAAAAGAAGAAAACAGAGGAGAGAGCGGCAAGGTTTGATGGACTCGTAATATATATTCTAAATCAATTGGGCAACGAATATATATTCAAGTAATAACTGAATTCGATGCGAAACTCTTGTTCGGGAATTGGAATTCAAAAGTTGAGTCAAACATGGTCAATTCAATTTCGTTCGGAGAAGAGGACTTTGTCCACGTCGGACTTATGAGTGCGATGTCTAGATGGGATTACAAAACTCTACTAGGCTCCTCTGACATGTACAAGTGGGTTTTCACATTAAACTACAGGCAGTGTATACTTACTACTGATCGGATGGCGCCATCCTGTAATACTTGTGCGATCTCAAGTACTGTACACTAAGCTTGCGCAATCAAACGCAAATCGGACCTAATTCCTAACCAAAAAATCGCAATAACACATCTTGCTATCTTACTCCGTGGATAGCAATTACATGATACCGTGCCATCCGGATCCTTGGATACGCCATTATTATATTGATCCCTCAAGTCGAGTCACGACTTATCTGTATGGTACTGTATATCACATCTTGCGCAACTTTCATCAACAATTACCAGATCCGTACACTGATCTTTGCAAAATGCAGCAGAGAAGACTCCAGCCAGCTTCGACCGAACCAAAAAAAAAAAAAAAAGGAAAAAAGGAGAAAAAAAAAAGGTCGAGTCACACATAAACGGTCCGATTCACCATGGCCGGTCGATCCAGCTAGGCTAAGCTTATGTCCGAGATCATTCACAACTCCATTTTCTACATGACTCGGTACTTGCTAGCTCGCTTCCCAGCAGCTAGCCCAACATTAAAGCAGTGCAACAACCTCCGGCCAATCGTTCGCAGTTCCAGTGATCACACGATATACCACGGAAAAGGGCTTTCGCTTCGATTGATCACATCGTTGATCATACGGGTACCAACGCAGCTTCTATCTGGCTTAGAGAGAGGCATCTGCGCAATCTCCGGGCTTGCGTCCAGACCAACCCACCTAATCGTGGCAAATCCGGAGCGGCCTCACCACAAATTCATCATCATCATGACCCATTTATTCATCCAAATAGGGTTTCTTCCCCCAACTCATATATCACTGGTACCTTCTGACAGCCATGCACACCCCCTACCCCACATCGCAATCCCTTAATCTATTGTATTCGTGAGGTTCTAAGGAGAAAAAACGGCGCTTCCTTCCCCCCGTGCATGTCTAACAGCCAGCTGTTGCAGTCTCATGATCATCTTGACCAGCCTACTTATTCTCCATTCGGTACCATAAATACTTGAAGAACAATCACACACACCACCACGACCGTGTCCACGATCATCCGAACCCGAGGAGACATGTTATCACATTATCGCGGTTGCGCATGAGATCTGATATTCCCCTTTTTTGGGTCTAGAAACAAAGGGGCGTGCGCGCGCAAGGAAGAGCCACAACCAATTCAGGGTCCAGCAACAACCGTAAACACCACGAGTAGGAGGGTCACCTCAGCGGGGAGGCGCTCCGACCCTTACGGGAAAGTGAGGGGAAAAATAAAATAAGCCAGTGAACGCTAGTATCAAACAGCGGCCTCAAACACCGACCGTTTCAAGCTCTTGGCCTTGCTCATCGTAAGCTCCGTTATACCCGGTACTCCCGCCTTCACATTATCCCTCACCTTCCCTGTTCCGCAAATCTATCCGTAAGCAAGACCTTCTCAGGATCATCCGCTGGAGTTTAGCGGCAAGTGCAGCTGGATCCTTTACTCATTGTTATACTTACCGCAAGGGATCTTGGATGGCGATGGCGAATGGCCAGTTATTCCCTAGGACAGGTTAGTATCCGTGGCCGATCCGTTTGTTGGTTGTTTCCGGGGGCACAGAACGGAAAGAGCGATAAGGGCAAGAACAGGATGGTTATATCATAATGCTGTGATCCGAGGGGGAAAAAGGACAAACAGGTACGTAGGAGAGTTATATCCCCGACTGCGCCCAATACAATAAAATTAAAAAAAAAATTTACGGGAAGGACAAACATAAAGAACTCACATACATAATCAGCCCCGTCGTCGCAAAATTCTCACCTCGATGCTTCCACTCTCTAACGTCCTGCCTCCAACGTCTCAAAACAATGGACGATGAATTCACGACTTACGTCCCCTTGACCACGATCAGGCTCGTCCGGTATATACCCCGGATTTGAGCCAAACTTCATCTGCATATCCAAGTGACGCGAGAGACCTTCAAACTTTCTCTTCTCTTTCCCGGCCGTCGTACGTCGCCTTCGCTGGTTCGACTTATTTAAACGACAAAACTTCTTGAACTCTTTCGGGGCACGATCATCGATGCCTTTCGTGCAAATACATGTGGTCAGGATGACGTTTTCAGCGTTCCTCCCGCCGCGGATCCTAGCTATGAGAATGTTGTTCCAAGACGATATCCCACCTCGTGTGGCAAGTAGCGTGCGTGCGTGCGTGCGTGCGTGCACCATATGGGCGCAATGAACATTGGGGATTGATCATGGGGCGGATAAAAAAAAAAGCTAGGCATGAGATCTGTGCAAACACGTTCGATTCTCACTTTTGTGAAGGTTCGTTCAACATGCTTTGCCTTCTGCGGATGACCTCGAAACCGTTCTGTCACGACATTGTTGAACCCCCTAGATTCATTCGCTGTTTCTGGAGGTGGATAAATCCAGGTATACGATCTTAACATTCATTATCCGCGTTTTCATCGCTAAGATCATGGGAAAAAGGAAAAGGTTCAGATCGACTTATCAGAAAGCTTCCCAACGCAGTGGAAGAGAGCTCACACAAAACACGCGCACGCACAGACATACCGACTTAAGACTGGCCACTGTACAATTAATTCAGGGCGGTACCCCATTCATAAAAGGTGAAATTTTCCCCATGTGCTTTGAGGCCTTTCACGGCTTTTTTTTTTACAGGATACTTGATTTCCCCATACTAGGTTTCAAGGCCTTTATGGTATGGCCAATGAACACAGCATGTCCAAGGAGAAAGCCTGACGAGGAGTTGAAGAAACAGAGAAGGGTGGAAGCAGCCAGGATTAGGGTTGAAACTCGCCTCCCCCAAGAGCATCAACCCTAACGTTCAGCTGATCCACCCAAAAACTTGCATGCATGCCTCCCTGCAAGCCATATATCCCATAATAGTCGTGAGGTGCATCTTTGACTCCAAGTTCAACCAATTCGTTCGCTCTTCATAATTCAGCGGCGGCAATACCAATGGGCGACGACCCCTCCTCCCCTCCTCCTTACCCCATCTTGCTTTTGAGAAAGATGTATCCGGCAGGGTGTTCGAGAATTCCAACAAGTCCCAGCATGTGCGCGCCGTCGTTTGAGATTGCTGCATCCTATACAGTAATAAATTAGCAATATTCTCCCAAGAAAACGCAGGTCCCGTCCATGATTGCGAAGACCTAGAGCGAACTCCCCGCTAACTTTTGGTGCTCGAGACGCGTTGTTGAACTCTATTTTGGCCATTGATATATGCGCGTGCAGTTGCGGCTATCCCGAAACACATCCATATATTGTTACGAAGTCATAGAGACCCATGAATGTGACGGGTTGGTCGGGGTGACCAGATGATTACATGGGTCTTGACACCAGGGTTGCACCGGAGATGGTATTCATGTGAAGGATTGATGTGGAGGACATTACTAATCGCACAGTCGCACAGGAGCTGCCTTCATGGGACCGCTCCGTAATAGATTTCATAAATACGCACAAAAATCAACAGTTTTTTGCCTCTAGATCAGGTTTCACGAGTGTAGCCGCTGAGGTAGCGGACTGCTTTATACGGAATCCCTACGAGAATCCGTGTGCTCTGGTGGATTACAGCACGGAGGCGGGATCAAACTGTCCGATGGGAAAAAATAATATACTTGGGATTTTGGTTGGTGAACCGACTAATCACTGATTGGTAATAATAAATGAATCGTCCGCGATGAAGTATCCTGAGCCGGGGTATTGGGGGTTTGTATCTTCATGACTGGGGAAATGTCATACCATCCAAAATATCCTCTTGGATCGGTGCATGTCCCAATCCCGTGGCATCGCTGGAGCCGATTCGTTCAAGGGTTAAGAGGCCAGAGAGCGACACGCACCTGGTTACCACCTATGAACCTCCTGAATTAGAGCACCGAGATAGGAAAGTCGGCCTTCACTGTGGGAACAGAGAAGGAGGGGCCATACAGTATTAGTTTGCTGCATGCCTTACTCATCGGGTGTTGGCAAGCGTGACGCTTCATTTCCAACCAAAGTGCCAAGTACCGAGTCTAACTCCTCGCTGTGCCTTAGGAAAGAGCATCATCGCGACTAAGAAAGATTTGAGCGCGACTGTCGTTGTATCAGTCCCAGCGGCATAGAGGGAGCCAACGGTGGTTTTGACAGTGTCTGGATGATTTCTGGATGATAGGAGTCTGGTCACAAGGGGGTTACCCTGATACCCGCATCAAGGACACAGGGGGTCAATGCTGGACATTCCAGCTCCCGTCTTCTATCTTTCAACGTACCTCCCCTTCCTGAGACGCTGCGTACTCGAAAGGCCGGCCCATAAGCTCCGTGCGTGCAGCACGCCATAGCTCTGCAGAGAAAAAGCACCCTGGTGTTACTGAGACACACTTTGGCTTCCTTGAATTTCGCGAATGAAGTCCAACTGGGCATGTGGGCAAGAAGTCAACGAGGTATCTGCCAAACAAACTCCGCGCATGTATCCATGATTCGGTACTTGGGAAGTGCGTGTGCATAAATGGACCCAATACGTTTTCAGTGGTTGCTTACCGGGTCTTCGGGCGAATTGATTCTTATCTTGAGGATCATTGCGCCAACGCGTCTGAAGAAGAACGTGGAGGCGATTTGGAAGGAAGCTGGTGAAAGACACTGACTAAGGCTCCTGCTAACTTTGCACGGGTTATCAAGGAGAGCGGTATGGAGGAGAAAGAGTCAGGGTGTCATTTGCGAAACCCGTCCTTTTGTCAGCGAGTTACAATCGTGAGATATGTTGCTGGGACAGCGCCAAAGGACTCACAGCTTTCCAGCCATGGCCATTGTGGGACGACCGGAATAAATGGCAGCCTTCCCCAGCATTTCCTCCGCCACGTCGTAATTATTGAGAATAATCATTTGAGGGCCGAAGAGATCGAAACAGATTATGTCGCCTCTCAATAGTTGGCTGCTGAGATTCAGGATGATATGTCAGGCTTGTGCGCCATAAGAGCTCCGCATGTCGTTCCATCGAATCGATGTCGTGGGGTCCAAGCGGAAATGTTGTAAGCAATAATTCCGCCAGCTTTTGGTCCAGGAGGATATGGGGATCTCGAGCGTCATCTCAGTTGGACAGCGCAAGCGAAGAGCAAAAACTAGCAAGCATGGAGTGGAGAACCATTTCACAATCGACGAAATTGCAGAAGAACTGGAAAAGCACGTCCAGTTCAGACAATGCGAACTGGATCGATTGGTATTAGGAATGTAACTACCCAGCGGCGTACAAGACAACTCACCGAAGTTCAGATAATATAAACTGAGAGAAAGAACGAAAAAACCCATGAGAAAATCCCCATCGTTTGTAGAACTTGGAGTCATGTGATAGTCATGTGATTATCCATAAATGGCAGAAAATAAATAATGATGATCGACTTGCAGTTTCCTAAATAGGATTGATCACATGACCTGATCGACCATTCATCCAAATCTGTTTGCGCCGATTTGTTTTGCACCTTGCTGTAACGTCCTGCGATATATTTGCTCCCAGAGTGCCACCCAAACCTTCGCCATCAGGGCCAATGCTCGCTACTGTGCTCCATCGCATGTCCAATGATGCTGACACGCTGCAGCGATATGTCGATTGTGAAATCATCGCTGCGGAACCAGTCTATCGCACATACAATCCCACAGCCCGTAACTTATCCAGAAGGGCAATCAAGGATGCCCTGGAACGCATAGATGCAGATTGCAAATCCGTTCATGAATTTATTCAGAAAGTCAGCACTATTGAACACACTCTGCGATGTCGACGTGCCACACTTCACAATTTCCTTCAACCTGTGGCTGCCATTCCTATGGAAGTTTTACAACGAATATTCCTGTATGCCGTTCGACAGAAAAAAGGGCATCATTATGGCGGGTGCCTTCCTTCTCCTACCACCAATCATTACGGCGGGTGTCTTCCTTCTCCTATCACTCTCAGTCGGGTCTGCTCGACATGGAGACATGCGGCTCAATCATATCCTCAATTATGGACCCTCGTGCGACTGGAACCCTTCTGTCCTTCCTATGCGCCATATGTCCGTCATTCTCAAGGTCTCTCTTTAGAAATTCATGAGCAAGAGGGAGGCTATATGGATGGAAGGAAGGGAGCGCTGAGAAGCGCTGGTGTTCGGGGCCAGATAACCGCCGTATCTTTACTAGTGGGGCAGCACAGGAGGAGACCCCTTTCCGATGATTTCTGGGAGGAGAATGGCATGTCAAATGAGTCCATTGAACGCCTGACTCTGGTTGCGCCTCTCCATGTGATTGATCCCCATGATTATGGAATAATTCTGACACGCCTTCCATCACTCCGTCACCTGTTCCTTCAAAAATTTTTCATTCCATTGCCTACTCAGCTAGCAAAACTCGTTACTCTCACTCTCTTCCATGTTGATGTCGATGGCCTGGAGTTTATCGACTTCATCAATGCCTGCAGCAATATCCAGGAATTGACACTGGACGAAGTGTCGATCAATTGGCGCCACAATTTCACCAATCAACAGCTAACGTCTCTCCATACTCTTTCTGTTCGCTATCCACTCGATACCGCATCTCCTTTTGACTGCTACCGGATGCCTAATCTCCAATACTTTACTCTGAGTTTCCCCCATACATGGAACAGAAATAGGGACATTATGAATGACAACTTGAGTTTTTATGAGGTCCTTGATAATCATCATTATCTTCCGAACCTGCGTACGGTGAAGGATTTTGTAAGTCAACACCTTTTCTTTTACCACAACACCTGCCTCATGTTTCTCATAGATTATAAATACACCGACGATCAAGGTCATTACCTTGGAGGGTGCGATGAAGCCCTTATTCTATGCCCTCAAAAGATTGTGGCCTCATTCATCTCTGGAGCGTGATAATCTTCCTGGCCTCACCCACCTCACCATTTCTGTTCCGAGGTATCTTGAACGACCTCCTGAACACACAGTTGGTATCCGACTCTTGATAAAAGCTCGCTTAGAAGGCCGTCAGGCAAAATCAAGACCGCTTCAGAGATTAACAGTGCCACGCTTCATGTTTGAGGATGATCTGAATTGGGTTCGAAGCCAGGTGCGAGAGTTGGAACTGACTGATTGATGACGGTGCTTTGAGCGGTACGTGCTATGGACTCATCAGATGGATAAACATCCTCATTCTTATCCTCTGCCACCATGTCCAGCAAGCTAATCAAACAGTGCACACAGCTCTACCTTCAGTGTTGGGGCACTGAATTAGCGCTGGTCAGGTATCCCGTCGGCAACAGTAATGAGCAACGCTCCTTGCTACCTGACGGCCTAACAATGCTCTGCCTTCCCATCCGTTCTGTGTACATACCAGTGTACCCAAAATTTTACTCGATGAGTGCGATATCTCGAGTGCCACGATTTTGGGCTTATTCCAAATGAAAACTCGGATGGCATACTCTGAACAATAGACCGTGCGTAGGGATTCAACTTACCGAAGGTCATAATAACCCTTCACCATCCGCAAGACCGGAATACTCACCATGCGGCGCTAGACACGAGTCAAGCCAGGTGAAGAACTTACCAATCTAAAGAAAGAAGGGAAATCAACAAAAGTAGATCCATAATAAGAGATGGTTGTGTAAATGAGGCGTGGAAGCCAATGCGTGCAGCGGACGCGAGAACAAGCAAGGGAGACGACGTGCAGGACGTGTCGTTGATGCCCGACCTAGAAAATGCGTCCCAATTATCGTAAACTAGCATGGCTGAATCGCGCGGCTAATCAGCATGCGAAGGAGCCGATGGTGGGTACGACGGAGAAAACAAGGCATGGGGCCATAGGATGCAGCGGATGCAAGGGAAAAAAAGATGAGTCAGCGTGAGCTCTGGCGCTCCGCAACACACAACATCCCTAGCGAGATTCTATTCGCAAGATTCGAGATGGAAGCTGAAGTGTGTCTCAATAACACTACGTTGTTCGTGCTGACTATGTTTTTCCTATAGTGTGCCACTCATGCGGAGCTTGTGAGTTGGCTTTTTGAGTATGCGATATCCCAGGAGGCTTGGGAAAGCATGTTCAAAATTAGTTAGAAGTCTAGCGGTGTGCTCCTGATGCCAGCCTGGTTCGTCGCGACCAGACTCCTGTCATCTGGAAATCATCTAGATACCCTTCTACATTGCGGAAATTGACACAGCGACGGTCGCACCTAAATCTCTTGATGCTCTTTCCCAAGGCACAGCAACGATGTGCGAAGGCGGGTGGGGATGCGTGAACCCATAAAGGGGAGTCATCGACCTCATAGCGAGGAGGACGAGATACTGGCAATTTAGAGGCTGAGACTCCTGTGAGAGCAAATGTACCCTGAAGCGCGTATCTACGAAACTCGCCCAGAACCACGATGAGCGGAAAACGATTGGCGGTGTGCAAGTAATCCCACGCTCTGGTGAAGGGAAGAAAACGGGAACCCAGTAGCCATCTTGGTGGCCTTACGAGCTGCGCTGAAGCTAGTAATTTCCCCCAACCCGACATTCACCAACCACGCTGGCATTGGAGCAGACGATTCGATATAGTGTAAGTGAGCGCAGGTCCATAGGTACACATCAGGCTGATGGCGTATGACAAATTAAACAAGCACGATTCACCCGTGAATACCATTGAGTTATAAGAGTATCCCATGTGTATGGGGTGATGGAGGTGACGTAAGGGACTTCGGGAACAGTATTGTTGAATCCGGCGCCGTGGAGTTCGAACGAACTGTCCATCGCCAGATTACGAGGATATCGGTCAACTCAATCGTAAGAGAAATGACAGCGAATGTGTCGGGGATCTGGTAGGTTCGTGGATTCAGGCAGTTTCATCACTTGAAGCCTTAGAATCGACACCTGTGGGTAGCTATGAATCTCGGAAAATGGCCGAACCTTTTCTTTCTTCTTGGTGGAACCCCAGTAGCTTTCGCGATACTTTCGTATTTGGGATTTGTTCTGGGACGCAGGAGTTCCCGGTTCGGTTCGGTTCGGTTCGGTTGTGAGAGGTCGGCACGATACTGCCACGGTGAGGAAATGCCGGTCTTCACCGTGTGGGACTCCCGTACCCGATTACGGGAGGTCCGGTATACCCACTAAAACCCCGCTACTGTATAGCCGGTTATCCGGCAGCCTCTTCCTCGTGTAAATTGCCACTCGAGGGCTTTGGGCCCGTATTTCTTGCGGTTCGTAAGTGCAATGTCCTGGTGAAGTTTATTGTTTAGGCTCGCTTTTAGCGCGTTCACCACTTCTTTTATAATGGTGGCGTGGCATCTCCCGGGCGCACTCGGATTACCGTTCTGAAGATTCTCGTCTCTCCTTTCTGGTTTTCTTGTTTCTGGATCTGATATTGATGATGGGGTGCTGCCATGGTGTAGGAGTTGTGGGCCAGGGTATCTTCCTGCAGTCGCACATTGTTTTGGCTATGGTCCATATGCCATGATCTTGTCACTGTGGTTTAGGAGGCGGTCAAAGAGTGTGTGCACATCGATTCTCTTTGTTGGCAGTGGTTGCAATCACTGCAGTGGTCATCTTCCCCCGACTTTGTGCCCATTGTGGAGTATGAAGTTTCGGATCTCCGGTTAGAGCTCTTTTCGGTTCTTGTCCCAGATTCTGTCCGTGGCAGGATTTCCATTGTCTGTGTTCTCGAGTGAAGACCAGATCAGGCTGATGTTACCGGTTAGGTGGGCTCTTGTTTGTATCTTCTCGCCAATCTCGCTCTGCGCATTAGTTTATGGGCTTTGTCACACTCCGTTCGGGATATTGGATGGGTTCCGGAGTTGGCCGAGTTGGGCGTGCCGTAATTTGTTCCTAAACCCTATATTAACTCCGTCGTCCTGAGAGGTGGAATGCGCGTCCGTACACTACTCCATCGGTTTGACGAACTCAAGCTGCGTCGCTGATTACTCTAGTGGGGCGTTAGTATCGGAATTTCATCCGCTAAGTGGGATATTATTACGTACATCCAGAACCAGATACCGAAAAAATTCAAGAGCAACTCGTGCCTCCTTCTGCTAGACCTCCTCAGCCAAATAGAATCAATCAGCACATCAGTGTTATGCTTCTTGATAGACTCCACCAGCAGCACTTGATAACTAGAGTTCTCTGCTGTGCCTGCAAGCCACTACTAGTGCTTACTAGGTCAGATTGATCCTTTGACCACCTCACCAAGGCTGGAAGTGTGCTCGACGTCTATGCCTCCTGAGTCTTCATCTCGGAACCTAACCAGTCCCAGGGAAATGGTGTAACCTTCGATGCAAACTTGCATGGCAATGGGGAGAGCAAATGCAACGCAGTTTTCGAAAGAGCTGCCGTATTTTTTAGGGCATGCGTCTGAGAGAGAGGAAAGGGACTGATGAATGGGGCGTCCGTGAGCCCCTTGAATCTTAACAAAGTCGACTTTATGACGGCATACAATCTATGTAATGGAGAGTTACAACCTGCTTGCTTTGCGCGACGAACGGCTGCGATAACAGCTTCAATATGGTTGGTCTGCCGTCTTTCAGTCAGAACCCTAGGCCTGGGACATGTGTTGTCGAATAGAATGGCAGAAGGGGCAATGACAAATGACATTATACCTAAGGAGTCGCAACGAAGCTCTCAAACGTCCTGTCATCTCCGTGTGGATTTTCATGAATTCCAGGTGCTCGAGTACTAGCATCACGCCCCGCGTAGGCCGGCTGAATCCCTAGTAATTATTTCCTGACTATCCACGGATGATGCGTTTTAGTCCGGAGATGTGTTCGTGCAACCAAATGCCGTTATCCTCTGGGTCGATATAGCCTTTGACCCCAGCTGTGGTTTCGACACATTGGTCCAGCGCTATGTATGGTGAGCCTCTTAGAGTGAACGTTAGCGGATCTCTGAATGGGCACTCCTGATCGATGGTCAGCGTGACATAATTTTGGCGAGTCCTTCGGACACTCTTCCTATGCAACAACGACAGCAAAATGAGCATCTTAAGACATAACCAGCCTTCCATTGATCTATCCATTGTTGTGCCTGGTATGGGCTCGCTCAATGGGGAATACTCATTGGGTAGTGCGCAGTTAAGTTACGAACATGTGCAACGCGTCCGTTGAGACCACCTGCCATGCCTGTTCGGGAGGGAACCGTTGTACAGTCGCCTTCTTGAATTCAAGCGAGCACACAATGAGTATGTCCAGAATCTGGTAGGCGTGCAGGATTCTGGCTCCGTCGCCCGCAACCTCAAAATGTGCTCTATAGATAATATGTTGCTAGACGCATAAAACAATCATCCCTCTTCGGTGAGAGAAATGCATTGCAGCACCACGACGAAATCCCTCTTCCCGTTCCAGGACCAGATTGTAGTATACATTGTACGAAATACAGGTTACATGAAGTGGACCGAACCATTTGGAATTGCGTCGTCATAAAGGGTCAGCAAGAAGAGTCGAGAGATTCAAGTGCAGTATTGATGAGCGTAGAAGTTTCCGGTGACCTAGGGGTGAGATCGCAGGCTACTTCATCGATCAAACTGTTCATACGGGACCAGTTAAAGGGAAGTCGTGAGTGCTGACCAGTCAACATACCTTGCGTGACCAACGCGGAGATCAGGTTCGATACAGTGAACCCCGATGCGTTTTGTGATGTTGAACACCGACAGAATTGAAGCAAACGTGATGAAGATGATGGCATCAGCAAAATGGAGGCCAACGCATTTCCTAGAGAATCGGTTGTTACTAGGGAAGATCGGTGCAAGCGGCAGAAAATAGTTGCCTTCTGCCAAATCCAAATATGAATTCCTTCGGGTCGAGAGCAGGGCTATCACCTAAGAACCGTTCGGGCCTAAATTCTTCCGGCTCTGGGTAGTGGCGTTCGTCCCTACTCATTGCCCTGAGAGCGTGCGAAATGCTGAGAGAACCAAAGGTTGCGAAGGACCAGGAGAAACACTAACCATTGATTTGGCATGATGATTGAATCACGAGGAATGAAGTATCCTAAGGTGTTGGTGAATCAATACTGTTTTCGCTGTCCAAGACGAAACGAGTGTCACACCTCCGTAGATATCGTCCTCAACAGGGGCATGACTCACTCCGAGGGGAAGTACTGATGGGACGCGGAGGAAATAGGTAAATCCTGGAATTTGTGTGTGCGGATGTCCAAAACACACCAGGGTGCCATCTGTGCACTTCCTTGATCACAGCGTTAAGATATGGGAGATTGTCTTGACTACCGCCCGAAAGAAATAGTGTCAGTGCGATGCCGAGTTAAGATACTCTACCTACTCATCGAAAGTTGGAAAGCGCAGCACCTCGTGCTTAGACGAAGTCCCAAGCACGACGTCTAATTCTTGCTGGGCTTTTTTCTGAACCTCAGGATTGAGCATCATTGCAGTGAGAAATGCTTTGATCCCGACAAGAGTTGTATCTACGCCAGCGGTGTAGAGGGTGCCAGTGGCCAGCTTCACGGAATCTGGATTCTTCCCAGCAAGCATCAGTCTGTTCACAAGCGATAAGGACTAGCAATGCGCTTTATTAGGCAAGCTTCTATCCAAATTAAATGTTGGGCATACCTCTTGAGACAATGCGTACTCGAATGATCGATTCAGGAGTTCTTTGCGAATCGCGCCCAAGGACTGAAAAACGGTTGTGGGGTGGAACATGTACATCGTACATAATGTCATAAAATGTACGTACCTCTGCCTCTTTCTTGAATTGTGCGAATGGAATACTACGAGGAACATACACAAGGATAGGGAAGAAATCGACCAGATGTCTCCCAAAAAAATTAAAATTGAGCGCCTTGACGAACTTCTCGATAATTTGCAAATACTGAGGGAGCATCATTACAATATATCCAGAAAGCCATGGATTGTGACGCAGCTTACGTGGTCTTCGGGGCCCTTAACATTAATCCCATATGTCGTTTTGAGAATCACTCCACCAAGGCGTCTTATTTAAAACGCATGTCCGTATGTTCAGATGGCAGCAAAATCTGAGAAAGGCATCAGCGACTCACAGACGCAGGCGGCCCTCAAAGGTGAGCGGGTTCTCGAGAGCATCCGCGAGTATGCGCAGACAAGCCTCCCAAAGGGTCCCGTGGAATTGCGTCATTGATTTCCTTGCCATCAGTTGATGAAGCATCGCCCTTCGTTCTCTCCATTCCATCCCATAAGGAGCAAGAACAACGCTGGAGTCTTCGACACCTAACCTATTGGCACGCGACCGAGTGAGTAAATGTCGGGCAGATGCATGCCTGATGGGACTCACAGCCTTCCAGCCCAAACCATGGTAGGTCGGTCAGAGTAAATTGATGCATTATTTCCAAGCATGTCTTTAGCGACCTCATAGCTATTTAGAACGATCAACTGGCGGCCAAAGAGATTGAAGCCGACAACATCGCCTGCGATTTCATCACCTAAACACATTGTTTTATTTGGGTGCTATGGCGGCCCCACACACCGTAAGTAGCTCGAAACTCTGAGAATATCTTCCAACATGATGAAGTCCTAGGGCTTTGACGAAGAAGCCTGCAAGCGATGATGCCTCCAAATCTTGGTCCAGGAGTGCAAGGAACCCCCTTAGATCGGCTCCTCCATTCATGGCTACGGATGACCTTCCAATAAGCAAAGTAAACCATAAGCAGCAAAAGCAGCCATCCCATCATTGGGCTTATGCTGAACATTAACACAGCCAGTCGAGATGACAGCTCTGAGAGAAAACTCTCTAAAAGTAGATGAGGGGGTGAGGCAAGCCTTTTATCCCAAAAGGGGGATCGAAGGAGGGGGAACCGATAGGACCCCTCATGATACCATCGAACCGAAGCCAGCAGAAGAACGGGACTGGCTACCGGGAGTACGATGGGACATATGTCCTCTCAACTTAGAACAAATGGACCGCTAAAACATTCGGCGAAGGGACGGAAAAATTATTTGCTGTGACCACATGAGCTAATAAGGCCGGATTCAAAGTGATCGCAGAAGCAGAGACAGATTGGTCCCAATCTAGAAAGGCCGAAGCTCTGAACGGAAGGGGCAAAATTGACTTTGAGCGAAAAAAATGACGTATCCCATCAGGGATCTCCTAAGGAAGGAGCCTTGATCTGGAAAACCCAATGCAAAATGTAATTTGTGATGAGAAACACATTAGAACCCCTTCCAACATCGATCCTCCTGCAGCCCAAAACTCCTCCAGGACTGCAGGCTTCGATATCAACTTCTACCTCTTTATTCCCGCCCGCACCGGAACTCGGAAAGCAGGACTCGGACATCGTCCTCTGCCTCATCAATGACCTTCCAGACGGATCATCAAGTCCAATATTTCAAGGGGTGTCAGTTAAACCCGTCCCTTTACTCAAGCTTCGGACCCTTGTTTACCTGGACGGGGCGATACCCCGTCGCGACATTGCCCGTGGTTGGATTTCTACGTGGAATCAGTATACCACTTATAGCCTGTTCCAACCAAAATTTTCCGCTGTGCCCACATACCACCAAGGTTGAGGTACGTCTGAGGTCCCGTATCAGATTGAGGGCTGGAACTCTGTTCGATGCTCCATTGCTCCCATTCTTCAGAGGATTCACCCATCTCAGAGCCCTTCGCTCAACTAGCCCCACGGCGGAAGACCGGGTAATACCCCGTGCAGGCATATTTGGCGATGTTGAGAACAAATCGAGTGTGACCTTCGAAAGAGCCACCGCATTTGTCAGTGTAGACATTGGAAAGAGAGGGAGAGAGATTCAAGGGCAAGGAATCGGGCGAGGAATCCATGGACTCGTGGATTTAATTAAGGCCAGACACAATCTGGTGCTACTTACCTGCTTGCTTTGCACGATGAGCGGCTACGGCGAAAGCTTCAATATCATGGTTCTGGCTTCTTAGGCCTGGGTATGCATCGCTGAACGGAATGGCAGAGGGACGGCGGAGTTGTCGGGTCATCCACCTCCCTTAGGAATCGCAACAGAGCTTTCAAGCACCTGGCATCCTATCGTCGCCGCATAAATTTTGATGCTCAAGCACCAGTTCTATATCTCGGGGCCAACTGAATCCATCCCTTGGATGCGGACGAAGTCGATGACGCGTTTCAGGTGAAGACCACTATTTTCTAGACTGATATGACCTTGTGCGTCCGCGGCTGTGACCTCAGCACATATCAATCCAACACCATGCATGGTAAGGCTCTTAGAATGAAGAGAATATGGTCATACTTACTCGAAGTTGGACGAGGTGGGTCAACATAACTGCACACACACACAAGTACCTACAATAGTTCACTCACATCGCAAAGTTGGGTTTTACAGACGCTGCAAGCAAAATTTGACCCACCACTCAGTCAGTTCCTGCGCAACAACAGCAGCAAAATGAGCTTTTAAGACACATAAGCTGTTCGATCGATTTATTCGCCGCTGGTAAGACTGTGCCTGAAGCGGGCTCGCCCAACGGGTAACGAGCTCGTTTTACCTTGCTTGCAAGGAATCTTAACTTTCCCGCCCTGTTGATATTGCTTCTTCTTTAGGGCACAAGCAACAGCGCAGCGGCCCGTTACAGGAAGCACTATGAAATTGCGTCATCAACACGCACAACGGGCTTGTCCTGCACACATGGAGCGGCGTTATTGAAAGCGAAGCGTGCTTCCCCGAGAATTGGCTAAATGGTTTTAGTGGGTATACCCGCGTGGTCGCGTGAGCCCCGCACGGAGCGATAACCAGCATTTCCCCTCGGTGGCAATTTCGATCACATGGGCACACGACGCACCGTCAGGAAGGCTCGATCTATCCTTCCGCACAAACCTTTCAGGCCCTAAGCCCGAGAAAGCTATTGAAGGTTCCACCAAAAAAAAGAAGAGATTGCAGGTGCGCTCTCAATTGGTAGGGAGGGATCAGACGAGCGGAACTCCATTCTTCCCACCCAATTCAAGCGGTGGACCCCCCATGGGTCTCACCCTTCCAAGTGACAAAAGTACGCCAAATACTACTGCAGAACGATGATATTCTTACCACACTTTAGCCCTGCACGACGATGTACCAGCTTTTGCTGAGAAGAATCCGTCATTTGGCGCAGACTCCGTTACTTTTCCTATATCATTGCATGTGCAGGTCCTCCAGGCAACTTAATGGGAGCAGTCCGAGGCGAAAATGTCCCAGAGGCATTTGGCGCGAACCTGCTTTGCACTGTTTTGGCGCCACAATGATGCACCACTTGCTAGGATAGCCAAAAAAAAAAGAACCAGAAGTAACGAATATCATACGAATCGTTGAAATGAGGAAAAACAGATTTCCATGCAGTGCAGTTGATCCGTATGTCAGGTGGGAAGTTGGTCAGTGCAGACCGCTGAAATGCCAGATCGTCTGCTCGGTGTCCTTGTCTGCTCAACCTTTCGTCTCGGAAAGAGGAGTAAGGCAAGGCTGTGGTGTAATTGCTAAAGTGGTGGCCTTCCATAAGGATCTCCCTCGCCAGCTCGGCTGTACATGCTGGCTTCCGACATGCTGACAATGGTGCTTTGCTGTAGACTGTTCTTTCTTAGGAACAATCTGGAACGGGTCTTCGGTAATTTCAGCGACCGAGCCTAACTCACTTCCGAGGACCGACGATTCGGGCCGCGGTGGTCCCCTCTGCGCGGGCTAGGATAAGCCTCTGGGTATCCTGTATTCGCGAATCGCCGTTTGGAGCTCGAGGAACCACGCAGGATCACGGGGATAGGCGATGAAGCGCTATCATTATAGTTGCTGCTTCTATCATTGTTGGTTCGCCTACAGATCTGTTGTATTTGAAATCGTGAAGAATGGGGTTTCTCAAAGACTGCGGTTTTTATTCAAAGGATATACCCAGTCATCAGAAGAGGATCCCAGAAGATCCATATTGCCAATGATGTCAATGTATTTACCGTGTGATTTCATACTGCGACGACTGGTGGGGTGGATCTACGTTTATGTCTCCCTGTCCCGCATAATGGCTCCTTCGCGCACTTCAATTCGGTGCGTGCATCCAGCCGTAGGCGGTTCGGCTGGTTACATAGAATGGATTGGCTGTGTATGAATTCACATTGCATAATCAAGAAGAGTCGTCGAGAGATTCAAGTGAAGTATTGATGAGCGCAGCTGTCCCGGGTGACCTGGGGGCCAGATCGCATGCCGCCTCATCGATCGGACTGTTAGAGATGTCTAGTTCAGAGGCGAACATGAGTTGTGGCAGGCGACCCAACAACGTACCCTGCATGACCAACGCGAAGATTGGGTTCGACATAGCGATCCCCCGTGCGCTTCGTGATGTTGAACGTCGACAGAATCGAAGCAAACGTGATGAAGATAACGGCATCAGCGAAATGCAGGCCAACACATTTCCTAGAGGATCGGTTGTGACTAAGGTAGACTTGTGCTGGCACCAAGTCGTGTACAATTACCTTCTGCCAAATCCAAGTATGAATTCCTTCGGGTCCAGAGCAGGATTATCACCCAAGAACCGCTCGGGCCTGAATTGTTCTGGCTCTGGGTAGTGATGCTCGTCCCTACTCATCGCCCTAGGACAAATTCTGAGAGGAAGTACTGAAGGAGCAAGACGAGCGAAAAACACTTACCATTGATTTGGCATAATGATTGAATCACGAGGAATGAAGTATCCTAGATTTTTGGTGAATCAACGTTTTCGCAGTCCAAGACGAAATGAATGTACACACCTGCATAGACATTGTCCTCAACAGGAGCGTGACTCACTCCGAGAGGAAACACTGATAGAACCCAGAGATAATAAGTGAATTCTGGAATTGGTCGGTGCGGACGTCGCCCAAAACACACCGGGATGCCATCTGTGCACCTCCTTGATCACGGCATTGAGATATGGAAGCTTGTCTTGACTACCACCCGAAGGGAATAATGTTAGGAGAATATGAGTCTTGTACCAAGGTGATACGCTCTGGCACCCACTCATCAAAGGTTGGAAGACGCAGCACCTCATGCTTAGACGAAGTGCCAAGCACAGCGTCCAGTTCTTCTTGGGCTTTTTTCTGCACCTCAGGATAGAGCATCATTGCAGTGAGGAATGTTTTGAATGTGATGAGGGTCGTATCCACACCAGCAATGTAGAGGGCGCCGGTGGCCAGCCTGACGGAACGTGGATTCCTTCCAGATTGTATCAATCTGTTCACGAGCGACAAAGGCTAGTAGAACGCTTCAGTAGGAAGGCTCCTATCCAAACAGGATTGTTTGACGCACTTCTTGAGACAGCGCATACTCGAATGGTCGATTCAGTAGCTCTTCACGAGTCGCGCGCAAGAACTGCGAAAAAATCGTTAGGGTGCAACCTATACATCATACATGATGTCGTACCTCCGCTTCTTTTCTGAATTGCACGAACGGAACGCTGCGAGGAATATGCAAAAGAATGGGGAAGAAATCGACCAGGTGCTGGCCAAAAAAAGTGAAATTAACCGCCTTAACGAGCCTCACCACGACCTGCAAATACTGAGGGAGCGTCATCATAACGTGTCCCAAAATGTCAGGCGTTCTGACGTAGCTTACGCGGTCTTCGGAGTTCTTGACATCGATCCCATACGTTGTTTTGAGAATCACTGCACCAACGTGCCTTGAAACGTATATCAGATTATACTGGAGAAGTATGAGCGACTCACAGGCGCAGGAGATCCCCAAGGGCGAGCGAGTTCTCGAGAGCACCCACGAGTATGCGCAGAGCAGCCCTCCGGAGAGCACCATGGAATTGTGTCATTGATTTTCTTGTCATTAGCTGATGAAGCATCGCTCTTTGTTCTCTCCACTCCAACCCGTAACGGAGTTGAGAAAAACCAGTGTTTTCGGCGCCCATCCTATTGGTACATGATCGAGTAACTACAAGATGAACTAAAACGGCGTATAGGTATAGGACTCACAGTTTTCCGGACATAACCATACTAGGTCGGTCCGAATAAATCGACGCATTAGTCGCAAGCATATCTTTGGCGACCTCATAGCTATTGAGAATGATCAACTGGCGGCCAAACAGATCGAAACCGACGATATTGCCTGCGATCGCATCTCTTAAAATCACATTGTCATCTCAGTGCTATATCAACTCCATGCACACACCGTATGTTTCTCGAAATTGTGAGAATATTTTCCAATGGAACGAGTTTTGGCGAAGAAGCCTGCAAGCAATGATACCTCCAAACCTTGGACCAGGAGGGAAAGGGAACCCCTTGGAATGACGCCTCCATTCATAGTTACAGGCGCATTTCCAAAGAGCAAAGCAAGCCAAAGGCACCAAAAGCAACCATTGCATCGATGGGATCGACATGTTGGACATCAAGTGCAGCCAGAGGAGATGATCAGAGAGCAAGCTCCTCCAAAGCAAATCGATAAAGCATCCCTCTTATACCAGGAAATTAGGATTAATATTTGTGATATAATAAAACTAATATCCAGGAGTGATGGCAGCAGCAGATCCTAATCGAGAGCTCCGAATTGGGGCGTACCCCGTAACTGCGTGCATTCAAAATACTAATGTGATTTATAATGGCAAAATGCATTGCCTCGAGGTAGCCACCTTGTTCCGTAGCGCAGGGGGGTGCCATCCACGTCTACTAGTACCGGGTTCTGAGGACTAGTCTTCGTCAACAGCTCGGAAAGCAGAACCCAGACCTTGTCTTCCGCCTCAGCAAGGTCCCCCCAGCCTGAGATGGAACATCGAGCTCAGTCAAATTAGGTTTATTTGGCCTGCAAACTTCAGGCTGCTCGCCTAGGGCAGGGGTCTCGAGAAAAACACGCGCAAATAAAGTAGACATAAGAAAATAAGTCCGATCTGGGTGCACTGATCGTTCTCCTAGGCGGGATCCTAGCCTCTCATCCTCCTTCGTTCGTTCGGACCATATTCCCCTGGCGAGTCGTCACTTACAGATGTTCGGAGTTAAATTAGGTAAGTCAGTGCATGCGTCGGTGCCGAAAGGGGATATATGGTGAAGCCTGTGCGCAGACCATTGAGGTCAGGTCTCCACTACCTTAGCATCATCTCTCACTAGTAATATAGAAGAGAAGGGAAGAAGCGGGGCCAACCAATCGATCGACACGGGATCTCACGAAATCATTATATCTTCGGAGCGTTCTCTCAAATAAACTACCTTCAGAATATTCATTAAGTAACTCGAGGGCTACAGCTCTCGTAACGGGGCTGTGTCATGGCATACATTCTACGGAACTCTACATTGGGGATATCTACATTAGCTATCTAAGGTCTTTTGCGTTGGAGCATCCTGGTCCAAGCGCGCTCATACTGGTTCACCGGCTTGGCAGCAACTCCAAGCTGCATCGCAGACTAATCCCCAGTAGAAAATCAGTATCAGAATTCCATCTGCCAAACGAGATTTCATTACGTACTTTCAACGCAAAGTCCGGGTTGCGCAAAAATTCACGAGCAACTCGAATTACATCTGCCTGGCCCTTCTGCAGGATCTCCTCAGCTTGCTTCCCATCAGTGATCAGCCCAACCGAACCGATCAGCACATCCGGGTTATGCTTCTTGATAGACTCTGCCAGTGGAACTTGATAGCCTGGTCCAACCGGGATTTTCTGCCGTGCCCACAAACCGCCAGAGCTGACGTCTACGAGATCCACACCAGATTCATCCTTTAACAGCCTCACAAGTTGGGAACTCTGATCGACGCCCCATTGCTTCCATTCTCCAGAGGATTCATCCTTCTCAGGGCCCTCCGCCCAATCATTCCCAGAGATGCGGTAGAAAATGGGGTAAGACTCGCCAACCTCGGCGCGGACACGTTTGGCAACGTTGAGAGCGATTCGAATGCGGTTTTCGAAAGAACCGCCGTACTTGTCGGTGCGGGTGTTGGAAAGAGGGGAAAGGAATTCATGGATGAGGTATCCGTGAGCTCCGTGGATCTCAACAAAGTCAACTTGGAAATGTTGTGCTAAGACTAGACATAATGTAAATCTGATAGAGGTGTTACTTACAACCGGCCTGCTTTGCGCGACGAGCGGCTGCGACGAAAGCTTCTTCGATATCATTGATCTTTGTTTCAGTCAGGGCCTTGGGTTTGGGGTATACAGCTTTGAATGGAATGGCGGAAGGAGCAACGACTTCGTCGGGCCATCCACCTTCCTCGGGAGTCGCAACGGAGTCCTCAGGCATCCTATCGTGTCCGCGTAGATCTTCCTGGGCCCAGGTGATCGAGTACTAGCTTTACGTCCCGCGTGGGCCAGCTGAATCCCAATGGTCGTCCCTTGGGCGTGGACGAAGTCGACGACGCGTTTCAGCTGGGGAATGTGTTTGTCCGACCAAATACCATTATCTTCTGGACTGATGCGACCTTCTGGAACTACGGCTGTGGCCTCGACGCATATCGATCCGGCACCGTGTGTGGCGAAACTCTTAGAACGAATGCATTAGAGGAGCCCCAAAGGGATGGGACTATATGAACTTACTCCGAGGTGAACAAGATGCCAATCAGTCATAAGACCGTCGACGGAACTGAACTGACACATAGGTGCCTACAATAGTTCACTCATGTCGGAAATTATGGAAGCTGCACGCAGAGTTCCACCTACCACCCAGAGTCGGTTCTTAAACGTGACACCTCTGATGGTCAGCGGTTGAAACAGTTTTGGCAGATTCTTGTTTTCCGGATACTCTTCCTGTGCAAAAAAGAATGAGAGGACAGAGTAGTTTTCGATCGGTTTACTCACCGCTGGTAGGGCTGTGCCTGGAGCGGGCTCGCTCAATGGATAATACTCGTTTGCGTTGGGCACTACGAAATCGCGTCATCAACATGCGCTATATATCCTTTCAGGTCACGTACCGTGCTTGTTCGGAAGGGGACCGCTAGGTGCGCGAAATCTCTTGTTTTCATCCACTGGAGGGAATTCAGAGGATTCGGAAGGGGACTCGTCAAAAGCAGAGACAGAGCTCGACATCCTAGCCTGCGTTGAGTTTTCTCCAGGTAAGCTGGTCGTATCAAAAAGCTGTAGCGGAAGACGCGATCCAAGGTGGGTCGTGGATTCGGAATCATCGGGTCAAAGCATGGAGTATATATACGTATTCGGTTACACAACACAAGCGGGAGATGACGAAGCACTAGACGCGTCCGCGGATTTGTGCCATTGTATAAGGTTCCGCAGCAGCTGAGTCACCAATTATAAATCACTGAGGATGATGGAAGAAGTAGAACACGCGGCGAATGTGGAGATGCCGATTACCAATGTACACAACAACAGTTGAGGGTCTTATACATAATCCCTGAGCGTGCCAACGCTGTTTACCATCTGAGTGCTGAGAAAACTTTACACCTCACCGCGCCCAGGCACACAGAGTCATGGTTTGCGCGCGCAAGACATTCGCCATGGAATGAGTGACGATCTGCGGTGTTTTGCCATATTAAGCAGGGACACTGCTTGCTGCGGCTGTGCTACAGCAACTCACATTTGAAGACCTATAAGCCAAGCCTGACGGCCAATTGCAAGTACCTAGCATACCGCTCCGCCTGGACCAGGACTCAAATCTGCGGTTACCATAACTCCCGACCTTGATTCGATCCAGACCACCCCCTCCATCTCTAGATAAGGGGGAACGGGTAGGATTGTAATGCAACCACTCAACTTGTTAACTAATTGGGGATACTCCAAATTTCGCGCTTGCTTCGAGAGCATCCACAATTTCTTCGCTGGTTCCCACGAGGAAACCCTCCCTGAGATGGACCTCGGAGTTCCCGATAACTTAAATTCTCACATCCGGTCTCATTCTGCTACTCTAACCGTCAATCCGCAGGCATCTTTCCGTAATTACGCCATAGCTCTGAATGCACTCGCACGCAGTCTCCATGCAGGCATTCGTGATGTGAAACCTGGGGAATTGGTCACTGGAAGGAGGCGTCCATTACCTGTTGAAATCGTGTTAGAGATTTTTGAGTGGGCAGATATCAGGGTGCAGGCTGTTGAGTTTCATTCTGATAGTTGGGTATCGGCACACGCATCCAATGGTGAAGCCTCGAGGTCGATCTGGTTCTCTGCGGGGCCATTGGGACCAGAATTGCTTCAGCAAAGGCTGAGCATGCAGCTTGAGACGCTTTCTCATGATCAGGGATGGGTGGGCGATCCATCGGTACGTACGCCCCGACTTATTACAATTTGATCAGGTTCCGTCCTAACTCATTTCCAACACTAGGCTGGAAGCTGGTCAGGGTTTGAGATAGCAATAACCACAAGAAACCCCACCAATGGCCAACTACGAATCCTACAAACGGAGGGCGATAATATCCAGTTGCTGACCTGGAAATCTCATTGCAACACTATAGAAACCCGTTTTCCTATTCATCACACTGGTATCGAGTTTCGGCCAGACCATGAAATTTGGTCGCTCTTAAAGAAGATACTAGCAGCCGTTCCATTACTGTGTACGCATTCGCACAATACCCAGGGTGGTCTTGTTTTGCGGAAAGAGGGATACTGAGAGTCATGAAAACGTTCATACCAACACACATTCATCCAACTGATCCTGTCAATCGTCTGATTGCGTTCGCCGCCGCGCGAATGGTCAAGTTGGCCGATGAACCACTGGATACTGGTACCCTTTCACTCTTGTTAGTTTCAGGCGGACCTAACAACCCGCCATGCTCCCCTTCCTCTCTGCGCGTTCCCTACATATCCGCGCCTTATAATGGATGTAACTCGCCTCGCCATTAGCCACGATACCTATCTCGTTTCTAATTCGCCCTCCCAGCATTGACCGGAAGATACTAGTTTGACGCCTTACGCCCAACTTACGCCATGTTTCACAGGATAAAGTGACCCTTCCTCCAGTCGATTGGTATGATTCGGAGGTGTGAGCAGCTATGCCAGATATTTCCAACCCTGGCATTCGATAGCGCCCTTCCCTCGTTGAGCCGCGTTGAAATTCCCTCACCGGGCGTATGCTAAAGGCTCAGACCCTTGGCTCCGTGCCGGTATGGAATGGGTCTCAAGAATGTGTACCTTCCTGGTTCTCTACTGGACCAAATACTCAAGCAAAGGCTCGCCTTACGCGATTAGTGCAGGCTAGCTGTTCAATCCATCAGTTTATCACGATTTGAGAATGAATTTCCCCTAAAATTCAACTGGAAAATATTCATAGCAGCACGAGATCTCACCCATGGTCGGTCCGAACCATAAATCCTAGAGAAGAGATAGCAGGAATACTGACTACTTGTTGCCCGGGGAAACAGCATCAGAAGTCTGATGGACTGGATTGGTGTCAAGTTCTAAGTCGATGAATCATCGACTTTCAAGGAACACTCCCTATCGCGAAACTGGTCGGGCTTCACGCGTCAAGCTTGAGATGATTATTTCAAGGGTACCTTGGATGAGAATCATACTTGAGTGCCCTGTCGATTCAGCTAAAGCGGAAAATCCTTGTTGCAAGGATGCAAGGAAGTGCGTGCCCTTAGCCAGCCGGATTCGACACTACTTACAGCCTCGCGTTGACATCGGCGTCGACAATTCTCCGGATGATATTGATGGCGAATTTCCAATGGATCATGCAGCCACGGGCGGCGCATATCCCGTCGTCATACCTCGGGGTGATGGTGCCAAGAAGTGTAGTCGTTGCCTGTTTGATACTTTGTGGTTGAAATGGAGAATGGAGAACCCACGACCGATCATAGAGCCTATAGTCCTAAATGTGGTGTACGCAGGACTGAGTATGCATGCGTCGTAGTGAAGAGCAGCGGTTGGGACGTGCACTACGGCCTAAAAGATGTGACACCAAGCAGCAGTATCAACTTTTCAACAGATTAATGTTAACTAGCCGGTGTTAGTTATATATCCGACTTATAAATGAAGCCACGATCTTTCCCCCCTCGTTCTCTCCCTCAGTTGACATTACCTGGACTGAGGGATATCAGCATTATCCACTGATTTCTTGCAAATACTCAACTGCGAGGTAAATAGCTATATATCAGTACCATCTCGGTTCACGTTGTGGGCGCAGGTACGACACCAGTTATCTTCCTCCCACATCTCGGCGCGAGTGTCGTCTACGGGCAATGAAGGGCATGGGTGACATTGGATTGTATTAGTTGCATTGCCTGTTCATACAGCCAGTATTTATCGAGCTGCCCTTGTTGGTAAGGACACAGCGTGTGGAGGATAATACACAACTTCTAAGTTTGGTCGGAGTCTCTGCAGCAGCTGTGGAAGATGTCAAAGACTTGAGTTGTTTTGGCGATTGATATTGAAGCTTGGCAAGGCAGTGCAATTTCCAATGCTAACCTCTCGACCAGTGTAAAGCTTCATGACCACTGCTGCTTCTACAAGTAGCTCTACGTGAGTGTCGATCGGTGTGAGTTCGATAAATGCGACTAATGCACACCCTTTCAGAACGAGGAAACTGCGCATCACAGGTAAGGGCGGTACGGGAAAGACCGAAGCGCCGATTGGTAGTGACAGTGTTTTGCTGGACAGTTATCGCTGCAGATGGTCTGTTGAAGCGCGATGTCTTCAGGCTCCCAGACCCCTTTGCCATTATAACCGCAGACGCGGAACGCATTCACACTACGAGGAGAATCAAGGAAAATCTCAGCCCGTATTGGAATGAAAGTGTCGACGTGCAAGTACTGGTATACATGCATCATTTGCGATGAGCGCTGACCTTAGCATCTCCTCAGCAATGTTACAGAGTCGTCTGTCATTGCCGTTCAAGTATTTGATCAGAAAAAACTCAGAAGACGTGACCTAGGCTTCCTTGGCATGGTGAACATTTCCGTGCGGGATTGCATCGATATCCATGACGAAGGGCGAGGTGTGACCAATGGGATCCACACATCCTGATAGCTACTGAATCCAACGTACCTTTAGTAATGCTCACCCTGGAACTCAAGAAATCGATCGACAATCTGGCAGTACAAGGAAAGCTCATCGTTCAGTTGTCCACAGACACGAGCGCACCCATTATAAACCCTGGATCATCTCGGACGACTGGGGGTCCCTTGGGCGCGTTGGAAAGCCTTAACCTGAACCCTTCTGTTCCTTCCACCTCCACAGTCGCGGTTGGGAACACCCGTCCCATGGGTAATACTCTCGAGGTTCCGTCTAACCCAGCACCAACATCGAACTCTCCAGCAACCTCAACCATTGACCCTCAAAACTCTGTTCGCAGTCGCCGTCCCAGCACGAGCACACCCCGAGCAACCAATCCGACAGGTGTTCTATCACCAGTCACGAACGCAACTGTCCCTGCCGCGACTACCCAATCAGCAAATGCTGTGCGAAGCTTCAATCCTCGAGAAGATCAACATGGTCCTTTGCCCACTGGGTGGGAACGCCGAATTGATCACCTTGGTCGCACTTACTACGTCGATCATAACACGCGAAGTACGACATGGAACAGACCTTCCAATACCGAAGCGGCGAACACTCAAGCACAGCAAGACGCTGATGATGCTCGACTAGATCATAACCGTCGTATTTTGGCGGATGACCTTTTGGAAACCACCAACGATCCACGCTCAGGAGTTCACACTCCTGTTGCGGATGGTGCTGCCTCCGACACCGCCACAGATGCAAATCCTGTTCAGACAACTGCTGCAGGCGAGGCGCTGCCTGCTGGATGGGAAGAAAGACGTACTCCTCAAGGTCGTCCTTACTACGTGGACCATAGCACGCGAACCACGACATGGATCGATCCTCGTCGGACGCCGGTCCAAAATCTTAGACAAGATGGAAACCAAGCCATAGCGCAGCCTCAGTCTGCTTCCCACCTTGGCCCCTTGCCCTCTGGGTGGGAGATGCGCCTTACTTCTAGTCATCGTGTTTACTACGTTGACCATAACACCAAGACGACGACCTGGGATGATCCCCGTCTGCCACAGTCGCTCGATCAAAATGTGCCACAGTATAAGCGTGACTTCCGTCGCAAGCTTATCTATTTCCGCTCTCAACCTGTAATGAAGACTCACCCCGGCAAATGTGAGATTAAGGTCCGACGAAACCTCATCTTCGAGGACAGTTACGCGGAGATTATGCGTCAGACTCCAAGCGATTTGATGAAGCGCTTCATGATCAATTTCGAAGGCGAAGAAGGTCTCGATTACGGTGGTGTTTCCCGGTCAGTATTTATTCATCGTAAGAGTATCAGATTACTCATGTATGTCTGTATAGTGAATTCTTCTTCTTGCTCTCGCATGAGATGTTCAACCCATTCTACTGTTTATTCGAGTACTCTGCAGCAGATAACTACACACTCCAGATCAACCCGGCTTCTGCAGTGAACCCCGAACATCTGAACTATTTCAAGTTTATTGGAAGAGTCATGGGCCTCGCCATCTTTCATCGTCGGTTCCTAGACGCCTACTTCATCACCAGTTTCTACAAGATGATCCTGAATAAGAAGATCACCCTTGCTGACTTGGAAAGTGTTGATGCCGAACTACATCGCAGTATGACTTGGATTTGTACGTGTACCCCTCTAGACAGGGACGACTCTTACGGACGATAAACAGGGAGAACGACATTACCGATATTATCTTCGAAACTTTCACTATGACAGAAGATCGTTTCGGCGAAATGGTGACGATTGATCTCAAGCCTAATGGTGCTGGCATCCCTGTGACAGAGGAAAACAAGAAAGAATACGTCGAGTAAGGCTCCCTCATCATTGCACACACAAACTTGCGCGACCTCTGAATCGATCATACAGGACTATCATTGAGTATCGTATCGTTCGCCGTGTCCAAGGCCAGTTCCACGCCTTCATGTCTGGTTTCGGCGAATTTATCCCTCAAGAGCTCATCAATGTGTTTGACGGGCGGGAACTTGAAGTGAGTGCAGACCAATGGCAATCATTCGGTCACCTAAGCTCTTCCATAGCTTCTCATTGGAGGCATGTCGGATATTGATGTGTACGTGACCCTGTTCGATGCGGTGTTGGAACATATATAACTTCTGCCTTTGTAGTGAGGATTGGACAAAGTATACGGATTATCGTGGCTACGAGCTGAACGATGAAGTCATTCAGTGGTTCTGGCAAATTATTCGAAGCTGGCCAACCGAGCGGAAGTCTCGCTTACTTCAGTTCGCTACTGGTACGTCGCGTATCCCCTTCAACGGGTTCAAGGATCTCCAAGGTTCAGATGGTCCTCGACGGTTCACGATCGAAAAAGCTGGAGACCCTAGCCAGTTGCCTAAGAGTCACACTTGTTTCAATCGCGTATGTTCCCGGCATCGTGTATTTCATTTGATTCTCAGGATGACTATCCATTCTCGCAGATTGATTTGCCACCTTACAAGGATTACAACACTTTGGAACATAAGTTGACCCTTGCTGTGGAAGAGACTGTTGGTTTCGGGTTTGTCCTCCCTTTCCAAATGACTAGACGGCATCTGACGATTGCAATTTCACAGACAAGAATAGATGAATTCATATATTCGAGGATGTGCATCAGCAGATCCTTGCCAGAATTTCTGCATTCCTAACTTAATATCCTGTTCTTTTGTAAATGACCTTTGTTTCATGTTAATAAGAATGCATCCGTATCATCTATCGTAGCTACTGGAGCCTTTGGAGCCGTCCGTGCAGCATTGTGACCGCTCGGACATAACTAATTGTTGAAGTAGCTGCAAGTCGAGCGCGCCTCTTCTCGCCTTAATCTTGCCTTAGGGTATTGAAGAGATACCATATATTCGATCAGGTCAAAGCGTCAGTGGCGCAAGTAGTCGAACGAAGAGAAAAAGAGAAACAGCACTGTTGGCCACGCCACCTAAGTCCTCCGCCCATGCCCAGAAGGGAACAAGACATGAGTGTAAATTGAGGTCCTCAACCCTCAACTATTGCGGATGTAAGCTGCACACAGCCATATTCTTGTCGCACTTGGGCTGCATCTCCTCTCGAATCCCTGTGTCACTGAACCGCAGCTCGTCGTCTTTTTGGACTTCACGCGTATGGCGAATCGTTCCCAACGCCCTCCGCTTCGGTTGGTTACAGCCACGGGTGAAGGGTAGATGGCTTCGACGACATGGCGGAGTGGTTAACGCGACAGATTCGAATGTCTTCGACTATCTGTTCCTCTCTGAGGGCGCAAGTTCGAATCTTGCTGTCGTCGTTTTTTTTGTTCCTATGGTGGTGGTAGTCAATAGTAGCACATGCCAACTGTTTACAACCCTGTTTGAGTCATTAATGGGCCTAAATCGGAATGTTGGGATCAATATCTGCGAATGTGGCGTATGGTGGGGATGTTCATCATTGATCACAACCCCAACATCACATCTACTGTTACGAGTGCAAGTCAATGTTCTCGTCTCCAATCAGTCCTCGTTGCTTGCTCAGCGGTGCAGCAAAGATTACAGGTCCGGCTGATTTGTTTCCTCGATCGAGGCAGACTAGTACCATTGATGCAAGCAAAAGCATAACCTTTTGCGTGGGCAGGTATCTATGTGTGTTGCTCTCGACCCCATCACCTGTTGCTTTGGGAAGCTCTTCTATGCAGTTGCTATAACTATAATACATAGGAGCTGGGTCCAAAAACAAAAAGTAGTGAATAACCAGAACGACGGGAGTCCGCGGCATTTATGGTTGACAGTTTCAAAGACATGAAAGCAGAGTAGCGCCAGCGCAAAGCATCATCGAATAGCGAAAACGTGTTCCATTCGTAAAATCATAAGAGGAATGCACCGAAAACCATTGCAACAAATCCAGCGCCGCCGCTCACGATGTTGTACCGGGAAGACGCACCCCCGCTTGGTCTGGGACTTGATGATGGTGACGAGGTGGATATAGTAGTGGGCTTGGATGGTTCACTGGACGTTGTCGTTGTCGTCCCGTTGACAGCGGCGGCCCGAAAAGCATCAAAGGTGTTCGTGCCGTTCTCAGGAGCGTTAATGGCGAAAACCATCCCCTTGCCACAATGACCTGTTTGGGCGCAGAACCCCTAAAAGATACATTTAGTCCCAAAGTTATCCAGCACTGACTTGAAACGCCTTACCCAAATTGGTGATGTATTGTTCACGGTCACGTTAAACGTGGGGAAATTAGAGCTGTTAGCAGCAACAGGCATGAAGCCGGAGTTAAATCCGGGAGATCCATCCTTGAGTCCAGCAACGCAAGGGTTCGCAAACGTTGACTGCGTTATTGTGTGATTCTTGGAAACAAAGGCTACGAAACAAGTTTAGATGCAGTTGCAACGCAACGATTCTACTACGCACTGAATTGCACGATGTCGTTGGGCTGAGCGGCAATATTACTGGGATCGAAAGTCAGGCTCGAGTTCCCACCAACAGTGATCTGGTGGATAACAGGGGTGCTACTAGGCATTGTTGGTGAGGTAGAAGAGGCTAAGGTAGCAGTCGAGGTGGTAGTCGGTGTGGTAGTTCCGATGGCTCGCGCCTTGAACTGGTCAAACGTGTTCCCAGTGGCTGGTGGGTTTACCGCGAAGACCATGCCCTTTTGACAATGACCGGTTTGCTTGCAGTAGAACCACCGAGGGTCTGTCTGCGCAACAGTGTGAGCATGCCTGAAAACCGGCTGGGCCAAGGTGAGACTCACAGAGAACACTTGGAAGCCCAAAACAACGGGTGTGCCGCCTGGTGGCACGGGTTTAAACCCGAATCAAAGCCCGTGGGTGTGACTCCATCAGATCCGATCAACGGAGAGCAGGGAGAGTCAAAGGACGATTGAGTTGCTGTTTCGACACGTGGGCATTATGGACAATCAGCACATCGAACGCAGGATGGCTTACTCGTGTGGTTTTTCGAAACAAAAAAGAGTTGCACGAAATCTCCGACTTCGGCAGTCTTGGGGAGAAATCATCAATACGTAACGAAAAGAGTGATCTCGAGTGCCTTACTCACTATGGTTTCTGGGGTGAACGTCAGACCTCCATTCAGGCCAACGGTGACCTGAGGTTCGAGTCAACGACATGAGACGGATTCAGCGACATTTCTACGTACATTATGGAGAGTCTGAGCGGAGATCAGAGGAAGCGCGGCGAGAAAAAGAGAAGAGAGTGCAGAAGCATCATGGAGGAATTATTGGACAGTTAGTATAGGTAAATAAGATTGCACGCAATCGTAGCTTGTCAGAGTGCGGTGTGAAGGAAGTAACAGGGAGGGCGCGAATCTAATGGCCAGTTTTATACGTCGCGGTTCTGTTCATGCCAAACAAAAGAGGTTGTGATGCCCGCGGTGAGTTACAACGACGCCACTTGAGATCAACAACAGACGGTGGACACAGAGCGGTAACAAGTTGCTAGGTTAGGTTTCCAAGGCCCTGATTAGGTCTGACTATGGCACCGGCGGCCACACAACAATCCATTCCAGAACTTGCATCTGCATGCCATCATAACCAAAGCCTTTATGGCTAGCGATCCAACCAGTGTTACGAGCCAAGGGAATTGCCGATGCTGGAAAATTTTCATTCTCAATTCTCCGACCACCTCCATTGTGAGCACCAATTCCTCACCCGCTTGCTTGTGATATGTCTCAGTGAAACTCTACTGGGGTTTGCGCTACTCACGATGTGCGACTTAGTGCCCTGGAAAGCGACCTCCTGAGCCTCAATCGATTCCACTGTACTTGACCCGTTTTCCCCCAGACGCGCGCCAACTGACTATGTTGCTCTTTCCAGATGTCGGCAGAGCCTGATATCGATGGATTTGTGGCCATTATGGATGAGATGAAAGCTAGTTTCACTTCAGTTAGGGAGCTTCTTCGACCAACTCTTCTAAAGTACGACGTCTGAAGTGCATTTGATATGTACCCACGCCCTGAGTCAGTAAATGTTTAGGGCACAATCAACGGCCGATCTTGATGTGAAGGACGGAATCTCTTTACTCTCACTACGGAACGAAACCCTCCTCTCCTACCTCCAGTCCCTAGTCCTTATTTCAGCTCACCGGGTTCTGGGCCACTCACTCCTTTCGCGCGATCCACCACCGACCAGCTTTGATGATCCAGAACGTCGTGCTCGTGGGTCAGGTGCAGGTGACTTGGTGGATTCTGCGGTTGAGGCACGCGCTGTTCTCGAGAAGTCCAAAGTGTTGGAATTCCGCCTTAAGTATCAAATTCAGAAGTTGGTGCGCCTTGCGCAAGATGCAACAGCAACAACCAATGATATCACGCAGGGTAAAACCCCGGGCTCAATTTGTGTTGATCGAACGTTGACCTTTGTCTCAGACCCTCTTGCCTTCCGTCCAAACATTCACAACTTGATGGTGGGTGATGGGCCCGCTGACGATGCGAGTGACATGGATAAGGATCAAACCCAAGACAAGATCTATCGCCCACCGAAGCTCGCTCCGACACCTTACATGGAGACTTTTGGCAAGGAGAAATCAAGGCAGAAAGTGCTAGTGCCAACCACTTTGGAGGATATTTCCCGTTTGGACCCTTCTGCGCCGTACGTAGAATCGACCTCTGGTTTGGGTGATCAGCCCGTGTCTGCCAAAGCTGCCACAAAGCTAGATAAAATGGCAGAGTTTGAAGAGGATCACATGGTGCGGTTCACATTGAGCAAGAAGGAAGCAAAGAAGAGGGGTCGGGACGAGATGAATGCTGCGTTGGGTGGGACGGGCGCGGCTACTAGACGTGGTGCAGAGTTGGAGGGCGAGTTTACTGATATCTTTAGATCGGTCAACAGGAAACCCAAAGAACAGATCGGTGATGGGTACGAAGAATTACGCCAACGAGGAAAGAGAGCAGGCGCGTTTGCCCGCAGTAAAATGCGCATGGGGGAAGAGCCCATGGATGGAGATAATAGGCCTCAGAAGCGCAACCGATTTCATGAGTAAACGCACAGTCGATCGGAACGGGCGGCAGCACAGGCTTTGAGTCATGCATCATTTGCACCAGTGTCTATGGTCCGTTTTTTAGTGGTAGAATCTTCAGCAGAACCATGATGCTCTTTGTCCTCCGAATCCCCGCGTTTGCGTTTTGGAACTCGAGACGCGTCGTGCTTTTCTTTTTCCCATTCCTTCTTAAGTGAAGCCTTCAGGAGAGGAATGGTTTGGAAGGTCACACCGGTACGCCATGACCGCAAATCCCCCCTGAGGAGGGTTTCGAATCTGTTTGGCTCGAGCGAAGCCCGCTTGGATTTCGTGAGGCGATTTGGAAATCGCGTGGATTGTGAAACTCACTTTCCTGAATTCAGCCTCCGTCAAATCAAACCACGACAAGACATCATCCAAATGGAGGAAGAATCCGAGGGATGGATGGAAAGAGTTGTAATGTTTCTTGTTCTTCAGAGAATCAGAGCAGAGGTCGGAAGAGATTATGTGAAGATGAAGCAAATCCATCGACGGGCTGCCGTGAAATCCAACCCATATGTTCCACTTAAATCCATGAGATTTGACCTATGAGGGAGCGTTGATATGATGGGCCAAGACGGGATCAACGAAAGTGTGTCCTGTGCACTTACCATCTCGTCCTCGATCATGGAGATAGCAAATTTAGATTCATTCTTCAACATGAGTAAAGAGTTTTTCGCAAACTGCTTATCTAGCCCAAGAAGTGTTCTCAGTGAGACGAAATTCTTCAACGCCAAAGGATCAGCAATCCGGGGAAGGACCAGCAAGTGGTACATCGCCTTCGGGAACTTGTCGAAGATACAGAGTGTGGATTCTGTGTGTTTGACCCTTATATCGGGAGGTAGCTTCGTTGGATCGCTCATGGACGCATAAGTTATGAGGACGGACTTCCATGACATTATGAAGGGGGGGTTACCGCCCTCGGGAAGTTGCGCCATTCGTGAGAAGTTGGGGCTTTCAACAACTTGGTGAACGTCGCCTTACATGTATCTACACAAAGGTGTCCGCTAAGGGCAAATGCAACAGGGGACAGAATATAATGAGAGCATTATAATAGTATAACATGATGGCGAAACGGGTGAGGAAATGCTAAAAGGGTGAACACTTATCCCGCTCGCCAGTTTTGCTGGGTCCACTGTGGGGGCTGGAACCCAGTGGAACCCTGAGAAAACTGGAAGGACGCTGGGACTGAGGAGGGGTACATTTGTCCGCCAGTCACATTGATAGGCCCGAATCGTGGATGAAATGTGCTGTCAACAAGGTGCATTTGCTGGAGTAGTGCATCGGGTGTTCCTGGTGGAAGCTCTGGAACTTTCCAGTTCTAACACCAGTGAGTGAGAAACCTGAAGAGTATGAGTAGGAGAGAGTGGACGCACTAATTTTTTCCCTTCACTGTAGATCTCGCGAAGTAGGTCATCGAATGTGCCACTATCCTCATGTTCCCTGAATTTGTTGTAGAGAAGTAATGCAGCCCGAGCATCTTCTATGGAGTCGTGGGTGTCGATCTGAATTTGCGCTTTCAAAACATAGTAAGACAGAAAGCGCAACGATAGCCGCCGATGTCTTTCTTTTATAAAGTATACATCAACAGTATCGATGACCCTTTCCGGAGGAACAAAAATGTCTGTTGTTGAGGGGCTTGGTGAGAAGAGCTGAGACAAGCTTTGTGTAACTTACTGATAATTCGAAAGTCTTTTGATAACCCGTGGCCAATGAAAATGCATCCCATGTCCACCAACACTCGCAACTTCTTGTAGACGACCTTTAACGGGAGAAGAACCTGCCTTGAGAAGTTGGGATGCAAATCTCCCGCTGTACACATCAGCATCCTCACTCATGCATTTTTGACTGCGACCTACGTTGTATTCCCGAATACTCGGTAAGATAGTCAATGATCACATCATTCGTATAGATATAATCATCCATGAAGGGCACTCCTTCCTTTGGACCACTTCCACGTAGTACTGAAACACGAGCTAGGCTCATTTGGGATGGTTTCAAGACCTTCTTAGTTCCGTCGGAGCGAAGTTCGGACTCTTCCTATATGGTTATCTATGTGTGAGAAGCACATAGAGTCCTAAGTTTCTTATCATACCTGCTGGAGTGCGACGAATTCTGCGTCAATAGCGATAATTGTTCCAGGGGTCGGTAGCTCATGAGGTTCAAGCACTTCCTGCTTCGCAGCTGACCAGTCCATTTGACTACTTCCTCTTGAGCCTTAGGCGAAGATAGAACGAAGAGGACTCACGCAGCCATGCTGAGAGTTTGCCCAAGAATCGCTGGATCAATCTTCTCGGGTAGTAGGGAGTAATCCAGTGTATCTATCAGGTCTTGCCTTTCAAGGAATATCACGCATGGCATCTAAGCCCAAACCTGAATCTGATAGCGATCATTCAGGAGCGGAACCCCCACCTTCCACTTCCCGTCAAAACTGAGCGCTTCAGCCTCGGCGATGTTTTGTACATTGAAGTCGTTAAAGATATACCACGAACTCGAGGACTCCATCTCCCCCGTTCGAACCAGCTCAGCTTGAGGGACTTGTAAAACAGCATCAAGCTCCATCATTGCCGACAAACTGAGGTACCCACTATTGATGACAGCGACCAAGTGACTCGATGTTCCCATCCGAATCTCGGCGATGTACCCCTGTTGACTCATCGCAAGAAATGTCATTGCCTACTAGGACAGATGTCACTCACCCTTAATGTATACTTAATATTTTGCTCTCCCAAAGATGCATTTGAGCTGTTGTCTGGTGCCTGTAGTTCGACTTCAGGCGAAAGGAAAATTTGGCTTTTCTTCTTTAGCCAGAAACTGTGATTCTCATCATTATTAACGGCCGCATTAAGCGCAAGGATTGGTGGAAGATGATCGGGATGGAGAGCACGCCGAGACCGATGATTCGCCAGGTGTTTGCAATACTGACAGTTTGATTTGTATGTGATGTCTCGTTCCAACGAGCTCCGAACGATACCGCCGAATGTGAACTCCGGAAGGTAAGTGAGATCTGCTCCGGAAGTTGTCTGAAACGTAGAAACGCTGAGTCTACGCCGAGCTAGTGACACATTTGTCTACCTTTCTGGGGTACAATAAATCAATGACATGCGAGACTGACTCTTTCTCTCGTTGTTGCCCGCAGTGAGCACAGGAGGTCAGAGTCGGAGCGTCAACACCAACAACTTGGGTTATGAGGGGCAAAGCAGAGCCAGACCCTTGTTGAGAACGTGACGGGATTAACTGAGGGTTTCCCGGTAAGGTGTTTTCTTCGACTGCAAATTCCTCAAGCACAAAGCGATTCAATTGCTGGATCATCCTAGAATAGTCTACGATTTGTCCCTCCGTTGATCGATCGATGAGACCAAATGAGTGGGCTAACGAGCAAGGAAAAAATCGATAAATTTGGAACGAGTGGGGGCCACTCAGGCACTCACCGGTTTGTTTGCGGCCAATGGTGATACAGAAGTTTCGAGCCTGCAAATTAATGCCCTGTGCATCCTCAAGCATACGCACCACAAACCCAAATTCACATAATAGACAGTATTCTAACCGACAAGACGTGGTGATGTGAGTTTTGGCCAGCCGACGAATCGGAAGAGAATAATGAAGCAGTTGAATCAACGCGTTAGAATAGGAATTCGGGATATCGGTTTCTAGTCCACTCAGTGAAGTTTGGTTATACGAGCTAAAATTCGATTAGATAAGACTTGCACAACGTCCGGGGCTAACATACGCGAAGTCGAAGTCCTCCACACCAAACTTCGAATACTGGATGTTTACTTTGCGATACGCTTTCGGAATTTCGGGGAAGGCGAAGCTTGCAGGAGTTGGTGACTTCGGCGTCTGAAGAATCGCATCGAGTGCAAATAGCAAGTGGCAGAGATACCGGAAGAATGATACCAACCTCATCAATTCTCTTAGATTGCTCGCTCTTGAACCGACCTTCATCTGGCTTCTGTGGATTGACTTCAACAACATTTCTCTTTCCTCTGAGCTCTTTCGGTAGTATGGCATATTGAAGGAAATCTTGGACCTTGACGGCGTTCAGCACTTGTGGAGGGATTTTTGGCGGAGGAGGCATGGCCATGGATGCAGGGAGCAGAGGGGGCTTGAAACTCGACAGGAGCTCGGCTTCATAGTAGGGCATGCCAATGCTATTCAGCGGGCTGGGGGGAAAACTCAGGTTGGGAATACGTCATGTGGGGAGGGGGCTGCGTACGTATGATCGTCCCATGAGATCTCGGGAAGACGGGCGGGGACATCTGCCCATTCTACTCGCTTCCCGTCAAAACCGTTAAATGGCACATGGTCATCGGTCGAAGTCGACGTGAGCAAATTGATGCTGCCTTCTGCATCTCCAAAGGCAAGATATGCCCCATTTGGCGAGACAGCAGCAGCCGAAATAAACGAATTAGAATCGACCTAAACTGGAAACATCTTGTACAGGGCTCCAACACGTAGGTTGCTACACACCGACCTGAGAAAACTCGCCTCCCGAACCGGGTTTGGAGATGTCGATAGTATGGACCAGGCCCTGTGAGGATGCAATCATAACTGTGCTAGTGCTTCGAGGATGTGCGTTGATGAACGAGGGGCCGGCGGAAAATTGCACGGGGGGGAGGGGCTTTAGGGCACGGAGATCGAAGACTTTCACGAGTGGATCGGGATGGGGCCTCGATTGTCTATGCCAACCATGAAGCCCTGATATCTTAATGAAGAGCGTACGGACAGGGGCCCTCACCTCATCGCCCAACCAATAGTGACAGCATAATTTCCACATACTTCGAGTCCTTGAATGCCGCCCACATGAGCAAGGATAGAATCAGTTGCTTCATGCTCACGCATAGTGGTCCTGAGGTCGAAAGTGCGTAGTTTCCCATCAGGACCCCCAGCAAGGAGCAGTGAATGCGAGGATCGGAGTGGGGTAAGCAATACTGGAACAGACACTGTGCGAGTGACAAGTCCCGTCATGGAGTTGAGAACGAGGAGTTGGAAATTAGGCTGAGATGCAACAAGCGTATGAGGTTTTGATGGATGCTCCGCGAAAGTGGTGATTCCCTGGCTGGCCCTACTCCCAGTGTCTAGCCGTGTACTCGCTGCCGTGCTTTTCGGTAAACTTACTGATGATACCACTTGTTGGCTCCTCCCTTTCCCCAGACGCCGATCCCAGAGGATGAGCACGCAGTAACTGTGTTATCAGAAAGCAAGAGCTTTTGCACAGGAGTGCCTCGACCGACGACAAAAGATACGCCCTGAACGCGAATCAGTCCGTGATACATGCACACCGTTCCTGATGCATGGCCAGCCCATAACGCGTCCGACACAGGATCAAAGGATAAAGAAGTGACTACTTGAGGGTAGTCTCGTGGAACCAGAGGTTGAAGAGGGTGATACGACGACATGTTGTCTCTTAAGCATGCTCCATCTGTACATACCTTTTTGCTTCCGCCAAGATCGACGCAGGTCGGAAACTGCGCTTGATTTACCTCTCGATACCGAACGATCGAATCATTCAGGGTGTGACCTCAGTTCGAGAAGGAGAGCCTCATCAATGAACGGTGAAGAACTGGCGGCAATTAGGGCTGCCAGCTCGAACCAAGGACCCGACACTTCCAAAAGTGAAGCCGCTGCTAACGAAGAGGAAACTCGTCGCGATATCTTGGCCACAATCCTGGACTCTGATGCTCGGGAACGTTGTAGGTATCCGAAATATCATTCATGATCAAGGTGTCATATGCTTTATTTAATTCCAAGTGTCTCGAATTGCTTTGGTTAACCCTGATCTCTCAAGTAAAGTTCAAACGATCTTATTTCGAATGGCTCAAACTGGACAAATACGAGGCCGAGTGACCGAGCAACAACTCATTGGTTTATTGGATCAGGTTTGTTTGGCTCAGCAGCTGTTTCTTATTCCATTTGCGCTGATCCAGATCCACTATTGGCACAGGCTGAAGGCATTGCAAGCAGTTCGAGTGGGAAGAAAGGGACAGTAATTGTGGGTACCAGGCGCAACCAAGCACACAGGAAATCCAAGTGCAGCTTACTACGTTTTTCGCTAGTTCCAAAGAAGAAAGGGTGTTTATGATGACGATGACGATGATTTTTAGTAGTCTTTCCTGCTGATCGCCCTCGCTTGGAGCTGCGTCTGGCTGGATTGTGAAATATAGGAATTGCCCGTCGTATGATCAATTCTTGATCCTAATAACGTATATCTTAGCGAGAAGCCGAGGTGCGCTGCTTTTGTGCTTGAGGTAGTTGCTGTATCTTTAATATGGGGTATATGTGCATCGAGTTTCGTGGCCGGAGATCATGGGCGGATGCAAATTGGAATACGTTGGCGTTGAGTCTGACTAACATTGATCGTAAACCCAAGAAGCGAACCACAACAACAGTACTGCTCACTATTACCGCTCACAATCCCGTTCTTCGTCTGAGCCGCTATGACTAGTCTTAGAATGCCTGCTGCTGGCACGCATGCCGCGATCTCAACTTCGTATTCTGGATACGACCTCACCGCCAAGTCTCATGTTTTGGCTGGTGTTCAGGACGCGTATTGGAGTGACGACGAAGCTGTGAGGCCGCCTCACGGTGCTCCCATTTATTATGCCTGACATTTTACTTGCTAAAGGAAGACTCTGAATGCCCCCTTTGCCTGGAAGAAATGGACCTTTCCGACATCAACTTCAAGCCTTGTCCATGTGGCTACCAGGTAAGGCAGTTTCACTGCTCCACTCTAATCAGTTCATGCCTATTGTCTTTGCCTGCTAGATATGTCGATTTTGCTGGCACCACATCAGGCAGAATCTGAATGGAAGATGTCCAGCATGTCGAAGAACATATACAGAGGAGCAAGTAGTATTCACGCCCATTAGTTCCGAAGAGTGAGTATTTAGTGGCATTTAAACAATTTCTACTCATTTCTTCAACATATTGTCTGTCCATGAACAGTCAGAAACGTCTCAATCAGCAGAAGCGTATTCGAGAACGTCAAAAGAAGGAGCTTGAGAATCTCAAACGTAGCCACTTTGCTAACGTCAGAATCGTTCAACGGAACTTGGTCTACGTTACTGGACTAGGTCCCCGCTTTGCTAAGGAGGAGGTGAGATTTTTTGCGATTGTTTATGGATACGTGGCGGCCAACTTCGTTCACACTCTAGCTATTACCTACTCTTCGATCCACTGAGTACTTTGGAAAGTATGGGAAGATTAACAGAATCGTTTTGGTGAAGCGGACAGTATCTTCCTCTGATACACTTATCATGGGTCTCTACATTACCTACAACCGCCGTGAAGACGCCGCGCGTGCCATTTCGGCTGTGGACGGAACACCATCTCCTGGTGGTGACGGAGAAGTCCTCAGGGCAAGTTATGGGACAACGAAATACTGCATGAGTTTTCTTCGCAGTGTCCCTTGCATGAACCAAGGTTGTTTGGACCTGCACGAATGGGGTGATGAGAGGGACTGCTTTACCAAGGAGGATCTCACCACTTTGTGCGCCTCATTCATAATAATAAGCAAGGTTGATAACTCATCGCATGCTGTAGAAAACACACTATGAAAGACACAGAGAACAGACCAAACATGCCATCGACGAGCCGCAGAGACGGTGACCCTGACGGTCAGTCCGTAGATCCCAGTTTTCCGCCTCTCAATGGTGCTGAGGATGGCTATGGATCAGGCCCCGCGTTACCGAGATCCGCTCAATGGGGCCAAAAGAGTGGCACGCCTCAGTCCACACACGCCGCACCAAACCCCCTGCCCACCACTGGGAGGTTGGTGAAGTCAGCAAGGACGAGGAACGGTCCACCTTACCCTTCTAGGAATATGGAGCCACTGCGATCGTCGCATTCACGCAGTTATGGACTGGACAAGAAGACTACCTACTTTTCGGACTCGGCTTCCCGGCCTTCAACGCCAGGCATTGCTTCCTTGCCCCCAAAGCCAGCTGGCGCATCGGAGTCGTTAGAAGGGATCTCCGACGGTCCTGCTTCCACGTCTCCTGTCCCAATGTCTAAGAAACCCATTAAAGATCGCTCAACCCCGTCTCACAGTCGCAAACAGAAATCATTGGAGAGGGTTTCTACTGCTGCTGAAATCAAAGCCGTCCCGCCGCAAACTGCTGCCTCAGAACAGGAGCCTAATAGCCATAGTAATGCGTCCGACACTGTTACGTCTCCCAAACCCATTGATGATCGAGGGGCCCAAGATATCCGCTCTGAATCTGTACCACCACTCTCACCCTCATCAACCGCTGCCGATAGTACTCCATCAAATTTCACTCCACCACCTCCGGGATTGACGTTACCTCCAGTTCAATCATCTTATCAGCTTTCGAATCAAGCGAAAGCGTTAATGGATGATGTGATCAATCGACGACAACTAGGCGCCAACGAGGCTTTCGAAAGTCCGTTCCCTGATTTTGATCGAACACTCTCAAATCTTGGTGATGGTTCCTTTAGTTTCAATCTTTCGTTGGATCCAAAGATGGCCACTAAATTGCAAGACACGCCTTCTGATCCAAATTTCGGGCCTGGGATTGTCGGTCCCTTCGGGTTGGGTGCTCGAACACTGTCAGAATACGGATCGGCGCCTGCCGGATCCCCCCCTTATCAGCTCACATCCTCGTCATCCTCACATACTAACCCTTTCAACCCTTCCCCCTCGGATCTTGACAGTCATTTAAAGACTTCATCGTACGCCGGATCCTTCGATCCTTTCTCTGAAGCATCTTCGAACTCAAGCCCTGTGGCGCGCTCACAACCATCACCCTTTGACGACGACCCATTGAGACGCGGATCAAAGTTCGGATTCGCGCGCAAAGATCAGAACTCCCAGTCGAATGGTTTTAGTAGTTCAACCTCATCCCCACTCCGATACACAGACGCTCTTCCTGCTATTCCTTTGTACAACTCGACAAATGGCGTATCACCAAAGCCGAATCATCAACAGTCACAACCCTGGATGTACCAGCAGCGCCAACTCGAGTTCAATCAGTCCCAGCAGCAGGCACTGCCGCCTCCCCCCGGAATGCTGCATCCGTATCTGTCTCAGTCTAAGCCAAGTCCTCACATGGCTTACCAAACTTACAACCAAGCCCCTCAACAACTTCCACATCAACAATTTTCTCCGTTTGATGGACCAGTTAATCGGGACGGAATGGGCCTTGATGGCGCTCTGAACCTCAAAGACCTCCTAAACTTGGGCAATCGCCCAGTCGAGGTGCAACGACAGAGAGGTACGTTGTGATATCATAGTCGTTTGTTCTAGCGTTGAAACGTTCAACAGCTGGAGCCCAGCAAGGCTTCCCTGCTCAAAACATTGTTGATACTGCCATAATGTCTATGCGACTTGGACCCTCTTACAGAGAAAGTCAATTCCCTATTACGAATGGGATGCAACGCCCTCAGATGGCTTTCCAAGGGCCACCCGGGCTTAATCCGTCCGTACCTCCACCAAACCTCAATCCTCATGATGGAATATCTTTCGATTATCGGAGCTCAAATGTGTCGCGAGCTACCGCCTCACCGAACGCGGCTCATGGTGAGCACTTCCATCACTCAGAGGGGGTTTTGGGATCGCGTACCGAACCTCTCTCCTTTCAAGCCCGTTCTTTCCATCCTTTCTGATTTTATGTGCATGATGTACATGTTCCATTCTTGAATTTTAATCGGACGTTGCTTGACCCTGCAAACCTCCTCTGAGTCCATGGATTGCGTCTATGCTTGCGGTGCTTACCCTTTCGTCCATTTTTCAGAACAAATTTCAGTTGCCCCTTCCGAGCCTACTACGTTTTTCTCCGAGTCTGATTTCCCCGCCTTACCTCCACCCTCTGAGCCTCAACTGCGTCGGCAACATGCTCCACTCGCAATACCCGCCACCACAACTCCAAAAGAGCTTCCTTCAGTCCTTACATCTCCACCATCCAGTAAGCGCACGAGCGCTCCCGCGAGTCCCAGTGACGGTGCAAGTATTAGGAAGTTGCACGAGGGAGCTAAATTGAAAGTCACTGAGAGTGAGGACAAGTTTCCTCCAACGGAAGCTTCTGAAGCCGCTGCTGCCCCTCCCAGTTCTACTGTTCCCTCTTGCTTGATGCCTAAGGATTTACCGCAACCGCTCCTTACAACGCCGTCCTCCAGAAAGGCTAATAGGAAACCTGATGATGTCTCTTTGCTGATTTCGCTTTCTTCCGTTGTTGAGCATGATGCAATCATCTCGCGCAAACCGAAGAAGAATAAAGCTCCTTGCGTCCGCCCATAAAGACGAAGAAAGAGCAGACCAAAAGTAAAGAGAAAGTCACAGCAAACAACGAGAAGACTGAGGTTGGGAGTGACCTCACGCCTGATCTGACATCTGGTACATCTCCAGTCAAGGATGCCCCGCAAGAACAGGTATCACCGAACACGGTAGATGAACTCGCGGAAGACGATCACGATTTGTCCCAAATTTTCGAAGGTGTAGATCTCTCCTTACTGTCCTTCTTTGACGAGTCGAGCATCTCCCCTTTCGTCAAAATTCCTCTCAATTATGGCCCCCTAGTCTATGCACTATCCACCCTTTCAGAAGGTGGAGAGTTTGGGTCCCAAGTGTTGGCAGTGAGCACCATCGACTCAGCCGTTGTCTCGTTCAAGCAACTCCTCGAGACCCTGACCCAAAACATCTCTGATCTCGTTCGACTGTTTCCCCGCACATCTTCGGGAGATTCCACGCCATTCGATGGTGTTCTTCGTGATATGCTCAAGTCCGAGGAGTTCTTTGACGAGGTCCCGCCTCTTGATATAAGCCCCGACTCAGCTCGAAACGGGGGCCAAACTGAAGAAATGCATGCCCTGACCTTGTCATTGGAAAAGCGAGCACGGTGGATGGAGATACAGCTCGAGAAACTCGAGGGACTGCACCGCGATATCAACAATGCGGCGACTCATAGCACGATGAATGATCGCGGGTGGGACCGGCGCGGTCTATTGCCCCGCAGGAGGGGTTTGTTTCCTAGGCTGGAGGATGTCGGAATGGTCGAACTGAAGGGTGTGATGAGGAATTTGACTTTGGAGGAATTGGAGAGAGAGCTGGTGTTGGCGAACGGGGCGTCTGCAACGCTTGAAACGGAACTTCGTCAGGCAATGAAAAAGAGTCAAGTAGTCCTGCCCACTCTCGTCTGACGTGACAGTCCTCATTGACCCTTAGTAAACCACAACACCATTCATGTAAATATATTATTCCCACGACCCCTGTTAGATAACTGGCACCAGACCTTCAGTGCTAGTGCTAGTGCGTGTCTGAAACCTTAATTGGCGCTGCGCATACGAATTCGTAGCTTGTTTGTGCAATTCAGACACTTCTCATGGACTCTTTATCCATCCCGGGCCCCATACAAAAATTCTTTTCTATATTTCCTCTTGATGTTTTACCGGATCAGCTTGCATCCGCAACGCCCCCTTTCCCGACGCTCTGGATTCGACCTCCAGCTTCCAAACTCTCGAACCAAAGTCGGGATGTCGTTTGTCTGAAATGGCAAGCGTATCTCGTCTTGCGTGGAGTCCGAGGTGTGCAACTGAGATGGGATATCAGCGATGATGGCGCCATAAATGGGCGGCTCCCTAGCTTGCATCTACCCAATGGCGACCTTTTAGGGTCTGGAAGATTACCATCTTGGGCAGATGACGTTCAGGGTTCCAATGTTGATCCTCTCGAAGGCTTCAAAAACACAGATTTGAAACACGAATCGCGGGCTTGGGCTTCATTGCTAGATCGCAATATACAGGCAGCTCTGGCATGTATTCTTATCCGTCTGCCAAGGATAACCATGTCTAATCCTGGGTTTGGTCACAGCCGCAAAACTCGGAGAACTTGTCTCGTCTGTTCCAACCCCCGTTGCCGCCTCTCTCAGGTATCAGCAATCCCTTGCCACCATTTGGGTCCCACATCCCTTCTTCTTCCATCCTCCTGCAGTACAGGGAAGCCATCGACTCGGTAGCGGTCCGTCTTGATCAAGATGAATGGTTCTTGGGTTCTGCGTGCGTAAATTTATCCCCTCCGAGATCTATTTATCTGTTTATCTACTTTAGCTCTCCTACATTCCTTGATGCACTCCTATACGCCTATCTGCATTGCGCCTTGCAAGGCCCCGAATCCCTCAGCAACGAGATTTTGAAAAGGGAGAATCTAGTGAACTGGGAGCACAAAGTTTCCGAGATGATGGAATCAGCCTATCAATAAATCCATCAAACAACTGCATCTCTCAACCGCATTGACCTCCCTCCCCCTCCCTAAAACAGGTACCCTGGCTGCCATCTGTGTCCTGTCTGGAAAATCCCTCTTGTTGAGTGCCCGCACGTTTGCGCGCGTGCCGCCAAGCCGATCTTGCATACCCACTTGATATAGCCCTGGGACCATCCATTCTTGTGTGCTGAGCTTTTTTACCTTCGTCATATAGCTCTGAACTTCTTTCGTATAATATTAAGTCGCCCGCACCGAAGGATGCCTGAAAGACACGCTTTCAATACGAAGAACCCAGACTTTAATGGTGCTCAAGAGCTTACCCAAGCGACATTCATCCTGAGGGTAGGCGAGCATCTTTATGTATGCAAGCTATCAGCTTCCCCTCCCTATGGGGCCTGGCAGGCTGGTTTGGACATTGTTTATTAAGGATCGACTACGTGCGCACGTAGTAGCCTCCTCCAAGCAAGATTGCACCGACGACCCAAGGAAAGACCCACTCTCTGGTGTTTAGTCGCGAAGCCGCACCCAGAATTTTATGGAGAATAGCTGCCTGTCTCAGCAGATTTAAGAGTTCACTATGGAAAAGACGGTACCCATGATCATGACCACTTTATGGAATTTGTACGGAGCAGGACGTCGGATGAGTTGCTCAGTCACGCTCAACTATTCGTCGGTATATATAATAACGCTATCTCGAGTGACGAGTAACAACGTAAAGACAAAGAGTACAAGGACAGTGAGGAGGAAGAGGGTAAATGGAGTCATCATGATACTACACGCTTTGTCCGAAATTTGATTCGCCATGGAATGCTGCCACATTTATATCAATGGGATTCCTTTACTGACGCTGCGTCAACCAGCATCACTGGGATTCCTAATGAGAAGGTTGCACAGATGTAGTTTCGTACTCGGGATGCCTCTTACGTGCCAAGCGAGTTTCCTTGCCACGACAAGCCATGCCAACCACGAGACGAGTTTGTATGATGCCCTAGAGCCACCTACCAAGATGACTAGGCTGCTTTCTGCCAGAGGGCCGGCCGTTGTCCAATTAATTAAATCTAAATGGATCCATCGACTATCGCGTCGATGAAGGCAGCCCACCGTTTCTTCCAAAATTCCAGTGCTTGAACCTTCTTTTCTGACTGTAGTTCGGAGAACTAGAGCAACCTGTGTTAGCCACTACAACTTAAGCAAAGTGACAGCAGGAAAACCTGAAGACTATCGTATGCAATGGTTCCTATCGTGGTCAAGCCAGAAACATCGCTTGCAATGAGCACCTGCATGGAATCTTAAGAAGTGAGTCCAAAAACTTGGCTTCACGAGGCTCACTTGAAAGATGTCATAGGTATTGCCCATGCTATCGAAGATACCTGGATCGTCACAATTTAGGGCAACTGGGACACCACTGTTAAGCACTGCCGGAAGCGGATGCATCGGCATGGAAGATGTCAAACGCTAATAATACCTCAATGAGTGGACGATCATGCATTCTTGGCATGTTTATTACTGACAAGAATTTCGTTTCTAGAAGAATAAGTCGATATTTGCAGGAGCGTGAGTTGAAATACAACGCACGAGATAGGGCATACTTCGAGCATGATGTTTTTCTCGCGACACATTTGAAGAAGATGAGGATGTTTGGCGATGGAGAACCTACGTTTCTCAGACGTTATTTGGCATGCGAAAGAAACAAGAAGGCTCCATACCCATGACCAATACGCTTTGTGCCCAGAAGTAGCGCGTCAATAAGGTTGAGGTCGGTTTCCCCTCCTGAGAAAGGTCTCAGATGGTTCGACGTTGAAATGTAGCATTGTCAGGGCGCACCATCGCTGAGAGTTTCGCCAGCGTGGAAAATGAATGGGAGGTACAACTGTGCTTCTTGCACCCTCTTCTGAAATTTGAGGAATACCTCAACGAATTTGATAAGTGGTTCTCCAAGGTCTTCTTGTCCGACCAGGTCAAATCCTACAGGATAGGCGAGATCGGTGTGTCCTGGGGTATCCAAGAGAGCCGGTAACATACCTGCTATCTCGTCTTGGAATTCCTTCTTCAATTCGAAGCAATCATCAAGATAGAACTGAATCTCCTCTGGAGAGGCCAAACGGAAAGTTGTATAAATTAGCTTGAAGAAGATATCAGTTGCGCACATCAAAGTTTGCTCTGATCCTACCTTTACTCCTACAAATTCCTCCTGTCGGCCAAGAGGTTTCAATTCTTCCCTAAACTCATCTAGGATCTCCCTGATGGCGAGAACCCATTCACGATGACCAAAATCTTCCCGACCATCTGCACGAACCATAAAACTGGAGATGAACTTGTCAGTACACATGAATAATGATAGGGATCAACCTATCATACAGGGGGTGGAAGTTGATTCGTAGCTCGGCGTAGCTGAACGAAACAAGTCAGTTGACAGTCAGAGCATCCGACCGGAATGCAGATAGAGGTTTAAAATACCTGATACCGTCATTCAGACAATCCCAAAACACCTGCTTGATGACGGCTCGGAAGATGGGTTCAAATCGGAATAGTCCAAAAATGGTTCGAAATGCCGCACGGAAGCGGTCCCAGATCTAAAAATGCGGAGACAAATATACGATTCATATCCAACCATTCCTCAAGGAGAGTGGGGTGAGTGCGAACCTTGTCGACAGTATTCATATTCTCGTAGGCTTCACTGGGATCAATTCGAATTGAAGCCGTAACCCATGCATCGAACAGCTCCGGTCCTCTCAAGTTCTTAAGCTTTGATATCCTCGCGTTCCCCCAGCTTTACCATCAAAAAGGCCTTCAGTGAAAAAGGTCTCCTCGCCACATGAAGGGGAACCCAGGTCTTGGGCAAGTAGGAAGGTGACATGAGGCTAGGGGCCAAGCTGATATTGTCTGTAGTGCCTGGCACAAGTGCTTTGAACTCGGGAACAACAAGATAAAAGTTGGAGGCAGTAATAGGCTCGTCGACGCGAACGTGCATGTAGCCTGCGCCAAGAGTTAAAGCCCAGTTGAGAAGCTTTTCGGCATCCACCCTGCCTCGACAAGTGTGAGCAACAGATGAGGTCCCACTTCAGAAACGGTTCAATAATCACATGGCATCTAAATGAGCATGGAGCAATCCTCCCTTTGGCATCTTCTTCAGAATTCGAAAGATTTCGACCGATGAATTGTTTCCTTGGCTAAGTCGCCAATTCCGATATCGATTCGATAAACGGGATCCACTCATGCAAAGCTACGCTAACACTCACCCGTGAGGAATCCCATTCCAGGGAACAACGATTGTGAAGCCGAGATCTCATTCCCAGCATTTTCCCAGAGTTCTTTGGCTTCCTTGGTGCGTAAATCTCGTATAATACGGTCTGCTTCCCGCTCTCTGGCCTAATGGGCCTAATATCCTCCTGATGGTCGCGCCGAAGCGATCGATCTTGGGCGATGAGTGCTTCGCGCGCTTCCAGATATTTTTTCAAATCTAATTCAGGAGAACTCAATGACATGATGTGCATCGACTATGGGAAGCTGTCACGGTCTTGGGGAGTAGTACGACTTAGAAGGTTATTTTGATCTACCCAAGGAAAGTCGTCTGGGAAGGCACATGCCTTGGGCAGTAAGATATAAAATGAAAGAAGAAAAAAAAAGTGATGCATCAAAGGTATATCAAAAGAAATTGGGGAGAGAAAAAAGGTGCACAGGAATTGATAGAAAAAGCAGCCGCTGATGATGTCAGCTTGCGGTGCAGCAGTCACCCGTGCAGTAGACTCTGGCGGAGAATCGTCTGAGAGTATGGCAACGATTTGAGCGAACAGTAAGATCGTAGGCGGATGACCAGCCCCCATTGCCGGGGAATCCCACAATTAATCACAGCAGTGATTAGTATTACGTAAATCATGATCACTTTTGATGACGTCGACTTTTTAAGTAATCTACTTCTCCGGCAACCCATACAAGTCTTTCATCTTCCTTCTCCAGTACTTCACATGGAGTCTTTGTGAATGGAGTGTCTTCGAACGAGTCGCACATTTGCACGTTCCTCGTGCTCTTGACAACGTCACATACGTGGAAGCCTTCCTCCCGTCCCAGTGTCTGCCCATAGGTATCTGCAGAAGCGCGCACTCTAAGATTCGCTCGTGATTCAATTTAGCACCCAGAATACTATAATAGGAAACTTGCTTTGCACTGACGTTCGTCATGGTCTCGCGATGTCCCGGAGCCTCTGACCTCCCCGTGCTGTCTGGGGCTCTAGTGGAGATGCCGGATCTCATACGGCGAATCTACCCCCTCTTCTGGGTATCAGCACGTCAAGCACTCAAAATTTGTATCGTACCCTCCAAACTCCATAGGACCGGCCTGATGAGCGTGCCTATCACGTATCCCGAAGTGATGTTGGTTGTAACGCGCTCGGTGCGGAATGCCACCAGGCTCCTATTTAGGTTCCTGCTGATTAGGGTCCGCCGTGCATCTTAATGACCACCTTCGAGGCTTCCATACCATAAGAGGACACGGCGAATTGGACTGTTCCCTCGCTCTACCATCCTCTCGCCTCAATATTGCTGTTGAGGTTTTGATATACCACACTATCTTGAGATACTCTTAGGATCGCTCTCACTTGCCGTGGCAATGTGTCAATTGATACATTTCTCTCCCACTCCTGCCTCCGCAGGTTACAGTACGTTTCATAAAGCTATTCAATGTTCATCTGTCCGGAGTGTTATGCCCTTCCCGTAAGACCATGGGAAGCGATTTCGCGAACGTGTAAGTCCAAAAATCAAAGTATGGCCTGTGACGCCCCGCAACTGAGGGACTCCGGGAACTCCCCGAAGCAACGCTGCTGAAGTCCATTGTGCAAGTATGATGAGTTGCACCCCGATAGACCAGATTACAACTGCTGTGAGGTACTGGATCTCTCTCCCTCGACGGAGACGGCAGCCTTTCTTTATATCTTGCCCTAGTTGCTCTGTATTGCGCTAGGGAGTACGTTCTGTTCATCTCATGTGTTTAATTATCTGTTTGATGCCGCGTCAATCTTCGCATTTCTGTATATTGGTCGTTGGCAACGGATGGGTCAATCCATCTTCCTCGGATTTCTGCAGATATATCCGCGTTTCGGGGGGTACTGCCTACCCCAGGGCTCTGCGCAGATTGCATGATCAGCCAGTGAAGTTGACATTCTTAGCGTTCTCGCGGAAATCGCAATTCCGATGCTTTGCGTCTCCCTTGGCCAGTTTCCCTTTGCCCATCCCATCTTGGACTCTCGGACATCTTCTCTCTCTGTTGCATCAACCATGTTATACAGTACATATGAAATATATTGCATTTTGCTATATATGTTGCGACCATCGTGACCTGTCTAAACCCGAAGTTTATCGATCAGTGGGGTGGCTGCCAACAGTCCGTTTCTTGTTTTCCGGGTCGTCGAGGTATATATGTGGGGGCTATAAACAGGTCATCCATATAGTGGCATGCGCATTCCTCCGCGCGTCCATCCTTGATCGGCTTGGTCTTCGAACAACGTATTTCGCACTTTTGATTCTGGTGTACAACGTTGGATTGATGTACACATATTGTTACGAAGTCATAGAAGCTGGAGTTCTGCCTAATGTATACGTACCATACCAGCGCCTGCGGGTCTCTTTCTCACACAGAGGATGTGGTATCATGATACATGCCTGGTACGACATGTCGACAAGCGACTAAGTATACTGGAGTCCTCTGCGCTACATAATATATCGGCCGGGGGATCCCAGGCGCGCGGGGAGGGGTAAGTGCGTTCGATCAACAAACTATCACTTCTGACGGATTTCAATCAGCAACAACGCTGACAAATTGATCCTACTATCACGTCCATTCAATGTGCAGTCCCAGCAAAGCCTTCAAACGCTGATACGTAGATTCTCTTGCAAACCCGTAGCCAGTGCTTGTGGCCGGTCGCCTGTGTATTTGACATTGATAGGACAGGCTTGTCTTAATCTGGGATAAGAAACAACAGCAAACAGCGAGTCCAAGAGTACTAGTGGAGATGCGAAAGACACTAGTACTGTGGAGCGTCGAAAAGCTATGTGGTTTGTTGCAAATAAACCCGGATGTCATTGGACGGCTGCCCACGTTGACCACCCCTAGACAAATCTGGCGGATAGCGGCTTCTTGAGGAGCAAGCGGAGCGTATGAGAAGAGAACCTCACCAGCAACACAATTTGCAAATGGAGACTCGCTAGCGGAGTATGATCTGGGTTACTCGGATGGGGGAAGACGGGTATGATCAAACTTAGTTCCTTAGGATAGAGATGGATCCGCCAGCTGGCGAATGTCGGACGGGTGAGTGACGTCATGAGTCCGGGAAGGCCAGCGCTAGCGTATGTTGATCCCCTAAGCAACCTTTCTCGTAATGTCTAGGAACTTTCTGTTCTTGCACCACACACCCATCAACGAATCATTAATATGTGCGAGATTAACGGGGGAGGATGATCAACTTCCCATAGCCGAAGCTACCATCCCGGCATCCATGCATACATAAGAATCGATATCGGACGCGAAACAGCCCGAGAAGCGAAAGTTGTCACACGGTGATCTCGGGTGATGCAATCAGTAAGAGGGTTTTAAAGCTATCCTCCAGGGTTCAAAGGTTCATCACCCTGCCCAACGACTTTGTTGGAGCGGCTCACACTCACAGACTGGGGACTGGCGGAAAATATATCAATTACGTTGGTACACGTACAAACAGTCTAACTGAACTCTCGCGCTTCAACCAAGGTACTCCAAGATCGTTTTCGGTGCCACGGATTATTACAATTGTTGCAAGAGGTCGAAGGAGGGTATGAAATGGCTAGAAGGACATCGACATTCGGCTGGAGTTGGAGAAGAATAGATACATTGTTGCGCAGCCGGAACGAGTGGACTTTTGCTGGCAGTCAGTTCCAGGCTCACGCGCGCTCACGGGTTCCTCCTGTGGGGAGGGCCTCGCCGATTGCGCCATAAGGGTTTGGTCTCCGACCGCGAACGGCCGGAAAGTGCACGTCATCCTGAGCCAGGCAATCCAGTATCATTTAGGACGCCCGTGTTACGGTGCTAGATGGACAAGAATGGACTCACAAGGTCATGATGGGCACTTGGTCTATGATCGACCACATGACAGGACGTCCATCATATGGAGGTGGGGTGGTGCTGCAGGCGTCATCCATTGACCTGGTTGTGTCCAAGGTAATGGTGGGCCTGTGCAAATTTCGGGCCCCTCATGGATGCGGGGCAGCACTGCTACCCCTCCAAGAAGGACCTAGGGGCGGGTGGGCAGGGGCCTGCCACTGGTTGGCGGCGAGTCTCGATGGCAGCCCTTATGTCTTCCCTCGAGTGGAAGCACATGGGGTTCTCTTTGCGAGAGACCCTGAGCACCCGCCCCTTCGAACTCCCTTGTGACGCCTCTTCAAGCCTCTGAATCTAGTCAAGATGAGGGGTGAAAACTATTAGTATGGAGGTTTCTTGCATCGAACAGAAACGTTACTCACCACGGCTGGCACGTTGAAGTCCCATAAGAGAGGAAAGGGCCCATGGTCCCGTATGAGCCGCTCTATGATTTTTGGATGTCGGTTCATACAGTACCGTGCAGCACCTTCTGCCTCTTAGACTCTTCTCGTGTCAGATCGTGTACTGGGATCCATTTGAGCTCCAGCATTGTCAAGAGACCAGTGGAAAGTAGTTGGAGCTCGAGAACAGCGAGAAAGTTGCTCCTGGGGCGTAAGACGGAAGGAGCCGTTAGAAATGTGCAATTGATGTTCGAGTCCGAAGTAAACAAAAGGTCGGCACCTTCCTTGCCAAAAGGGCGACCTTATCATGTCCTTCCCGAATCTCCGTCCGCATACTCGGTCAGGCCGTTTGTCAGGAAAGATGGCCATCCTAGACGCGGAACGCATCTACGACGGGATTGTTAAGCGGAAGAAACCCATTGAAGAAGCCCGGGTGCTCACGCCATCTTCTATCCCATTTTCCTCTGCAATCCGAATCCTCCATGATCGTGGGGATCAGGCCTGCTTGCACGGTAAGCCTTCTTTCAAGACTTGGCACATTGTCTAAGACGAACGTACACCACCACCGATTGCGATGAATGACTCGCTTTCCAATACCCGGTTTAATGCCTAGGCAAACTGGCGCCAACGCCACGAATCCCTCAAATCCGAAATCTCTTGGATGTTTACCATCCCTGACCCACTACGGCCTCGCCACACTTTCCAAACCTGAGTATGCTTTTTCCGCTGAAGGTACTACCCTCTATCCCTCTCCTTATTCCTCTGCTACAGCATCTGATCCCATTCAAGACCGAGGCCACAACACCATGTCATAGACCCTTTTTGGTCGCGTGCTAAACACTTCTACGATGTGGACATGCCACTTTCTTTCACCCGCTGGTCTACCTCCGACATGTCCCAGATACCGTCAGTTGTGCCTGCTCCTCAACGATGATTGTGTCAAGTTCATTTGAAGACCGCGCGAGGGTGTGATTCTAGAAATGATCAATTGGCATGGAAAGGAAGACTATCCTGGAAGGCGGGGGCACTGCTGCCCTATTTGGCGAACATGCCGGGATGGAAATACAATTGTGGGTGACGTTTCTCCACCTAGTTTCCATGGTCTGACCCCAGCGACTCGAAGATTGGAGTGAAGAGAGCGATTTCCTCACACGTCCAAGCTCAACTTGAACCGCACCATCACTTGGTCGTCCAGCGGGATCAGACACTGAAGTCACGATCCTCCGAAATTCAGCGGCTCCCGGATTTGCGCTGCAAATTTGAAATCGATTGCTTACATGCCCTACCACTGATTGGCAGTTTCGAACATATCAAGATTAGTCTTATCAGCAATTAGGAGTGTACACTGAACATATCGACCTAGAAAGTCTCGATCGGCCCCCAAGCCCACTGAACCAAAATTCGTCCACGAACTTTTGATGTTAAATCCTCCCACACACAGTATCGAGTGGATCTTCGGCTCGAGCCTGGTGCTGTGGCAAGCGTTACTTTACGCACCATATTAGCGGTTGAACTAGGATGCCGCGCGCCGGCAGGTTACAAATCCTTGCATTTCTGAATTTCTTGCGACTTAAGCTGTTGGGTTTTCCTGCTGACTCAACATGCATGGTATTGTTGGTGGCGCGCAGGTGTGCGTTCTGGGTTGCTGGTCGCTGATTTGGATGCCGAAGTGGAGGTCGGCAATTCAGGTGTACATACCTTGCTAGCATTTACATTGTGTAGTGCCAAGCCGAGAATATTGGGAAGTAGAGTGCGTTTAGCCGGCGTGCCATTGAAATCAAGAGAGACGCATGAAGCATTGCGGTACTGACATTGAGCTGAGATCGACGGGGGTAAAGTAAGGAATGACGATAAGTGGGTATTGCAATAGTCCGAATGGTTGGGTACTGGCGAGGATAAGCAGTGGAATAAAATGAGGTGAAATAATTTAAGGGAAAGACCGTCCAACACAATCCCAACGAACAAATGATAAGCATAGAGCAAAAAAGATGGGGCGGGTCTTATACCACGTATGATAGAGATGATAAGGTAGATTAACAAAGTAACAGGAGCGCGACAAGCGCGACGACTCTCCAGCCTCGACTTCGCCATACCCAGAACGCATCTGAAACTGGGCGTCGAGTGAGCCTGAAAAAGCCTAAATCCTCCTTGCCGGGTCCAAGGCAATCAATCGAGTTCTCCGCTTCGTTGCACGCGAGTCTGGAGTCCCTCTCGGAGTGCTTAACATGGACGGAGACTCATCTTTCTTTGGGGTCCCAGGTACACTAACTCTCCCTGGGCCCTGAGGAGAGGAAGACCTACTTTCGACATGAATATCATCCGTCTGTACTCCATCACGATGACTTTCAAAGTAGTGCTTCTCGCAATATTTAAATCCTTCCACATCGTAGTAGTCCTCCAACCGTTCCTCGCATCCAGCTTCGGAGCACACAAGATGATTGGGGTGGTATCTACGCCCTTCGTGGTCTTCTGCACACGGACCCTCGATGGGCTTTCCGCATGTTGAGTTGCAACAAAGTGAGTTGTTGGCTTGGTGATAGTGATAATCGCAGAAAGGTTGACCCCCAAAGACGTAGAAGGAACGATCAGGAAAGGGTTTCTACCACAGCGACACATCAATACCCCTCAACATCAGGGTGAGATCCTGGAGTAACTCACCTGACAGGTGGAGCAGTTGAAGCAATGACGGTGATATTTCCCTTTCAACTGCCCATCCGCAGAGCTCACGGCGTGACTCTCGATGGTAAGCCCACACCTCCGGCACTTGGGAAGATACATATCCTTCCAGTCCTTCTCACACAGAACACCGCCATCTCCTTGATCCACAGCCACCCACCGTCCATCCTCGATCTTCTTCTGGCACCGTATGCACGCCCTTACAGTCCGCTTGCGTCGTGTCGTTGGGGCATTTGTTCGGGCAGGGGTTGTCATAGAACGAGAAGGGATCTTTAATGGTTCAGTGCTTGAGGGAGGTTTCGCAGACTCGGCAATGGGAACGCTGGACGGATCAACCACGCGAGACGTCGTCGGCGACACATCTTCTTCGGTTAGCGTATCCATCAACTGCCGAGGGGCGCTTCGATTCAGTGCGCCCATCGACTTTGAGTACCGTGGCGTACGTGTATCGTTAGAGGCGGTTGAATAAATTGAGCTTGTGACAATTGTATCACGGTTTATTTTCTGAGGCCCTGAAGAGCTGCTAACTGAAGTACGGTCATCATCTGGGTGGGATGGAGACGTATACGATGAGGAAGATCCAGTTGTGTCAGAACGCCTATTCCTATTGCTCGGGAAAGTGATAGAGTCTTTCCGTGGAGGGGGAAGCAGAGTTGAAGTTGGAGCCGGGGCTGGAGGTTTCTCGAATTCTGGAGAGCCTTCTCGGTCATATGGTAACAACACGTCGGATCCATCAGAGTCCTGCGTACGCGGTGGAGGGCGAGAAGACAATGGAGAATCCTGTGGAAAAGGAGAGCCGATTCGTGGAATGGAGGTGCTCATGCCAAACGGAGACGGAATGCGCGGGGAAGGGGTACGAGGATCGGATATTCTGGGAGATGGGGAAGAACGTGGAGTCGAGAGTGGAGGCGTGCCAACTGAGAAGGGACGGGATGAGAATAAGTGAATAGCGGGATCAAGAGTCAGAACTCACTTCGATCATAGATGCTATTAACATCGAGATACTGAGAGAAATGTCCCGAAACTGGCATTAGTTCGGCCTGAGCTACAGCTTGGAACGCTCTTCGCCCGACGCCTGCCATACCGCCTTGTCCACCAGCCTTAGTGTCAGGCAACGCCAACGGCGGAAAGACGACATGGGGTATGTCCTTCTGGTCCGAGACTGTCACCGAGGGGGAGGGACTCCGTATAGACTCAGCCTTGCTTGAGTTCGAATAGGAGCTTTGTCTGACTTTACTGGTGCTCCGCACCGTGGCGGTGGACAAGCGGGAGGCTCTCGAATCCGTACGAAGGACTGGAGTCCCCATAACTGGTGGAGAAACAAGGGGCAGCCTTGTTCGATCTTCAGCTGCTGGAAATGAAAGTGTGTTGGTTGGTCTAAGATGGGACGGCGCGGCTGAGGGTGACCGCGCTCTAGATGATGTGGATGCCCGTGCAAAGCTACTAGGTGAGGGTGATAGGGTACGGGAGGGAATAGGGGCAATAACAATGTCAGACTTCGGATCATGACTCTTCTTCAATAACGAGGATGGAGATGTCTGAGGTGGGTTGGGTCGTTCTTTAGTACAAACATGATCGCTCAGTTGATCCAGGGGCACGGGGATCCCGCAGTTCGTGCACTTCACGTCCGGTAACGCAGAAATGACCCGAGAGTCCTTGTTCGTCAACGCCGGTCGCATAGCAGCAATCACTGACATATCTCAAACGCGTCAAGTACGAGCTCTACCCACGATGCTGGACGAGCTGTAAAATGACGGAGGAGAAAAGAGAGGATGAAGAGATCCACGACTTCGCTACCTCGTTCTCATTGCCAAAGTCAAACCGAAGTGGTTGGAAAGATCATTCTAAACCGAGCTTCCAATTCAAAACTCGCACGCACCCGTACTAATTATATGCCACAACCAAAACAAATCGATTTCCTCCCCTGAACACCCGACAGAAAAATTACTAAAACTACACATCGCAAGGCTGTAACAGTATATGTAAGTTGTGCGACAAAGCGGATGACAGGGAATTGATACAGATCCTGAAATGTGACAAGGAATACCGAGCAAGTGCTTCTATGGGGGATAACAAGGGATACAAAGGAAAACCAACCCAAATAATAACCATTAGAACGATTGGGATGGCTGAAGTCCATACCCATTAACAGCGGGCAAGCTCCCATCCACACTAGGGTATCCATTTGGCGGACCAACATGTGTCTGGTACGTTTGCCCGTCTGCTTGCATGTGAAGACGCTGGAAGAAGCTATCCCATTGGTCTAAATTGGGAATAAACATGCCACGCGATATAACCCCAAGTGCAAGAATGAGTAAACACACAAACTTCGAAAGGGGCCCAGTGTCCTCAAGACCCTTAAAAGCCAACGCAACTCACCGAATTCAAACATTGTTGCAGGGATACCATCCAGTAAACCATTGTTCACAGCAGCGTACTGTTGCATCGAAGATTGCATGGTTGTAGGGTGTTGATACTGATCCAGCATGTTAATGACCTGCACTCCACGCGGAACTTCATTCTGTGAATTCATCCCAGGATTAACATTTGTCTGAGGTGCAGAAGCATCATCCACGGGGCGAAGTGGCGTGGTAACTAGAACAAAAGAATCACCAGGTGGAGGTGTCAACGAGGCAACATCGACAGGGCCCCCGTTGGCCATTGTCGGATGATTATACACAATCTCGTTGGTGTACAGCTCCGTGCTAATCTCTGCTTCCTCCCCGTTCTGAGGGTCTGGAACGACAAGTGTACCTGTCGGTATATCACTGCCAAGAGCCCTGGCTGCGCGTTGGGTAGCAATGAAAAGGCCACCTCCTGGACGCGACGGATCCTTCTTCCACACAAGGGCATCCGCATCCTCCTGGTTTCGGCTCTCAACACCAGCTGTCGGGTTCTTGGGCCAAAAGTTCCTCGGCACCGGGCTTTGAGTCGCTTCGTACAGGAGAGATATAATCTCCGCTGTCTAAATCACACAGATGAGCAATGATCAATTGGGATGAAAAATCGTTCAACCTTCCGGCGGGTGGGCATGTGCCCCGGTTCTACCGCGCGATCCCAACGTTGCACACAATCCTTCAGGCGTCCAAGACATGCCTGAGCATCGGGGTCTTTCCGCCTCGCCCACGTATGATACTGGAAGGATTCATATAAGCTGATGACCCAGCTCGGGGTCCATTATTCACACACCTGAACCAAAGCGCACGATGCGATGGAGTACGCAACAAGAATCCACGAGTCGTACACATGTTCATGCGCATCTAGCCAGTCAATCGATTCACCAGACCATCTCGTCAGCGCACTCCACCGCTCCACATTCAACGAAAATGTCAAGTGAGCCGGGACAGTGTACTGAATCCTGGCGAACACCCTCCAGAACATCATGCACACACATGTATAAAACATGTGCAAAAGTCCCGCCGAGATGTTGGAGTCCCGTCCTTGATACTGAAGCTCTGGCGGTATGTTCTCTGCGAACCTGTCGAGCTCCGCCAAGAGATGTTCGAGAACCTCATCGGTCGTGTGAATGAGACCCGTCGGACTTCGCAAAAAGGAGTGAGAACAGGGTCTCGCCCCATCAAAAAGGGAACCTCCCTCACCTGTAAATGGTCCTGGTAACTTTCCCCAACAACACACTCAATTTGACAAATTCTCCCATAAACAACAGCGAAGTAGCTTGTTGAATCTCGGCTGGTGTCAGATGAGATTGAGTGGTCGGCAGTTCGGGTCCTGGCAATCGGGCGTCACAATCATGAACGTCGATCATGAATGGTAACCCTAATGTCAAGCCATACCTAGGAAAAAGACAAGATTGAGTTCATTATTCGGTCACATTACCGCCATGTATACGTCACCATCGATCTGTAATGACACACGCCGCCCATAACCGCCGACGCAATTGTATATCACTTTTCACCGCCTCGGCACGGTGCAACCCTAAATCTTGTGCCTGCCGACAGCTCAACCAAGAGATATCGACCGGAATAATACACAGAATAACGCACCATTCGGATCGCAGTGCTAACCCGTAGCCACCCAGCTGACATCGCATGGCTGACGACACGACCATGTGGCTCGCCTGTCATACCCATAATCAGCAACGCCTGTATATTCGAAAGGGATGCATTCGACACAACATCATCAGTTTTCATGATGTGATTGAGGATTTTGCGCAGATTCTCAAAGACGGAGAGCGGGGTACCCCGGGCGGTAGCCGACATGACACATATGGCATAAAGGAGAACAGGAGACGGTCTGTAGTTAGACGAAGCGCTGTCCCCTGTCCCATGAAGAAACTCGTCTTCAGTCACGATGGGGAAAATGGGAGCGATGTTTTTGAAATAGTAATTGACGAGTCTTTCGAGGACATGGCGCTCGACAGGCTCTGGTCCTCGTTCAGAGTCTCGTGGTAAATACGGGTCGGGTCCGGTGTCTTGCAGAACTTCTATAAAGCCATCACCGGAGCGAATCACCTTCCAGGCTTGCTGGTAAGAGATTGATGTGTCCGCAGATGTGGAATGTATTTGTGGCATAGATGTCTGAAGTATGTAGTTGAGAGAGGTTGGACCTAGAGTTGAGGTAAAAAGGTATCGACTTGGTGAGCTGCGTGTGTATGGTGAAGTTTCTAACCGTAAATTTTGCCCTCGGGCCTATAATTAGGTCCCACACCACCCACTGGAGGCGCATCGTACTTTGAGCGGCTAGATGAGGCATGTGAAGACTGCACGGTCTGCTGACTGGCTGGCCCATTCGACGGTAATTTCGATCCCACAGAGTCGTTAGCATCTCTGTCCTTTGTCCGTGATGAATCATCCTCGATATTGTCATTCCTTCTTCGCTTGAAACGAGTCTCTGTAATTGGCAAGTGGAAAGTACACTCGTTTCCATGCGAGCGGCAATGTGTGCACTGCGAAGGGTTCGAATCGGGGATGATATCGCATCGAATTTTCCCTGTTCAAGAAACGTGTTAGGCAACGAAATCATCTAACACAATGCAGCAACCTACGTCCTCTGCAACTATCACAAGCTTGGAGAAGTCAAATTTAACTCAACGAAACGTAGGGCGTTTGTGAATCTTACCTCGTTGTGTCTTGGTACGTTTACTCGCAGCCCCGGAAGCACCCGTGGCAGCGCCCGAGGAGGGAGGGGTGTCCTTGGCGCTTCCAGCATTCCTGGGGCCAGAGACGGAAAGGTGTTGACTCCCTGAAGGGGAATAAAGCTCAGGGTCCGCCAAATCCGTATCACCCGAAAGTTGGTCTGTAGTGCTTTCCCTTCTTCTCTTTTTAGATACGGGCGGCCCTACAGAGTACATGGTTGCGATTTGGGGTTCTGGGGTTTCAGAGGGAGGTGAGTCGGGTGCTGAATTCATGAAGGATGTGCGGGCCGCGGATGGTTGACGCATTGAATCATGTGTGTGCAAATATTGCGTTAAACTTCGAGGTGACTGGGCGTGAGTCGGTTGAATACCCGATTGATGATCGTGGATAGGAGGCGCTAGCTGTGTTGGGTAAGATGGTGGAGGATGAGAATCGGGATAGTGTGAAGGGGCAGGAGTTCCTGCAGAGATTCCGTAAGACCCCCCGTCGGGTAAAGTTTGATTAGAGTATGGGGGGTATGGCGTAAGCGATGAGCCAGCCGATCCAAATTGATTCTCTGGACGAGCGTACGCGTCTGGGTGCCGACTCGGGTCCAGCATGGCTGAATCACCAGCACTGCTTTTCGACGATGATGCCCTAGGAGCTTGGGATGAGCCAGCCCCCTTCCAGGAGCGTCTAATGGTCGAGCCAATACGCTCTTTTGAACGAGCGTGAGTTGGTGGGAACGGAGAAGGAGATTTAGAGGATGCAGCGGATCCGTCAGGCGTCATTATTTCTTTTTTTCTTTCCCGTTGTTCCACTAATGATTTGAATTGAATAAGCACGGAAAAAAACTGGGAATGTTTTTGAGATCTCAGATCCAGGTACCTCAATACCGCTAAATGATAGGTTGCGTGCGGGATTCAATGTAGAGCATAAACCGGACTTGCTGCAGCCGTTGAGTTCCACAACTGCGACTTGCTTCCGACGATCAATTGTCATATGGTCAACAGATGCTAATAAGGAAACACTTATTCATACCATCGAGACCTCAGGAAGAAAGGAACGCGGCCTTCAAATCCGCCCCTGCTTAGGTGACATGATTCATGCTCACGCTATAATCCGTCCCTGCATACGCAAATAGATAATTGATGTTCAAAATACCTAATGCAGCAACCGATTTCGGCCGCCGTCTCAAGTCTCAACCTCCCCAAAGTAAGCGCTTAAATGCATACTCCGCCTTGGCAAAAACGGGCGTAGATCTTCTAGCCTCTTCAAGGCTGAAGCATATACATTCGGAACCAGGGGGGACCCGCGCGGGAGAAGGTTCATCAGCACCAAACAAGATCAGAAAAGACTACTAAACTTTCCACACCTTACCACATCCTTTGAAGTCACAAGCGGTGTGTATCCCACATCTTGGCAGGTGCGCACAATGAGAGCGCAAATCGCTTCTACATTCTCCCGGCAAGTTTTGGCTCGATGCGTCACTCCAGCTGATGACCTCTCCCAATCAGGTGCATCAGACCCTTCACGATCCTGACCGTATTCGACAGGCAGTGACTTGAACGCCACTTCCACAATGTCAGTATTAGTGGGAACGACGGAAAACGCCCGAGCCAATGTGGATGATCGTCCCTTCGGCTCCGGTTTTGATATGGATGAGCCTCCGGATTTCGAGGGAAGCCTAAATGATGTCGGCTCGTCCTTAATCTGAATCATCTCACTCAAGGGAACGTCCACGCTGGAAGACAACGGATCGTCTCCATTGGGTGGGTTTGGCGGGGGAGTGTTCCTGATGCTGTAGGTGGTCGCCCTCGTCACCACCTCTTTCGATGGACGGTACGAGATGACAAAACCATAGTTATGGGAATGATCTCTTCCCGCTTCCTGCATTGGAGAGAGTATGTATGCACCTGCATTGATTACGTAGTATTGTTTAGTAGACGTAATGTTATGCTGTCTCTACTCACCTTTCTGAATCCCAGTTATGTCGTGGAATGGCACTCTGGTGAAGACTTTCACTTTGTCGAGTGAATAGTCATAACTCTGGTGGTTGAGTTGAATTCAGCAGCACTATCACGGATAATCGAATTTCCACATACAACGATGTACAACGCGGCCGATGTCTATCACCGACCATGTCAGATGCAGGGTGTTCGGCCATTGATCACGACGTGACCCACCAATAGAAGGACTTTCTCTTCAAAGGAATTACTGATCTTGATGTTAGGCTGTGAAGGCGAGAAGAGTGTCCAGCCGCCTTTAACTTCCTCCCCTTCTTGCACTAGCAACGCCGTGCAGATGTCAATGGCAATGACTCTGATCTTTGATATCCGAATAAGCTCCCTGGGGTCAGTGGCCTGCATATTCGTCATGAATTCGGTAAACACGCTCAAACCGCGATGTCCGAGGACGAAGTCGATTATGGCCTGAGATAAAAAATCTGAGAATGTTGCGGCGTACATCCTATAGTTTGGCTACAAGCTGTATTGGGATACGCGCGTATTCTGCGGAAGCCTCACCGTGCGAGGGAGTTGACGCCATCATTGAGCATCCCTGCGATATCTCGTTTTCCCGTTCTAAGTACATAAGCCCCAATATCGAGTCAAACCCTTACAATGAGTGCAGCTATACTTGCCTGGTGAAATCTCCCTGGAAAGAACGTCGGCTTGAGTGTGCGGCTTCATCATGGGCAGGCTACAGACCTTGAGAGCAGATGTCCCCGCGCTGCAGGAAGAGTCAAGAGATGTTCAGAAAACGTAACTGAGCTTACTCACTAAGTGCGGCTTATGGCGTCTCCATTATTAGCCCAAACTTGGATGGCACGCATACGCATCATTCAAGTGTTACAGAAGAGTGCCATCCCAAACCCACCATCATTGAATATCATATCAATCTCTTTGTTTTGGGCCGGTGAGGGTACAATGGCCAGTGCTTGCAGCTGCACGTCTAACATGTGTCGGTCAATGGCACTCTAGCCAACATGAATGAGCCATGAAATTCGGAAATTGTGCTTCGGGCCGTACCTGAACAACGTTGGTCCGGTCAAGGCAATCAATGCAGTTAACCCTAAAGACACCATTTTGCAAAGACAGAACTCCTTCCGTATTCACCCAGAAGAAGCCCTGACTCGAGAATGGGCGTTCGAGGGAAGTAATCAATTTGGAGATGTTCTCATACCTATCAAAATGGTGTTACTAAGTTCTGTGAGAATCCGGTGAAGTCACCGGGGACTGGAGCATTCTTACTTCATTCCTTTGCATTCCGCATGGAAATCGAATCTATGCACAAGGGAGACTTCAAAAAATCAAATAAATAAAAGTATTTGATACCTTACCCGCAGTATCTGTAGATGTATCCATGGGCATGTGCCAAACTACAAAGTACAGACCACTTACGATAATCCAGGGATGTTGGCTTCTTCCAGGGCATCCCGGTATTCATTTGTTACAAGTCCTTCTTTCCCCGTGGTCTCTGCCAGATTAAGTACTACCTTCATAGCGTCAATAATTAGTATCACAGAATTTCCAGGTCCCGAAGAAAGGCACCTGTGGCCCATATATCTCATAAGCTTCTCGAAATGTCGTTTAAGGGCGTAAAGGCGTTCGCTATGGGTGCGGTCCAACGTGGGAACTGGTTTGAGGCTTGCCCCAGATTGGGACCAGTATAGAGGAACTAGCTTTCGATCAGAGTCAGTGCATGCGATGTAGAAGGAGGCATACTGGAGCCTCTGATTTGTATATAACTCAGGACGTTCTGGCATCCTTCCCTCTAAAAACTCAGCGTGTCACCTGCAGTGCAAGATTGTAGTCAATTCTGCTTACAAATGTCTGTAGGATGGTCTCCGTCTCGACGAAATTCGCCACATTTGCATCTTCATCAATCCCCGCCGCTGATATCTGCGATCACCCAAACTTAGTGCGAAATTATCGTCCTTAGGTCAAAAATACCTGAGTCCTGCGCGTTGCCGAGAGCGACGCGATATAATACAAAAGTTCATCATGTTCGCCGGTCCTACCTCGTCGTCGTCACAGTCCTCAGGTATATCGGACGCAATCCTCTCCGGGGTGACAGAAAAATGAGAAAATTGAATATACCCTTGCATCAAGGGAAGAACATAGTCATGCAACTTTTTGAGGTGAGGGTGAGGGATAGCACGATCAGAAGAAATAGGCTGTACGAACTCCAGCTTCCACAAACATTGATGAAATATCTTCATTCCACCAGAAACGACGGTCAACCCGTCTCCATAGCGGGAAATTGGGGTGTGGCTCGGAGAGTGTCGTGACATTAGCAGACGTTGTCGTCTCGTCAGAAACTGCATTTAACAGATGCAAATTACGATCAATCTCCATTAATTTCTGATGCTTTCTCTGCAGTGCCGTTGTGATGTCTGTCGGAAGTTCGCTTTGGTCCACACACAAAAATTGAGGGACAAATTACTGACCAAAATCATAAGAAAAGAACATCTCACGACTGAAAAGTTTAATGCATTGCTTTATGACCTTCAGGTCAAGCTGGACACTCTTCTCTTGATCAGCCGGCCCGTTTTCAGGAACGTCCGGAACCGTAGAGTCCGTAGGGATCGCATGCTGCATTTCCTTCACAACGGGTTGTTGGGATGAAGAATGGAGAGGTTGGTGCCCAGCCTGAAATGGCACACTTCCGAAATGCGTGGAATCCCGGTTCTTCGATTGTGATTTCCAGAATATAAAGCGCGAGAAAAAAGATTTTGTAATGGAGGGCAACGGGTGGCCCTCTGAGGCTGTGGAAGCCATGTTGACCACAGGAGACCCGTCCTGGGGAGAATCAGGTTTGCCAGATCAGTATCAACGGAGTGGACCGAAAATCTTTCCGCGTCTTCCTCGCTGTTTGACGCAGACAAGGCATCCGACTGGTCCATGCTGGTGGCGCTTGAAATGCTCTCACGACGCTTCAAATGAGAAGGACTTCCCTCGCGAAGTACCTTCAAGAAACCGATGGCGCCTCTTTCCTCTAACGGTATCGCCACCACTTCTTTGACCGCATAAATCGGGTAATTTAACACTGCTTTGACGTCGTCAGCAATTCAAGGCATACTACACTAGAGCGTACTCGCATTCTCCTATTCTGGCGTGTGAGTTTATAACGAGAAGATAGGACCCTAATACAAAAATATAGAATGATGCTACCCTTCCTGAACACTAGTTCGTCACTACGAACCTCGGAACAGGGACACTATGCCAACGATACCAAACACAACAGGACAATCGGACCACTCGATATCTTCGGTTGTAGAGGATATATCGACATCCCTCACAATAGGAGTGGGGCCCCATGAGATTTGAAGTATCGAAGATGAATCAGTGGCAGACTCGGAGGTCGGTTTGATCAGGAGACCGTTCGGAGTTGCGGCAATCGCGAGCTCCCTGTAAAGACGGGCATGGGCCGCAGCTTTTATCATCGACGATGGGGGCAACGAAGAAGTGGAAGTAAGGCCAGGATAAGGATGGCCGGTTAGCAGCATGACCCCTCTCCAGTTACAATAATCCAATCAGCCAGCTCCGATGTTCAACCGGCGTTACGCGCGAGGTTGGAGTGTTGCTCTGGCCCGTTGTCCGCGAAGAGCGTGTAAACAAGGGAGGGGAAGATCCCAGAGTTAGGAAACAGTCAGAGGCGATGAAACGAACGCGTATACAAAGAGAGAACAAGTCCAAGAAGAGTAAATCAAAGACATTAGCCACTCGAGAAGCCAAAATTGATATTGTCGGAAATCCCCGTGTAACGTTTGAACGAATGGAATACGTTCTTGATATGTACAAGTTTTATATACGTTTGAAACGCTTTCTGCTGCGCTTCCACTTCAAAGCGTGTGCAACATTGTACATATGGGATTTTCCGACAATTGAGTTTAGGGAGCACGTGTCCTTGAATTTTTTCTCAACCTTCAGGCATGGCGCAGTCTTCCTTTGCTCATCTCGATAAAAAGGGCAAAGGAAAAGCACCAGAGTCGCATTATCCCGTGGAAGACCTCCCTATTGCTGATGATAACCTTAATATCAATGAAGCTCCGGAGGACGAAGTTATTATTGACCTTGAGCCCGCGCCTGTGAACGCCACGGCGAAACTGTTCGATGAGGATACGGATATGACGGATTCCACACCGACAACATCACTGGGGTACTCTGGCATTAATTTTGGGCCATTGCCCCCATCTGCTCAGGTTGTCACAGTGCACACCGAGTCGCGAACGATCCCGGTGCCTCCCCATCGCTACACTCCTTTAAGGAAACATTGGATGAACATGTATACACCACTTACTCAAGTTTTGGGTTTGCAAGTACGAGTGAACACGAAAAGGCGTGCGGTTGAACTTCGTGTAGGCACCATCGAAACAAGGGATTTAAGTGCATGCTGAGTTCTATTCTACCTTTAGACTTCAAGACATACGAAAGAAGTTGGCGCAATACAGAAAGGGGCGGATTTCGTAAAAGCTTTCGTCCTTGGTTTCGCCATTGAGGTAATGCACCGGCCTTCCCCAATAACTTTGTGTCCTGATGCAGTGTCACCAGGATGCCGTTGCTCTGCTGCGATTGGATGATCTTTATTTGGACTCTTTTGAAATCAAGGATGTGAAGACTCTTCAAGGGGATCACCTTTCGCGAGCTATTGGTATGGTCCTTTAATCAAACTCATTACAATTATCTCTAATAGAAGTAACAGGTCGCATCGCAGGGCAAGATGGGAAAACCAAATTCACGATTGAGAATGCGACCCGAACTCGCATTGTTCTTGCGGATACGTGAGTGAAATTTACGGTGCCTGTGCATTGCACTTTCTCATACATACATTTGGCAGAAAAATTCATATACTTGGATCATTCCAAAACATAAAAGTTGCCCGTGACTCAGTTGTTGCACTCATTATGGGCAGCCCACCAGGCAAAGTGTATGCAAAGCTGCGAACGATTGGCGCACGCCTGCGGCAGCGGTAGCACTCATGTGTGCAATCTAGACGAGGTCTTGTAACTTAAGCACCATGAATGAATGCCTACCATAATCACCAACCCCGAAAGCATCTATATCCTGCCTAATTCATTCCCTGATTTCCACACACCTACTGCCCCTCTTCTCATTTCGTCGCCTTCCCAACCATTCCAACCAGACTCCCAGACCTGGCGATAGCCGTGAGCCCATAAGATGTCTTCTATAGTGGTGTATTCGTCCTTCGAATCGATGTGGGCAGGCCGGTACGTGAGTAGGGACTTGAAGAGCATGAGATGGCTCGGCCAGATGTGGTGCCAGGAAGCATCCACTCCAGTGTGGTTCGTTCGGACCTCCGCTTTGGAGAAATATTGCTCGACATGGGCTGCTGGGTCCTCATAAAAATGTTTCGTCTCGTCCCGGTATGTTAGAAGATTTTGACCACTGTCCCATAGCAACAATGAACGAATAATCGACGGTCGCAAATGAATGCATTGACTTACAGCAGCGGAGGCTCGCAGCTCAGCGACCATGCCCGCCCATTTTCTAGTTCTACTCGATGGAGATAGGACTGCCAGGGGACAGAATGGCATGGCATTAACACTCCCAAGGAGACAAGCTCTGTGCGCGGCAAGGAGCGAAGATAATACATTGCGGCAATCTGGCCACGACCGTGATATCGCATCACATAGAAGGATACAGGTAAATTAAACAGTATCACCCAAAGGTGACTGGTTTTAATTCGGAGGTTGAAGAGGGGAAGTTTTGCGCGAGCCTCTGACCGTGTCCTCCTCCAGTGGTAGCTCGCTTCCAGCGATCGGGCAGCAAACACGTGGAATATAGGAAGGAGTGGGTGCAAGAATCGCCATTCTTTATGGCCAGCCAGTGAATAAACAGCGACGTTAAAAATAACAACGAATGCTAGACACTTCAAGGCAAGCGGTGCAGATCCTGCCGGATGAAGAGTGATCCACATGCCGTGTATGCTAAATGGCAAGGCAGTGGTACACAAGATCGGTAGTCCTTGTGTGAGATAATAATGCCACGGGTTCTTCCCATAGAACAGAGCGACGGACGAGAAGTTGACTTTGATGAAATTCACTACAGTCAACTGGAATGACCTATAGAATAGCTTATCTACAAGAAGACTTGCAGGGAATGCAAGGCAGCTTGACAACCCAATCGCTAATATGAGATCTTAGGGGCCCATCTTGAAATAGTACTGAAAATACCTTGCTAGCAGTGCTCGAGTCGCCAGCCGAGGGATATGTGCTGGCAGCATGGCACATTGGTAAATGGCAAGCGCTGCCCATATGAGGGCGCTCGTAGGTCGTATCAGGAAAGATATTGCGGCAACAAATGCGGCGACATAGCCAGGGAAACTATGACAACTAGACTCAGCCGAAGGATGGGCACTTGCTTTCCCTACGCACCCCCCCTGATCCCCATCGCGGCCGGAATCGAAATCCCAGAAATATATGGCCATGATAGTAAGAGAAGTTTCCATAGAATTGCTGAGAGTTCGGGATAAGGCGAGTACATTAAAGAAGGACAGCAGGGAGAGGAACAGCTAGAGGAGCTTCGTTTACGTTCGAGACTGTGCCACGCAAGCTAACTCACAGAAATAAATGCCGCGTTCTCGCCGAGGAGCCTTTTGGACAACCGATATGTATAGTAATCCGTGAGTGCAGCGAATATAGATTGGACGAGCTTGGGCAACCAGATCTACCGAAATCTGTCAACAACGGCCCGTATTAGACGGATCGAGACAAACCAGCGCCCCCGTCTCCTCCAAGCGAAAATATTGAATGATTTGATAAACAGGAACAAAGATTAAGGGATATGTAAATGAGCGTATTGGGGAATCACTGGTCCATTCCCAAGTCAGCACTCCAAAACCAAAAACATATCTGTGAGCGGGTTCGAGAGATTGAAAATATTCGTCTGGCTGGAAGAAGGTCGTGGTGTATATAGCGATTAGCGGTCTAATAAGGAACGGTAACCATGGAAAGATCGACGAGCGCATGTATGGCTTGACCATTGTGAAGCGCTCGGATGATTCCGTGGAGGCACTCGATCTTCAAATCTTTTAATTTTACTGTTCACATTTTCATCAACATGCGCTACAGGCTCGTAGATGTTTTCCACTTTGTTTCACATTTCGTTTTTGCACGTTCGTTAGCTATCTCAGATGCGTCTCCACATTCCAGTCAGCCAGACCCTGCATGGAATGGCCAATTACTACCTGGTGTAGTAACTTCGGAGGCCAACAACGTTCCCTTCCTACCTTGTGAGTGGAATGCTAATCCTTGGAGAGCGTGTTGAGTGTCTTCGCGCGTGTAGACTATGTGCCTGCAGGTGATCAGTCGATCGATGACGCATCTTCGGCTGTCGAATACTCTCCTGGTTTTGTTTCTCAGCATGATCTCCACTTTATCGGTGGTACTCAGCACATCTCTCATGTCCCTTCATCTACTGTGACTCTTCGATTCTTCGGTGGTCGGGTGGAGTGCTTTGGACAAACTTCGCCTCATCATGGCCAAGGCAATGTCTTTGTTGATGGACATCTTGTAGCTATCATCGACGCGTACTCTCCTAAACTGTACAATCAGCAACGAATCCTCAACCTTGACGGCTTGAAACGCGCGCATCACACTTTGCGTATCATCTTTACGGGGAGTAGCCACCCTACGGTCTCGGGACCCTTTCTTAGTATCGACGCGTTTGTTGTGGGGCCTCAGACTGATCATCAAGCCCGCGATCTTCCGCGTCCAACCGCTTCTGGTTCATGGCGTCTGACTCGGGAGGGGACTACTGGAGTTGCTGCCATGCAGCTCGCCGTTGTATCTGACAAACATGCTGTCATCATTGACAAGGTCGAGCACAATCCTCTGTCCATCTCTGGCCATCCTGCTTGGGGCGCGCTTTATGACTTGGAAAAGAACACAATAATGCCATTGGATTTGCTCAGTAATTCGTTCTGTGCTGGAGGGAGTTGGCTGTCTAATGGGACTCTTCTGAACGTGGGGGGAAATCCTGTCGTTGCAGATAAAACGGGCGCTGCGGACTTCGGGGATTTCAATGGTCTTCAGTCTGTGAGAATGCTGCATCCATGTGATTCCGGCGAATGTAATATCTATGAAGAACCGAACCGAATACGCCTGGCCACCCCAAGGTGGTACAATTCCGTCACTCGACTGGAAGATGGGTCTGTCATGATTATAGGCGGATCCTTCAGAGGTGGCTGGATGAACAACAGGACTACAGTAAAGTACCCATAACGCCACATCGTTGCCAATTACTGATGGCTTGCCAAGAACAACCCGACTATCGAATATTGGCCTCCGAAAAACCTTCACGGACAAAACGGGCTTCCCATTCGGCTCCAGTTTCTCATTCGAACTTTGAATGCGAACTTATTCCCGATCGCCTTCACTTTGCCCGATGGCCGTGTATTCCTAGCAGCGAATCGCGACGCTATCATCTATGATTGGAAGAAGAATACAGAATTACAGCTACCCAAAATCCCAAACCGTGTCCGTGTGACCTACCCCATGATGGCTACAGCGTTCTTGCTTCCCTGACTTTCACCAACAACTATGTACCAGAAGTCATGATCTGTGGTGGTTCAAATATTGATGACACTCGCCCCAGTTATGAGATCTCTTCTTCAGAACTTGCGTCCAATCAGTGCAGCAGGATTGCGCTCTCTGAAAGCGGGATCAAGAATGGATGGACCGTTGAATATATGCCTGTGCCCCGAATAATGCCGGATGCTGTGACGCTTCCTGATGGGAAGATCTTGATCCTTAATGGTGCTCGAAGTGGTATCGCTGGCTATGGGAACGTTAAGGGCCGGATGGGCCAGAGCAATGCTGCAAATCCCGTCTTTCAATCAATCCTGTATGATCCAACGGCACCCATTGGTCAACGGTTCTCAAGCAGTGGCATCCCTCCATCAGGGATTCCTCGTCTGTATCATTCCGTGGCTTCTTTGACTCCGAGTGGCGCTATCATGATCGCTGGCTCTAATCCTAATCTTGACCGGTCTAACGCGGAGTATGGGACTGAATACAGAGTTGAATGGCTATATCCTCCGTATACGGCAGCAAAACGACCGATCTACACTGGCGTTCCCTCGAAACTTGGCTATGGGAAGTCGTTCGTTCTTCATCTCCCCAATGTCGAAAAGTTTCGATCAGCTGATGGTGTGTACACGTTCGAGCGCGTTGCGCGCGAAGCTGACGTATGTTGGGCGCTTCAGTTGCTCTGATGGATCTAGGTTTTGTTACCCATGGATTGCACATGAATGCACGACTTGTTTACCTGAAGTGTTCCGTCGTTGCCAAAGATTCACGTGTACTTCAAGTATATGGTCCGTCTAGCGCTGGGCTTTATCCTCCCGGACCTGCCTGGCTGTATGTCTTGATAGACGGGATTCCGAGTGTTGGGAAGAAGGTTATGGTTGGTGATGGTGAAGGGCCGCCAGTTGATCAAGCAGCTATTGATAAGTGAGTTATATTATTCAGCAGACATTGACACAGGCTGATCGTTCAACAGTATGTTGGCGAAAACGACCGTGGTGGACAAACTTCACCCTCCCATGGGTTCGACGTCGGAGAGGTAACCCTTGGTTTATCCTTTTGCGTCATTCCGAGCCAGCTGGCTGGCTTTAATGCCCCTTTGTACAAACATGTCGAGCACCATTCTGAGTGAAGGCTGGATACTGCCTGCATTACATAAAGACTGAAATACTATTGCATTATGCTCAGTCACTCATTTATTGCCGGGTTCAGGTTCATGCCCAGCTAGTTGCTTCTGCATTAAACGGAAGTGGCTTGTTTGGTGTTGACCCCAATCGATTGTAACACGATTGACCTGACAATTTATGTAGCTAGAGATTCATCTTTGATCTGATCATCCCCACGAAGGAAAGCCGTGCCTGGCGGAAACGCCTCGCTAGACGTGAATGCAACGTGCTAGTTCACCGGATGAAAAACCGGGTTGCAATCTTGGCTGTTTCCTCAACGGGGCATCTTTTTTTTGGTGGAATCTTCGGTAGCTTTCGCGGCCAGGGATGCCTGAAGGGCTGTGCTGTGAGGAAGGTGAGGCCTTCCACCGATCGGGTAAGTAAGGAGGACCCCATGAAAAGTGAGTTGAATGGTGACCGCTGCCTGAAATTTCCTTCATTTTCCATACTTCGTTTGCTTCGTTGGTTCTTAGTTGTTCACTTCTGTGCCCGCTTCTGGCTCGGTACTTCGGGTTCATCATCGTAAAAGAAGACATTGGTCTTGACTTGATTGCCTGATTCTCATATGCTGTATGATCGAGGTTGGTCCGAAGATGATTGATGTCGTAGATCAGATGAGGACGGATACGTTGTGGCTAGCTAGGTTGTGGGTCGTGCTTGTCATCGATGAGCTGTCTCCATGTCTCCATGGACTGAGAAGCGCTGACAGACAGCATGTGACAGTCCGTCTTTCTCCAATGGTGGTAATGCAAAGAGTGGAGACACGATGACCTATCCAAAAATGCAAAACTGACTGAGAAAGATAAAAGGTCGAAAGAGTAGTGTGTTCTTGATCGCCACAACAGGCGGCGTCCAGTTGCATATTCGTCTATACGTCTGCCTTGTACATAAAGCTCAGGTCGAGCCAACGACCGTTTCTCGATCTCTGATTGGTTCATCCGAACGTGCTTCAGGACTTTATCCTTAACCAGTGAGACCATGAAGACTCCAACATGAACATCCCAAACATGCTAAATCCAGGTTCCTACAAAACCCATTATATACATACCACTGTTAAGACCCACCCACATAGTTCAATCCCGCGTACATATCGAGAAATGCCACCCAAGCCAATGCAGAAAAGCCACTAACATGCAAGCGACAATTAACACACGAGAGAATTGCCCCGGAAGATTTACAGGGCGAATTGATTTACGCAAGACAGGGGATGAGAACATGCAGGTGAGAGATGGTATCAAGACAGAGAACACAGCCGAAGGCCCCCCCGGCCTTGTTTATAACTAAAAAGGCCTAAGTTAGAGTCCAACTTAGTAACTAGTTTGTCGTTTCAATACTTCTCACGTGTGGCGTGTCAACGGTGTCGAGAATATTAATGTCCACGGCTTCAGCGTCTCCCCTCCACGGTCGTTCTCATGTCCATCCTTCTGGAATTAATGCTGTGCGGGCCTTTGGGGTACACGATTTAGCCTGCGACCTGATTGCTGTTGGTGGTGACCTATGGCTGGAAGTCATCGAACAAGCATGTTTCTTCGTGTCATCTGCTGAAAGTCACACGTCACTGAACTTAAGGTAATAACAGGTCCCAGACGATAGCATTTTTTTTTATCGTGTGCTGTCATCAATGTATATTGGGACTCGAATCAGTGCGATCGCATGGTCACCACGCTGCAGGTCCCCCGCGGCGAGTCCCACTGGCCATTGGTACCTGGAGTGAGTGGCGTTACATTGGACATGCCGTTTAACTTTGTCATGCATATGTCCTTTCCTTACAAGGCTAGCAGTAGGATGTACCGATGGGAAAATACACTTGATTACACAACGTGCCTCAGATGAACCAGTTGCTCACGAATTTAGTGGTCTTCCGTCTGGCCACAAAGGCAACGTAGCTGATTTGTGCTTTTTCTCTTGTGGAAATGATCCGGCCAGGTATCTCGCAAGCGTGGGAGGTGCGCGTCTATGTTAAGCCCACCCGAAACCCCTCTGAACCCACTTCCGTAGATGATAGGAGGTGTATTCTGTGGGATTTGTATCCCTCCCATTCACAAGACGACCAGGATGATGAGGCGGTCTCAGAGATGTTGTCTCCATCTCCAGTCCTTGGTACGAAATCCCCGTAGACACAGGTCGCAAGACACCGTTTTCTCCCATCCCATACTCAATCGCATTCCGCCATCCGCTTCGTTCAGTGGCTTCGCATTCTTCCAATGCACGCTGCATCATGGTATCTGACGTTCATGGTACCGTTTCCATGGTGAACTGGATGGATCTTGAGAGCGACTCAACTCTCAGGGACGCTGTTTGGAGTGGACATAAGGTCGTTGAATTCATAGACCCAGCTGCCCTTTCGAGGTCTGTCTCCGGTTTGAACTCTGTATGGGGAGGTGGAGCAAGCTGGAAGCCCAGCGATCCAGATATGTTCGGAGCGACCTACGGACCATCGTGGGTTGTGTGGAATCAAAGGAAGTTACAAGGGGGGAAGCCCGTTGCCAAAGGAGAGGGGTTCTTGGAAGGTGGAAGCCAGTTCCGGTATGTGAGGCGCAATTACGTCGGTCCTCGCTCATAGACATTGAATCCGATAGTTGGTGTCCAACCAACGCGCGATTGTTTGCTGTGTCCACCCGGTCACCTATTGCGGGGGCATCGATCAAAATTTGCGACATCAACTTTCCATCAGGTATCCGCACGACGCTTTTTCTCGTCCCTTTAATAACATCATTTGATCAGCCTTGCGAACGATTACCCTTGCCCCTCGCCCTCACCTGATAAGAGACTTCGACTGGATTGGCACTGAGACTGAGGAAGATGTAAATAGCCCTGCCTGGATCGCCATCGCTATCGGAAAGGAGCTGCGTTTCGTGGCAGCTGGTACCCTGCTCACTGCTGCTGGTGACTCGCAAATGATCGCATCATAAGATTGGCATTTATGGAACGTTCATGCACCATGTGTTGGGGCATCAGCTGTGAAACGTGAATACATACTAGTAGATACACTTTTCAAACTATTCTAGCAGCGCCAAACACGCAAATTCAAATCGGAAGCGTCACAACCATTATCCTGATAACAAAATGGTATAGAGCAGTGGGAGGAAGAGAAAGGTTACAATGGTCATTACGAAAGAGTCAACATGGTCAGGTTAAGAAAGCATAACTCAAAAAGCAGATAAAGACGCCAAGAAATTCGAAGGACACCTAAGCAAGAGTCGCTTAACCATTCCCAAATCCAAGGTTGACGAACATATGTCTCCAATAATTGATATCCGCATCGGATACCCCATTGACGTGTTGATATTCTGGCTGACCAAACGGGTCTGTGAGACTAGCTGGAGCTTGCCCCCATGGAGAGCTCGGTTGATATGTCCTGAAATCCAGAGCATTTCCGTTCGGGCCGCCATTTTGTTGTGGACGGGTATATGAGGAGAACTGGAAGGTCTGATCGTGCAGCTGCATAGGAGCGCTGAGTGCATTCTGGAACTGCATTTCGGAGTTCTGTGAATCTGACATGAGACCATACGAATGAGCACCAGGCATCGATTGTGCCAGTGAGAATGCGGTTGGGCCTGCGATGTCTGCCCCATTGATCGGCGATGAGATTGAATGGGGAGCAATCGTTGAGTCCACTGAAAACTGTGTCGGGGGATATGTTGGGGTGGGTGGTAGGACGGAATTGCGTTCGTAGGAGAGGGGAGAAGTGAAGGCGATGCTGCGTGTTGGGAGGAGCTGCTTGTTGAATCTGCGTCGCGGTGCTTGTGCGCTCGTCGTTCTGCTGCGCGTTGCTTATCCGATAGATCCTTTGCCACCAGACTTCGAAGAAAACGGGCGTGATACCCGGCTGAGCCCGAGGATGACGCCATAAGCGCGGCCTCCTGATAAACATCAGCTGTTTGGGAGATTAGATCGTAAATTTTCTTTGTGGCTTCTTCATGAAGATCAGACAGAGTATTTGAGTGCCTAAGTAGCTGGGGGAGGCGAGCAAACAAGGTCACATGATGGGAAGAATATCAGCAAGCCGGAAGCGAGACGTACCCGCAGAAGGAATACCGCAGAATAGGCAGTCATGACTGTTATCGAGTCCTGAACGTATCGCTGCGGTGTACGGTGAGTTCCATAGATCCCCGAGAGAACAACTCTGAAACCCCAACTCACCAACATGCCGATAGGAGCGAATTCTGCCGTAACAATCTCCAATGACTGCAGCGCACTTGTGTAACAGTTTGAGAGGGCTTGCAAACTGGGAGCCTCACGGCTGGCAGTGTGTATCGAAGATTGCAACCCGAAGCTGTTGAGGAAGAGTCGGACATGGAGACGGAAGAAAGACAGCACGGAACTGTGGAAGCTTTGACCATCGGCTAGAATGTGCAAGGTAGTCAAGGAGAGATTCACGGAACTGTCAAAGCGAAAAGGATACGTGCCTTTCTGAAGTTCGCCTTGCCAGACGTTCGACCAAGCGGTCAGCTTCCCATTGCATCCGCGAAGGAGCAGTTCGTAGTTGACATCGGAATACAGCATCCCAGGCTGACCCTTGTGCAGATAAAACACATCAGTTGTCTCGGCCTGTGGTGTGAAGCCCCGTGATTAGATCAACTATCCTGTGTGTGAAAGAGAGAACTGTTGCATACCGCAATCCTTCTCAGCTGCACCTGCGCGGCAACGATGACATCCTCAGGTCTCAGGAATTTGCTGTCGTGCCAGTTCGTGGAGGTACGAACAAGATCATCCTCTGGCAACATCCAGTTTCGACCGGTCTGCATAGAGAGTGATCGATCATGAACGAAAAGGACGAGATAGGTCCTCTCACGGTCCCTACGCTCGCGTAGCTGTTGGTCCGATTCGTCCTCCTTCGGCTTTGAGATGTAACGATTCAACCCAAGTTCTATTGCCATGCGGCAAGCATATCCAATATACGTCCAGGTGTTCTAGAGAATCAAATGATCAGTATCAATGGCGGTGATAGGACATTGAATAGAGCATTCAAACATGAGCAATGAACTAACGCACTTGATCATCAGGTTCTTTCCAGTAGGTCATGCATGCGAAGCTCTGCACAATGCCCACGCTTTTGACCCCGTTGGCAAAAACCTTCACACACGTATCATGAGCTAACTGCTGGCACGCTGGATAGAGATGCGGTTTCCAAAATTTACAGCCCGCCATGATGATACACGTGAAAAGGAAGGGGCATGCTTTCCGCACATGCCCTACCGTGTGCAAGACGGGGTCGAATAGGCAAATGAAGGGATTAAGGCGTAGGAAAAACCTAATAAAAATATGAGCAGCTCAGCTGAGGGGGCCGATGGATTGTGATGTGGACATACAGTTCGAACAGAGCGTTCGCGTCGTCCTCCGTAATGAGACCCACGGAGATTGGGTCTTCAAAATCGACCACCTTTTTGGGCTTGCCGAACGGCCCAAAAGGCCCACTTCCAACACCACCTACACCGGATCCTGAGACAGTTCCACCTTCAGCGCCGGGAGCACCATTCATCGAGGCACCACGATTTCTCCCCTTCGACTTCGGAGCGCCCGAGTTGGTAGTTCCGTCTTTCGAATCATTGCTGTCATCCCCACTTCCGCTCCCTTGACCATCCGGTGGGTTGAGGATCGTATGAAAGAATGAAAGACGCTTGTTCTCATCGGCGAGAGCTTGCGCTGGGAACAGGTTGAAATTGTTGTTTCTGTCTTCACCATCGTCTGGTTTTGAAGAGGAACCTTCCGACTCCGAACCTGAAGGAGATGACGTACGAGGCGACGATACACCACGAGGGTTGCCATGGGAAGCGTTGGGGGTTGCATCGGAAAACCCTCGCTGGCGATTGAAATAATCTGGTCGATTTTGTGCCTGGGATCCTGAAGGCGTGCTTCCACTCCCACCGGTTGGCGTGGGATGCTGTAGTACATCCATCATCGGTGTCACTCCGGTGGATGAATGGCCTTCTTCCCTCTTAATTGGGCCCCCAATCTGTCCCCCTTGCGAACTATATTCAGGTATTGTGATATACTGGATATTTGAACCAGTACCACTGGATCCAGACGGCGACATCTGTGTTTGTCCCGAACTCTGCCAACCACTTGCACCGTTCGCGGTGGATATTAGAGGAGATGTGAAGGAATTAGGATTTCGTCCATCTGTGGAGGCTGCAGTCGCTGGGCGTGCGGCGGCATTACTATTTGTTGAAGGGGATGACGACGCCGCAGAATTTGCGGCCGCCGCTCGAGCGGAAGTGAGGTTTTTTTCAAGCCTACGGAGCATTTTTGATGCCTCACTCAGCCTGCGGGTTGCAGGTTTGTGGCGAAGGTAAGAATCGGGAAAACGTGTTGAGTACATGCATCACAGGACTGAGGAACAACAGGAGGAGTGATGCATACTTTGATCCTGGTTTGCGACCTCGTCTATGTTTCTCGAATATACACCTAAAATTAATGTGTGAGTACATCTTACCAAGGCCGTTCATAAGCCCCAGTTTGTGCAAGTGCTTAAGGCGCTATATGCGATGGGATCGCAATGCGACGTCCCTCCACATACACCAGGATCCCCAGATAAGCAAAGGACGATCATAGACGTACTCTGAGTTCTGTTTCTTACACCGGTTACATGGTCCGCCTTCTTCGGCACCAACACACCTCATCTATCAGGGCCCGTAAAGTGAGATAAGCAAACAGCGGGTGTGTGATTAGCGCCGTGGTCCACGTCGTCACGAATGTAAAATCAGGATTCCATACCTTAGCAGCACGGCATACGGTACAGGCTCTAGACATCACGCACGATGATGTTGAGGATTGATAATCACTGATAGAACGTGTGAAGCTTATCGCGTACTCACTTTGCCCCACGAACGATCGGTGGTTTAGCGGCGACTGGTGCCGGAGCTGATGCAGTGGGTGGTTGACTCGAATCATCCATGACGAACCTCTTTTGATTACAGCACGCTTGGTGAAGTGTCAAGGCTCAAGTCAACTGGGTGGATCTGGCTGCCAGGCGCCGCGATGCGGGAAGTTGAAGATGAATTTCGTGAAGGAGCACAGGACGGTAGTTGAAGAGAATTCGCTTCGAAACGGATGCCAGAGATGAGTAGGGCTAGATAAGGTGGTGGGAGGGTAGGACAGGAGGTATAATATGCGCCTCGTTGTAACTCTGGAAGCTTCCGTGCGTGAATGGTTTACGTGGGTGAAAGGAAGGCGTGTGTGCTACCCGAGGGAGATGAAGTGGACAAGTCCCGCTGGATGGCGAGAGTGGATATGAAGGAGGGAAGTAAAAACTGGGTTTCTAGGGATTCCCAGATGCAGATTTGGATGACCTGTGAATTCCCAGGCACGCGTGGAAACTACCCAAGGTGACAAAATCGCGAACCCTTTGAGAGGAAGATGAGGATGGGTTGTTTTATAAGCTCCCAATGACGAGGGTAGGGTCAGTGACAGGGATTGAACACTCCGGTGACTTAGCATGCCATCCAACGTCAATCTCATGATCTGAATTTAAATCATAGATTTAATTTTGTGTTAATTTCCCTCAGTTTCGACCTCCTAACAAATGCCTCGATTCATGGGCCACTAAACAACAACTAGCACCGATGATGGACTGTGGCATTGTATGAATAAATTCCACCCAGCTGTCCATCGCCTCCCAAAAAGGCAAAGGTCTCATGGGCACCAATAACCCAAAAATGTACATAATCCTGACGTCCCATCGTAACGCTTCGAAAATAAATACCAGAGTAAGAAGCAAAAATGCAACCTAGACAAACCTTCACTGAGTATGCAGGTCAGCCTACTCGAGAGAATGGGGGGGGGTTCTAATTTAAAAAATGCAAAGCTAAGGGGTCAGTGGCATTACTGATCGCAACCAGATTTATCCAATGCCCGAGTCCCATGGATTTTCCCAACCCGAAAATAGAATACTGGGTCCCATAACTATCGGCAGATGCTGGCACTTCCCCAAGGCATGAATTGCCCACACGTGTGTGCAACTCACTCAGTCCAGTGGAACGGAGGCGAATCAATAATTGGGTCAGGCCGACGTCCGCAAAAATGAGGCTGGCCGTGCTCTTGCACTGTTTCCATTGACTGCGCATTATGATCGCAACGGTTTACCATTGACTTTGTCAATACCTATCTCCATGACCAGTTGTGAACGCACCTGATGAAGCAAGAAATACTGTGATGCCATGGGAATGAATCCCCTTCCAATAAACCGGCGGAGGACCGCTGCTGTGCATTTCCAAATCGCCGAAAGAGTTGGAGCGTGGGAGACGATAGTATGGACTTAATTTGCCGGTCCCCGATTATGTCGTGGGCTCAGCCTTCTGAGCATCCGAATGGTGGCTTGCCCAGCTGATGCGAAGAGTAGTCAAATAAGTTGCAACGCCAGTTGCCTTCTGGAACAGGAGGCTCCCTTATTGTGCCATCAGATTCATTTCGTAAAGTGTGTTGAGATCAGTCGTGAAGAATTATTGGCACAAAGTGCTCATTCTGGATACCGATCGGAAGGTTGACCCAGGTCCACGAAACGGCATTCCGCAGAGACGACCAATCCACTAAGAAATCCAAAGACGGTGACAAAAACAGGAAGGCAAGTAATTTTCTGCCCTGGTGGTCCGACCATGGGACAAGAAAGGTGCATGCGTCGCCGCCGTGTTATAATTGAATAGACAGACGCTCATTCACAACGAACCATTGTCCCGGGCTAAGTCATGTTGCGTGTACAAAATGGACTATACCCCGGCCAAGGGCATGTACTATTGGCTGCCAGGATGTTCGCAATAACGAGGATTCAGAGGGACCGTGGCACTTGCCGGGCAATGACAGGGAGGTGGCTTGAGCCGGTTACTATACCATGAAGGGTTCGAATCCACAAAAGTGATTCTGCGGGTTCTGGGCGGCCGAACATAATTTTGTCAATATATATACTCAATAGTTGTGAGATGAGTATCACTTGGGGCTAGCTCGGCGCAAGCAAAGACGAACGGTCGACCCTGATATATGAGTTCCGCAGTTGTGAGATCGCTACATGGGCATCGAGATTGTTCAATAGTGCAATAGTGAATCAAATGCAAAGTGATCATAGTCTCAAACAAGATTGAATAACCCAGATGGGTATTTCCGCATTAGGTCAGTGTCACGCAAACAAGCTGCAAACCCAATGCCTTGCATCGGCATTCGTAAAAGCAGCAATAATCCATCCACGGCTTTGTGGGCACGTTTGAGTAGGCGTGAAGCAGGAATCCATGATAAACACTGAAACTGGCTGGGGCATTTACCCAAGCCAATAACATTGAGGGGACACAGACCATGAAATCTTCGATAGAAAGAAGGGCTTTTATGGAACTGAAGCAAGAGATACATCGGCCATGGTCTAGGCAAATTGAGTCATGCAGACATTGTGTAGAGACCGAGACTCCGGAGAACCGTGGGGATCAGAGAAGAACCCTTGTTGAAAACCCAATAGTCCACCTTAATAATCAGCGATACACTTGCAGGACATAGCTCCAGCACCCAGAATACCGGCTGACCATGTATGCCAATACGCCACTATGCAGTGGTCATGCAAGGGAAGGGAAGAGAAGGTAAACCAAATAATGCTTCCCTTACCATCCGATGAATCGCAACGGCTCGACAAAACATAGGGGGAAGCTAGGTGCGAGACAATAGGCAAGGTTCGGCAACACAATATCAAGCAGAGCCGAGGAAGGAGCTGTTCTGCGCTGGCAGTCTTCGCCAAGCCAGGTTCGACGAGCGCCTTCACTAAGCATCGCCCATCAAACAGGCGTACTCTCCTCTGAAGGAGGTCCCAGCGTGGCAGAATGGAACCGCATGAGAAGAAAGAGGTCGACAGTCAAGATCGCAAAATGACCGGAGGGACAACAGCTCGAACGGAAGCAAATTGACCCGGCAGTTGTAAAATTGTCTCTTTACCTTTTCTGCTCCATAGATCGACGAACAAATTGTTCAAATCGTCTCATCGTGCCGCCGCCGTGTGTCCCAATCTCTTGGAGCTCACAGAAGAGTCCACTGACACATTTCTTTCTCCCGCTCATTCCAGTTTGTCCCTGACCGCGCGGTTGAAGCATTTGCCGTTGTTGACTGCACGCGTCCCAGCATCCAGAAGCACCTGATTTAGCCTCCTTCAGCGCATAGCTTTTAGTTCTGCGTTCAATGGCGTCATCTACGACTCAGGTCCCCTTCCAAGACCAGTACGCCTGTATGTCCATGAAATAATTATGTCCGATCCGCTATTGACACGTTTTGACGGGCTCCCTCTTTGCCGCTTCTTTCCTTTTTCCCGTCAGACCGCGCGCAGAAGTCATTCGGCATTGTCGCGGGCAGCTCGCCTAACTTTGGTGCTGTCCAGGGTTTCCAAGCGTGCGCCATCATCTTCCCAAATCTTCTGCCTAACATTGACGTTTCCCCACTCCGTCTTGATATGCATTCATTCGGCCACTTTCCATTAGACCAGACGTCCCGTCCCGTACCTACATCTACAGCCAAGACGGGAAGTGCTTCGCATACGCAGTTCCGGCGAGGTCAGTGCGCTTTGGTCTGTAGATCCATTGGTCCTTCGATAACGGCTTCGTTATTATCAGCGTCCTTATATTCGCTGCGGAGAACGTTCAGCTTCTGAGAGAGCTGGATGTGCCGAATGCAATTGAACTGAACTTCTCACCACTTGGAACGTTCCTTTCGACCTGGGAGCGTCAAGGTAATTCGGAAATCTTGCTTCTCCTCAAGATGACCTTTGATGTATATCCCAGTTAAGCCCGATGAAGGCGGAATTCACAAGAATTTGCGAGTCTGGTCGGTGGCCACGGGCGAAGAGGTGACTTCATTCGCTCAGAAGTCGCAAGAAGGATGGTATGTCCAGATATGCTGTACAAATCAATCGCTGCTTCCCTCCTTACCTCTGCCTCGTGTCTAGGGATGTTCAGTACACATCGACTGAATCTCATGCGGTGCGCCTAGTTGGGCCTGACATCCTCGTTTTCGATCCGTCCAACTGGAGCAAAGGTGTCGTCAGTAAGCTCAAAATCGAGGGGTTGACAAGCATTGCGCTCAGTCCTGGGAAAAACCCATCAATTGCTGTTTTCGTTGGAGAACGCAAGGTAGGATAAAGTGGGTGATCGGCATGAAAAAGAGCTGCGGCAAACAACCGTTTCTTAGGGTGCACCTGCAAGGATATCCATTCACAGCCTAATTGGTCTGAGCTCCACTCGCACATGTCAGAAAAGCTTCTTTAAGGCTGACTCAGTGACAATGAAATGGAACGATCTTGGCACTCAGGTTCTCGTCCTCACTCACACCGATGTGGACAAGACGAACAAGAGTTATTATGGCGAGACGGGGCTATACCTTTTGAGTGCTTCCGGGAACTTTGACTGTAGAGTCACCCTTGGTATGCACTTCTTCTGAGTTGTGATGAAGCATTGGACCAATTGCCCGTATAGACAAGGAAGGCCCTATACATGACTTCGCCTGGAGCCCCAACTCAAAGGAGTTTGGTGTTATCTATGGCTGTACGTGCTTGCCAAGATGGTCTCCTCCTTTGTTTTTCCCTTCTCTGATCTTGATTTCAGATATGCCTGCCAAGGCCACGCTTTTTGATCAGCGCGTCAAAGTGACTGCGGAATTCGGCGCCCATCCTTGGAATTTCATCTCGTTCAATTCTCATGGACGACTTGTTGCCCTAGCAGGATTTGGCAATCTTGCAGGCAAAATCGACATCTTCGACAGGCGGACACTGAAGAAAGAATGCATTATCGATGCCCCAAATACAAGTCATTGCGAGTGGAGTCCCGATGGAAAGACAATTTTAACTGCAACCTTAAGTCCAAGACTCAGGGTGGATAACGGTATCAAGATATGGCATTGCACGGGTCCGTTATTGCATGTTCAACTAGTGGAAGAATTATACCAGGTGCGTAGTCAACTAGAATGAAACTAAGAGGGTGTTGATGAAAGCGTAGGCATCCTGGCGGCCAGCTCCATCCGCTTCCGTGCCTCCGTTCCCTTCCGCTATCCCTCCCGCCCCAGCCCCGTGCCCTAGCGTGGCCCAAAATGCGCCGGCAAAGTCAACCCGTAAGTAGTAACTGGTTCAAATGAACGTCCACACTCCTTACAGTAGCCAATTCGTTCAGCTTCGAAACCCGCGGGAACATACCGACCACCTGGCGCGCGCGGCCTCGCCACGCCAACAATTTACAAACGCGAGGATGAAGGTGGTGCCCCAAGTACACCTTCTAACGGTATATCCACTCCACCTCGCACTGGTACACCCGTGAATGGTGGGAATGGCCGTGGGCTGGCAAGACCACGATATGTGCCTGGTGCCCCCCCTCCTGCGCCCGCCGAGAGCGAAAGTACTGAACCGCCACGAAAGGGTCAAGGGAAAAAGAAAAAGGATAAGGCCAAAAAAGAGGGTGGGAACAGCAGCGCGGAGAAAGGTTCCGCTGAAGCACCGACACTTGTACCACGTACTTCTGAACGTCAAACTTCCGCTGCCACGCCCACGCCCAGCCCAGTCCCAGTCCCTGCGTCTTCCGATGCTTCCGCCCCCGCTTCTACGCCGGCAATAGAAAACTCTGACTCTACTGCGAAGAAGATTCGGAACCTGCAAAAGAAGCTCAAGGCGATTGAAGAGTTGAAGAACCGTGAGGCGATGGGGATGCCTCTTGAGACGACGCAGAAGAGGAAGCTTGGTGCTGAGGATGAAGTGAGAAGGGAATTGAAGGAATTGGGTGCATTATGATGGGATGTGCCGCCATCGGGTCACTGGTTGTTGGTCGCACATTGAAAGAGCCCTTGTACACATGACCCATGAGTGTAAGTCTAGGGGTTTTCACTAGGGAAAAAACTGCAATTAGATGTATAGTGTTCCCACACGTTCGACAAGCACTGACATATCATGCATATTCGTCAGTCTGCACAACCACACTTGTCATCGACCCGCGAATCTTTCCAACATCAGTTAAAAAATGCCCAGATGACTATGATTCCCTAACTAGCTCGTGTCATTGATACTTATGAAATTAAGATACCTAGCTCGGCCCCAACTCCGAGTCTGGTGCTGCGAATCAACGATCGCTGTAGCTCAGACAGGCAGTTTCTACCTGCTCGTGACAATGGGGCACTCTTCGATATCCAATATCTATACTGATATGGCCAAGGCTCTCCCGTAGACGATCACTAATCCTCACACACCCATATCCCCTGTGAACTAATGTAGGCTTATATTATATTTGGGAACTCTAGCACTTGCAGATTAAGCAGGCCGGCCGGCCCCGGGAGGAGCGGCGCCATACGCGATTATGGCCGATGCTGTACATGTGTTGAGAGGCCAGTTTTCCGTACCGAAACCGAACAAGCGCCCATAAAGGAAACGGAGGTGTGGTAGACCGTGAGAAAGACTTCAGGTCGCGCACCTCCCGCGCGGGCCATTCTCCATCCGTTTTGTCATTCACCATCAAAATCGACTTTCCAACTCTAAAAACTGCGTCAGGTTGGAGGGAGAAGAACATATCCTCTCGTTATGACCGTTTCTCTGGCCTTTTTGCCTTTCAACGACGTCCAAAACGACGAAAATGTTAGCAAAAGGATCAACCCAATTTAATTTCAATTGTAGGGCTATGGCCACCGCGCCCTGCACCAAACACAGCCATTTGTCATTTGATTCCAACACACTCGCACATCCTTGAAATTCAATACCAGTCTGGGTGCCAAGTATTAGCCAAACGCGCTGTGTGAAAGGCCAAATGACACAGCCAAAAAATTGGATAAACAAGTGAGTTGACTTCTGTAGTTACCTCGCACATATGCATATATATGTCCATTTCTGGAACGAATGCGAGGAGTGGTTGACTACCATCTCTCCGGGGTGGACGGAGAAACATTCAAACAAGTGCCAAACAAGATGTATATTTTGAAGGGTATTTGATCTGAAGAGGGCCATATTTTTACACCGGCATGCAAAAGGCAAATATGGTGCATAGAAATACTACAGAAAAGGTCGCAACTTAAATGCGTACCAGGAGTACGTCAACACTCGACAACTGATACGCAGGTTCAAAATCACGCCCTTGCAGATTCATTGCAAGGCTCCCTCCTTAAAATTAAAGTGCATGATGCTCATCAATTCTCTTGCATATCCAGATGTTTCTCGATCGTGAAGGTGTGAGTGTCAGGCCCAAGAGGTATCCCGGCCCCATGTTCAACACCCCTAATTAGGAAGTAGCGGGGACGGCCGCAAGGGGTCAACGAACATCGTGCCATCCAACACGTACAAGCAATACAGACAAGAAGGACACAGAACCGCGATTCAAGGAAGCGCAGGAAGGAGATGACGGAACACAGAGGAACGAAGCGCCCACACAGGCAAACAAGGGAGCTCACTTAGCTGCACAGCCATGTGGTCCAACGTCCGATCCCAATGCCTGGATCGGTGGGAGCTCACGTGATAGCGATTTTTACAGCTTCCCTTCTCGTTTTGCAGATACATAGGATGAGGATTAACGCTGAGGAAGAAGCAACTCCCAGGTGAAGATTGCAGCTGATATATATGCTCATGCATGATTCCAGGCTCTCCACATAGAACGGCAGCGTTCCAAATATGGCAACCCGTCTCCCAGTGGCCCACTCGCAGCCCAGATGTGAGATAGAACTGAGAAATATAACTACGGCACTGAAGCGACCACATTTATATTTCGTAATAATATTTTAGGATTTTCCATGCGCAGGCGCTTAGTCGAATATTCCCAAACAGGCTCCTTTCAATACATAGGACTCGCACTACAACAATACAAACACTTCTTTCGAGCTTCCTAATATTCACATACCATGCTCAAGATCAGCCCAGGCCCAGGGAGTTGGATTTGCAGTTATTTGGCTCAGGGGCCCACCTTACCCTTGAGGAGAAGCTATTTTTGAGAGGCTGGAAACAAATTGTCCAGGGATGTTCTCCGGTCAGGGTGCACGCGCGACTACATAAGATAAATCAATTCCATACAAGGCTGGGCAGCCCTGCTGGCCGCTTCCTCGAATGATTGTGGAGTGACATCCAAGTACTTATGTCAATGGGGACATAGACTGGTCAAGTGATTAAAAACTAAAAAAAAAAGCATTTGGAGAATAAGACGACGGACGAGACATTGGGGTTGGATGGAGTGGAAGTCGAAAAGCCAAGGATGACTCGAAATGTGGGTGAATCAAAGGTGACAGGAATACCCCGGAAGAAGAGGTCCGGGTGACGCAAGGTAACGATACATGCACAGTGGCATAGGGGGGCAAAATGGGCGAAAAGCAAAGCAAGCAACCAAAGTCGGCTGCAAGGTACAATGGACCTGGTCGGGAGTTGCAAAAGTAAATCAATGATACATAGTGAGGGGGGGAGGGGTTCTATGTAATGGATCATGTTAGCTAGCGGTAGAATGGACGTTAGGAGATAAAGAGCCTACCATTTAATGTTAATGGGAGGTGCTGATGCTGGCCGCTTGACGCCTTCGATTGTTGAACTATTACGATGTCGCTGGCGTGACGACGCTTTTGCCAGGTCACTCTTCGCTTGAAATGCTGCTCCAGCTTCGCCCTGTTTTAATGCATCCAGCCACAATCTAAAGGCATGAGTAGGTGGAGTCAGCGTCAGCCGCCTCGAGCGAAAAAAAGTTGAAAGATCAACTGAGAAGAAAACAGACCGCTTGTGGAACTTGTAAAGCTCGTTGGAATAAGAGACAATCTTGTGTTCTCGAGGAGTGAGAGCCACTTGGACGTATTCGAGGCGAATGGGGCTAGGGTCGGTCGGTGGTGTCGAGATTGGGGCCGACGACTCTGAAGTAGCACCCGAACGCGACGAAGATCCCGATGAAGTCATGAGAAAAGTCGGTTGAGGAAGTGTTGTTGAGTTGGACGCGTTTAACGATATGTGGAATTTGTAGAAAACCGTCACTTTTTTGTTGAGCAAACAAGCCTTGCACCGCTGATGTTGTACTTGTTGTTGTTGTTGATGATGATGATGATGACGACGACGATGATGGTGATGGTGAAGCCGAACAAGGAAAGGAAAAAAGAACTAGATCATATTTTTCATTATTTTTGAATGTAAAAGGTTCCGAACTTGGGCGATCGAAATAAATTTGTTCAATTTTCCCATTCTGAGTCAAGTCGAATGAATGAGGAGGTTCAACGGACCGACCCGTTCGGAACGAATCAACACAATATAGCAGTTGACGTCGTGGAGCGCTGTTCACCACGACTTACCTGGGCCATGGCGTTGGCTTAGCGGAGGAGAGTTGGAGAGGATAATGTGTATGGAACATGCGACTCCAGAGGATTGGTTGAGACCTCAGTGATATTTCTCGACTCCGCGGGAGCTTTTTTTTCATTGGGCTAGGCAACTTACATAAATCGCAAACTGATCAGTGAGTGTGTTTCGGGTCGTGTAATGCCAGCTGAAATCAGTGGATTACAGTAACACACACATCAAAAAGAGAGCGAGAGCCTACAACATTCACGTTCAAACGAAAGAAAAAGGGCATATCAAAGACATGGATGGGTTTTCGGATCGTGGGTAAGTATGCATGTACTGAGATCCACCACATTCAAAACTGTCTTCCCCTATCATGCAGTTATGGAATAGTCGTGCATGGGTGCATATAGACGCGCAAGCCGGGTCTCACCGTATTCGCAGGATGACGCGAGACAGGAAGTAATCATCGTTGCGTGATAAACAGGCCCATGAAGTCATCGCTAACAGAGGATCTCTGCGATCGCAAGTCATGGGCAAATCGAGAATTGAAGCCCCCCCCCCCTCGTTCCCGGTGAGGGAGGAAAGGGGCCTTTGCATGATTTTTATACAGTACATAGCGACATCAATACGTTGAAGCTGTATCGGTGATAGGCATATGCGTCCCCGTGCATTCATTTTTATACTAGGCTGACGTTATGCCGGCGCTACTAGAGCAGGACAATTGCACCCTCAGGGGGGAAGCAGCAACTGGCACAGCACGATCGCACGATCGATCAGGTTCAGGTCGCTAACAGATTGGCATGCATGATGCATATGTGCCGAGCGTCAGGAGAACTGGAGTATATGAGTAGCCAGCGTTTAGTGCAGAAGGCTAAGAAATTTCATCGTCAAAGTCGATGCGCCGTCGTGCGCAGTGAAACAAAAAATAGGCTGCCCCATTCATGAATAGCCCTGAAAATATGCTACACCCTCATTCCCGCGAGACCACTAGTCAGAGCTGGTCAGGTGGCCCCACTGACCCACACTACGGCCTAATGTGCAGACTTCAATCCGTTATATTGGGCCACGGTACCGCGCTATGTCGGTACTACGTCAAGACAATCACACCTCTGAGAGAAGTAGCAACTGGCACGGGATCGCTTGAGGGACATGCACACATCGAACTTCCATTCGAATAGGATTGAGATGATCAACTGGGTTCCGACTGGATCGATCAAGGCGCAGTTATGGCGGCATGCATGATACATATGCCGAGCGTTAGAAGTGGTTTAGCTGAAGCATACATACGTACCAGAAAGCGTTTAGCAAGAGGGTCCCATGGCCACTGAATCAACCTTGAGAGAATGTGCTACACACTCAGTCTTGTAAAACCATGGGGCCCCGGCCCGCGCTACGACCTGGGGCGCTGACTTTCGTTGTGGCGCTGTGTCAGCGCTACATTAGGACAATCGCACCTTATCCTCAAAGATCGAGAGAGGTGGCAACTGGTATGCGGTCGCTTAACATACACCGATCTTGATGTAACCTGAGGATCGACAAGGTTCCCCGATCGACCAAGGCATGATCAAAAGTTATGCTGCCATACATAGTGGATATGCCGAGCGTCAGGAGCAAGGCATACATATGTACTAGCGAGCATTTAGTGGAGTGGCCATGAATTGGCCAATTCAACATTGAGAATGTGCTACACACTCAGCTCTGCTGGACCACATTCAGGTTGGGCCCAAGGTTGCGGCTTGATGTGCTGACTTCAGCAGGACATTCGCACCTCGGAGAAAAGCGGCAGCTGGTCTCCAAGTCTGAGCGGGATTGGAATGATTAACAGGGTTCTAACTCTTCCTCGATCGCGATCGATCGGAGTGTGGGGGTTGTGCCAGCATGCGTGAATCGATGCACATGCCGAGCGTCAGGGGTAGTTCAAGCTGAAGCATCATACATACTGGCGAGTGTTTAGTGCAAAGTCTAAGACACTTGATCATCGAGGAAGAGCGTGCACAGTCGTCATGGAAAGGGCGCTGTCCCACAGTCATGATGAAATCATGAATTGGCAGATTCACCTCCTTGAGAACGTGCTGCACGCTCGGTACTGTAGCCCTGGTCCCAGGCTATATTGCCGCCTGGTGTGCTGAGTTTCTCCGTTCGCCACTCGCGCGTCACATCATTAACTCATGATTTCGGTCTTCCCTTCACCTTGTGAGGATGGCTTTTATGTAAGTCATGCCTTAGCTGTATTGTAGCGGAGTTGGCTGTTTATTGTGACGCGCGAAATTGAATATTCCATCATGCCCGAACGTGAAATAATGGGGGGCCTAGGACGCGCGCTGATCCGAACGGAAAAAGGGCGGCTCAGACCCTGTGTGAAAGTCCGTAGGTAATAACTTGTACTGACTGGCTTCTCTAAGGCCGAGCAAGGGTTCTTAGGTTGTCAAAGCTAGCTGTTCCGGATCTGGTATGACAGGTGACCTTCACATCATGTGCGCGCGGCACACAGCTTCCCGCGTAAGTATTCCGAGCTGTCACGATCTGCAAGCCGAGAGATACGTGCAAAACACTAGACAACGAAAGCATTAGCCAGAATCCTATTCGTACCATTTATGCATACCAAGTATGAACACATGCAGATGACCCCAATGTGTAAGTGTTACCCCTTTCCGCACACACGTGCGCCGCATGGCAAGCAAATATTGTTACCCAATCGCGCAATACGACTTGCCAGCGTCAAACGATCTCCTGAGCAACAAACACATCGGGTATTAAATTTCAGAAGCACTCCCTCGCTAAAGGGGCTGCTTGTTATCTTATCTGTACTGATATTCACATCAATGCATACATACCAAATTCAAGTTCATGGCTCATTCCGAACCCAATCTTGACGATGTCACTTGATGCAGCGTATCATCGGTAATCACGACCAAAAGACCGTTTGGAATTCAGATGGGAATTTCCATCCAATTTGAGGTATAGCCAAGTGTGGTCAGTCAGGCACAGGTAAGCACTAGGATATCCTTGGGAGAGCTCGTGATGGCTCCCTGACAGGGACGTTACTGCTGGTGCAACGACGTCCCTTGGCTGATTGCTAAATTCGGGGGTATGCGTCATGATGCAGAGGTGCTGGAGGCGCGTACATACAGAAAAGGAATCGATCTTGTTGATGAATCGAAAAGAACCTGCGTTTGGTCGCAGTAAGGACCAATATTTGAATATGGATCGCCGGATCGCCGGATACCATATGTACGGAGTTATGAGGGAAAGAGGGTTTTCCTCTTTCCGTGTTGAGATAAATTGGGAACACTGCTTCGATGTGCCCAGCTGATAGGACGTGAACAACTCGTTCCCTACCTCAACGTCCCCTATTCAGGGATGTGACTCGATCGTTTGACCTAGTTATGTACCAATGCCGGTTTTGCAAGCTCGCTAAAAGGGTTTCCAAATCTGGGCCGTTGAACGTCTAAACTCAACAGGAAGAGCGAGGGGGATTCCGGAAAAAGGGGTTTCCGAAATCAGATGCAAGCCACCTAGTAATATTTCGTGGCAACGTCTAAACCATCAGCTTCAGTGATTTCTCTCATGCGGTGCTATAACTGCACTACATAACCGTACCTTTGGGGAAGCGGGTTGATCCATCGATCAACTTTTGCTAAATTGGTCTAGGTGAACGGAGCTGCTTGATTTCTGGCAATGAACCTTTGCGACCTGTGTGCGAAGCTTCTTCCAAGGTAATTTTCACTCGACCCTCATTTTGATCAAGGTGTGCACATGACTGACCTGCCACAGGAATTTTGGGGGAACAATCCACTGTGCACGCGGTTATGCATGCTCATGTGGGCGGAGATGAAACCCGGGCTACAGTCCTCGATACCAAGACGATAATAGGACAGCTTATGCAGTGCAACGCGTGGACAGAATAGGAGCATTTGTAGTTGGCCCCATGACTCGAACGAAGGTATGTAAAACAAATCAGACGACGGATTAGAAAGCAGGGTACTGATGGCCGCGCTCGTATCGGCATGACCAGCGATCCTACAATAGCGAGCGGTGTCGAGATGAGTGGAGATTGTGGCAAAGTTTGTGTGCACGCATGCGGGGATAAGGTGTAACTGCAGCGATCATTGGGAACTGGCAGCGAATGAGATTGAGGATATTAGAATACGTTTGCGCCCCTCCGCCCGAGTCCCTTTTGTGTCAGCGAGTCGCCAGGGGTCACGAGAGAAAGGATTTCGTTTTTCTGTCGGTATACTGGGATGAAAAATTGAAGAGCCAATCGACAAATCAAGAAAGGATCAATCACAACAACAACAAATTCCCCGAAAGTGAAGGCGATAGAGAGATATAAAACCTGAGGCCCAAGCTATAATTTTGGAGTTGGTTTTTTTAAGTGTGAAAAGGGCAAGATCCTGAGGTTTATCAATTTCGCCCAACTGACGAGAAAGTAGCTCCCGGTTGGTCTTTGCTCAGTTGTTTCATCCTTCACACATGCCACTGCAGCAACACACCTTACCCCCCGCTTCCTCCAGCATACCTGTAGCCCCTGTAAAGCAGCAGGTCGCTGTCTCCCCCATATCGGTACAGGCTTCACCAAGGTACGAAATCCCCGGAGGAAATTTTTCGGCACTTGAAATTTGACTCGTTAACCTTGCTGATTTTTCGGTTTTGATTGCCCCTTTGAACAGCTCGAACAGCGTTTTTACTGAGGATGAAGAGGATTGGGAGGATTATGTTAGGGGGGGCTACCACCCTGTTCATGTTGGGGACGTTTTCGGCGATGGACGGTATGTTCTTTCTTCCGCCTTCTGTGTGTTGATGTGGCTGGTGGACCCACTTATTCCCTTGTTCCTCGTTATCGACAGATACATAGTCGTTCGAAAACTTGGATGGGGCCATTTCAGTACGGTATGGTTGGCGAGGGACACGAAGTATGTCTCATTTCATAGCATCTCACGCGATCGGCGTCATCTTTGCCACTCCACTATGCTCATGTCGTCAAAATCATTGTTATTGTTAGGATGAACCGTCACGTAGCCCTCAAAGTTGTCAAATCTGCTCCGAGGTATACAGACACAGCCTTGGACGAGATCAAGCTCCTGCAGCGGATTATTTCATCCGACCCCACCCACCCCGGTCGCAAACATGTCATTTCACTCCTCGACCATTTCAAACACAAGGGACCCAATGGAACCACGTTTGCATGGTGTTCGAAGTCCTCGGAGAGAACTTGTTGGGCCTTATCAAGCGGCATCAGTCTAAAGGTGTTCCTGCACACCTTGTCAAACAGATCGCAAAACAAGTTCTTCTTGGGTTGGACTATATGCATCGGCAATGTGGGGTCATACATACCGATTTGAAGCCCGAGAACGTGCTTGTGTGCATCGAGGATGTTGAAGCGGTAGTTCAGGCCGAATTACAGTCAACTCCGGCAGCCGCTCCGACGGTACTTGTGGGTGTTCCGCCGAGTAAAGGAAGGGGTGGGAACCAGAGCCAAGCCCCCCGTTCTGATTCGATTTTCATCACTGGCTCCCAACCATTACCCAGCCCAAGCAGTAGCAGCAGCCTAGGTTCCAGCTCGGGCGTCGACAAATGGAACCTTGCCATGACAAGCATAAAGAACGATAAACCAGGCTCTAATAAGGTCTCCACTAATGGTTCAAGTCCGTCAATGTCTGCTGATGCAGTCGACCGTGCTGCTGACGCAATGGGCGGTGTGAAGTTGGACCCTCACTTCGGTGAACACGTTACTCCCCCCAAACCCATGCACGGGCCTTCCCTTCTTTCGCAACAAGCGCCGCACGCAGCGGGAGATAGGGAACATTTTCCTCATTCACATTCTGCCCCAAATGGACATAATACCAGCTACCCTGGCTCTCCTATGTCGACGGACTTTCCCTCACATTCACACAGAGACGAGCTCAAACTTGTTTCCGATGATACAGACTCCTCCACTTCTTCCATTGAAGCAATGGAGCGCATTACAGTTAAGATTGCTGATCTTGGGAACGCGTGTTGGGTCGATCATCATTTCACGGACGACATCCAGACGAGGCAATACCGTTGTCCGGAGGTCATCTTAGGTGCGAAGTGGGGGACGAGTGCGGATATTTGGAGCGCTGCTTGTCTCATTTTCGAGCTCTTGACGGGTGGAGATTATTTGTTCGATCCTCAGAATGGATCGAAGTATAGTAAGGACGACGATCATATCGCTCAAATCATCGAACTTGTTGGAGAGTTCCCGAAGACCATTGCGTTCTCTGGACGGTATAGCAGCGACTTTTTCAATCGCAAAGGTATGGATTTTCTTCTTTGGGTCGTATCACTTTGTGGGTTGACTTCTACCGACTTGTAGGTGAACTTAGACACATTCACCGATTAAGATTTTGGCCCATCGAAAGCGTCCTGCACGACAAGTATCTCCTCCCCAAGGATGAAGCTGATCTGATCGGCTCCTTCCTTACTCCAATGCTTCGCCTGAATCCGGAACGACGTGCGCGCGCGTCCGAAATGATTCATCATCAGTGGCTTGATGGGATCTTGGTGCAAGGTGAGATCGATCAGATCCGAGCGACCGAAGAGAGGGAGCAGCAGAAGAGGGAAGCCGCACGTAGGGAAGTCGCCTCCCTTGACTCACCTGGTTATGGACACATGCGGCACGTTTCTAGCGAAATCAAGGAATCTACCTCAGGTGCGAAGAGGTTGAGTGGCGTCGTTCCGAACGGTGATGCAGATGCGCTCAAGCCTGTTGGTGAAGTCCCTCCGTCTCCAGCGGAAATCACACCGCCGCATACGTCGTCCGCTCATCATCGTTATCACCATCACCACCACCATCATTCTTCCCCCACTAGGGCTTTTCAGCTTCAAGATGCTCCATCGAACTCACGCGACCGGTCATCTACCTCTCACGGGAAGTCGACTAGCTCACACACCAGTGAATCCCATCAGACATCGGCGTCGAATCCTCGAACTCGCCAGGTGAACGAGAGTCCAATGCGATCTCAGCGCCTTGTCCCAATACCCTGATTTGATTGGGCAGACGTGAACCCTGTCCGGCTGTCCAATCTTTTCCATTTATTGACTCCTGCTTGTTCCCTTATCCTACGTGATTCCTGTTCTATACGTGCACCCTCGCTGCGATACCTAACCTGCTTGGTCCCAATCGGTCAGTTTCCTTCTACAATACTCCTAATACCGTTTCGTACGAGAGTCGCAGTCAGCACGACGTCAAGTTGCTCCCGCTTTCTTATTATTTCCCTCTCCACGCCAGCTCTTCGTACTGAGTTTGAGCGTGCAACAACCGTACGCATTGCCTTCCACTGTCCATTTTGTGTCTGAGATCCCGCGTAGACAGTTACATTTTTCTTTTCCCTCTTCTAGCAGCCTGATTCCTTTTTTTTGCCGTCTTCCCGTTGGTGCTTCTTGCCTCGCAGTTTCTTCCTATATTTTTATAGCAGTTGCAGCTGGTTCTCACTTGCCCCCTTAGACGCTTCTCTTTTTTTCTTGTTGGAGATGGAAATTAACGGATATGATCACCCCTTTCTTCTAGTGTTTACTATGTCTCTCACCCTTATGATCATCTTTCCTGTTCACGCCGTCCGGCGCGTTTTTTCCTGTGTTTCATTCCCATTGTGTACAATTCCATGTATGCCAGGCAGCAATTTTGCGTTTCATACGTGCTTCTGCTACGAGCCTTCTATACCCCTGTGCTCGTAGTTCTAGGACAACCATGATACAAGGCTAAGATGTGTATGAGACGAGGCAAAAGATTTTACACATGCATTTGAATTTATTTTTTGTTTTGACATATCCTGGGCGAATGGCAAGCTTGTACAATTCCAAGGGGATGAGCGGCTGAGCACTGGTGACGGACATCAGAGTGTGTACATGAATGAGTCCGCTGAGAATCGGGCGTATCACTGTGTGTTCATGGATTGCGCAGATTTGATTGTTTGACCCGACGCCGAGGTACGTTTCGGCGGTCGGTCAGCTACAGTTGGATGTGGCCAAAATGGTCTACCAGGCCTTGATTTGAAATTCGACTCAATTCTTTTGGGTCCCTAACCAGCTTTTCTGACCAGAACAATAGACAGGGTATGGGTGATTTTGATTGAGAGGCGCTGTCCAGAGGATCATTTGGAAGATTCGATCAGTCTGCGGACGAAGGATCGCTTCCACTGGAGACATCAAATGGTTGGATCTTCCAATAGCAAATGCATGAGGCACCCCAAGACAATTGGAAGGGGCTACAGAGCCAGTTTCAGCCCTATGTAGGCGGGGCATATGGAAAGGAGAAAGAATTCTCCCTCAACTCTTTTGAATGATCCTTATCCAACGCAACCTGATGGCAGTACAGCTTTCATGGGGTGTGCGGGTTCGGTGTTGTGAGAGTACCTATATGGTGCGACCGTTGGGCATGTCTACTGCCAGACGCACCGATCGAGTTTCAGAGCATTCAGGACAATATCCCTTAGGAGAAGGTGTGAGCACAAGGCTTCCTGTCATATGAAGGGGCCAGGGAAGGTCTTCTTTATAAATGTTATCTAGGCACGTCAGTGGATGTAGCCCACCGTCGTGGGTAGGCCTCTCTTTAACGTACGTCGTGAGGGTTCGCGGCCTATTCCAACAGAGGCTGGTATCTTGCCTAGGTCTGCGGTAGGGCTGGCAGTTTTTCTAAACATGAGTGCAGGAATAAGGGCAGTGTTCACATATCCTATCGCTTTCTCAGAGTCCCACCATCACCTGATAGGGCTTCAAACAAAGCTCGGCGAATAATTAATTCCACACAATGTTTTTCTGCTGTCTGCGATCGTGTCTGGTGTCTCCCAGGAATGGGTCGGTTTTACTCACCAGGGGTATGCGTTCGGCCGCATATGTCAGCCAGATCGCGGAACTTTCTGGGATTCACACGACCAAGAAGGATATGAAGAGCCCCGTCTCGAAGACCGCTGGGAAAACTGTCGTCCAGCTAGTAGGTCTGCCTCCCCATGCCACTCCCGCAGACATAAGACGTATGGCAGCGAAGCATCAAGTTGACGAAGGGTTCGAAGGTGAGGCATGGTTTTCAAAATGACGCGCCCTTCTTATACATGAATCCGTGTGTGCTAGTTCGGATGCGATATAATCGTTATCGGTTTGCTGAAAAGGCCAGCCTTCACTTCACACATAATTGGCTTGCTCGCGAAGCTGCCGAACGCTTAGACAACGCGGAGCTGGCGACCTATCGCCTTCACGCTTATTCACGAATGCTCAACCAAGACGATGAAGATGCGCTTAAATCGCTACAGAATCGAGGGAGAACAGTCATTCTAAAGGGGCTAAAGAAGGGACTTTCAAACGCGAGTCTGAAGGACGCGTTACTTTCCGAACAGTTCCAGTTGGTTTCCTCTGATGGGTCAATCATAAGACTTCCTATGTAGGTCTTTTCACGCTGATGGAAAGGCTCTGGTGTCCTCACGGCTTCGCAGGGACACGACTGGAATGACCAGGTGGCTGGTACACCTGGATTCGGTCTCAGAAGCCCATAGACTAGTGAGACTGTACCACATGACGGCAACCCTAGGGGAAACCCAACCTGTTCGGGCACAGATATTATATTAAAGTTGATGCACGATCTTATAACCTATGATTCCTCCCCCTCAATCCGCAATCGGCGTGACTAGTGCGAATATATCCAGTTCTGATGCTGTCGGAGGGATGAGAAGACTTACCCGCCCAACTTCGTCAAGATCATCCTCGTCCTCATCGCGCTCGCGTTTGAGGGGTTTCCCATCTGGTGACTCATTGCCTTGAGATGTGGAAGGGATTAGTGGCATTACGTCTATCTTCTGGCTACTTACCATGTCTTTCATGCTCCCAATTGCCACCTCCACTGGCAACTGCTCCAGGGGCATCTGAAGCGTCCGCGTAAAGCTCTTTCCGCAATCTTTCTCGTTGCGCCTGCGCCCCCCATCCACCGCGACCAGCATCATAGTCAGTGCGGTGTTCGTCTCGTACCTAGACGCGTCGTTAGAGTGATACATGAATCAATGAAGCCGGTACCTGGCCACCACTTTTGCCTCGCCCGAACTGACGGCCATCGGTGTAACCTGTGTCTAGATCGCACCTAACAATACGCTCGTCAAGTTTTGTTCCACTGATATACTTCAATGCAGCCAGTGCTTCGGCATGGGTGTAGAATTCAACGAAGCAGAAACCACAAGGTGTTCTGAATGTAGGATGGTTGAGCGGTCACGGTGCCCATGCGGAGATATCTCATACCTTGTGTTACGGTCGAGGCCCATGATGATTCGTTTAACACCACCACCGTCTTCAGGTTTGGCGCATTTTGCAAACACTTCGTAGATTTGTTCTTCCGTGGTGTAGAATGATAAGTTCCCTATCTAGACATGGCTCGGTTAAAGGAGGATCGGGCTTGGAGATGATGGGGATGGTACATAGAGTGTGCTGGAGTGGGAAAGCAGCTCGTTCGTATCTCTTTGCTGCAGCAAGTCTGTATTGAGCACGGTGTTCTGTTCTCCTTGCAAACTTCACGAACATGCCGAGCTTGTGAATCTCTGTAATTCGAAGGCAAGTCTAGCGCAGCGACTACGTGAGCCATGAGGGGATAATGAGTTATGAGTCGAGTGCTGCAAGAAACCAAGTTAGCGGTAATTGCCTTGAGTTGAATTTAAGGTTTGTTCAGTGGCAGCATATTCTTCCGTCGGAGACGCGTTTATCTTGTTTTCCTCACCTCTTTCCGCTGCCACTCGTGACTTCTCGTGTCTGATACTTTATCGAACATCTCCACTCCTTGTTCTTTGGATATCGAGACATCTCTCGTAACCTAACGAATTCGATTACTCATCTTCATGGAGGCAAGGGTTTTTGATTCCATCTTCATCCGATCTAGGTACTAACGCTCGAATTTAAGGCCGTTCTCGACTTCTCAAAGGAAACAGATGTGGCGCTTTTGGATGAAGTCGCCAACGCGCTCTATTTCCGTGTTGGAGACGAGGTCAGCCCAACGCAGACTATGGAGGATTTTAGGCGCGCTACTAACTCATTCTTTACCATTCATGTTTTACTTGTCTAGCAAAAAAGGGCCCAACAGATAATGACACAATTTCAGGAGCACCCTGACGCGTGGCAACGTGTTCCGGAGATCATCGAGCGAACCCAAGTTCCACAGAACAAAGTAAACCACTATGTTCTCTCCTAGTTCGAATCAGGTTGTGATAACGGATTTAGTACTTGGGACTCAGTATCTTGGACAAACTTGTTCAAACACGATGGAAAGCCGTTCCGGAGGACCAGCGGCAAGGTAACTCTCCTAATGCCATTATCGCTCATATTTTCCACCTTACAACGAAAAATAGGTATCAGGAACTTCGTCGTAACCACCACTTTAAGCGTAGCGGCAGACGAAGAGAGCATGCGGCGGCAGAAGGTCTATTTGGACAAGCTAAATCTTTTGCTGGTTCAGGTCAGTCGTGTCTGATCACATCCCGCGATGCTTGATTACTTACAGGGTTGTCATTTCCTCAGATCTTAAAGCAAGAGTGGCCCCATAATTGGCCAACTTTCATCACGGAGATTGTCGCGTCATCGAAAACCTCGCTATCTTTGTGTGAAAATAACATGGTTATCTTGAGATTGTTGTCCGAGGAGATCTTCGACTTTTCAGCTGAATCCATGACACAAGAGAAAATCAAGAATCTGAAAAATTCTCTATGCGGAGAGTTCAGCGATATTTTCCAGTTGTGTCTGGAGGTCTTAGAGAAAGCGCAGAAACCCTCACTTATTCGGAAGACACTGGAGACTCTCCTCCGCTTCCTTAACTGGATTCCGCTGGGCTTTATCTTTGAAACTTCCATCATTGATCAATTGCTTAACCGTGTGAGTGTCTGATGAATCTAGCTTCTTCTGCCACTGTCCTAACATCAAGTGGTAGTTCCTCGAACCCCCCGAGTTCCGTAACATCACTCTCAAATGTTTGTCTGAGATAGCAGCTCTTACCGTTGGTCCTGAGTACGACCCCCAATTCGTCATCCTGTTTACCATGGTCATGACTGCTGTGAACAAAATGGTCGGTCGTCTTGTCCCTTGTCACATTGACTCGGCGATCTCAATCCTTTTCATTCTAGATTCCGCCGTCAACAGGTAATGCTCTTGAATCAACCAGAATAGGTTCTTTTGACATCCGAAATAGATATTGCCCGCGCCTATGCTAGCTCTGGTGACCGCGATCAAGAGCTTATTCTCAATCTGGCTCTCTTTTTGTCCAACTTCCTCGGGAATCATCTTCGAGCTATCGAAAATAGGGAACACAATGATGTCCTCCTCAACGCTCATCTCTACATGGTCAAGATTTCCACAGTCGACGAGCGGGAAATATTTAAAATCTGTTTGGAATATTGGTCCAAGCTCGTCTCGGAGCTTTACGATGAGATACAGAGTCTTCCCATGGCTGATATCGTCAGTATCCACTTGGGTGTATCTACCGGTGTACCGATGGGGGTGAACTTGAGGAAAAACATCTATGCTGATGTTCTCTCGAACCTGCGACTGGTCATGATTGAGAAGATGGTCAGACCAGAAGAGGTGCGTCACCCTTCTATTCTAGTCTCCCGCGCTTACGTACTCCATTCTTAAGGTCTTGATCGTGGAAAATGACGAAGGTGAAATTGTTCGCGAATTCCTGAAGGAGGTGGATACCATTGTGTTGTACAAGCAAATGCGACTGGTGTTGGTATTGTTGACGCACTTGGACGTTGTGGACACCGAAAATATCCTTCTGGATAAGCTTGCAAAACAGGTCCGCTAATGCGTTCACTTTGCGGAATTTAACACTCACACTTGCGTTTCAGGTGGATGGGTCCGAATGGTCATGGAACAATATCAACACCTTATGCTGGGCCATTGGTTCAATAGCCGGCGCCATGAGTACGCAGCGAGCATCCGTGCATTTTGGGTTTTGCTTAATCTGTTGCATTCTGTGCAGATGAGGACACGGAGAAACGATTTCTTGTCACTGTGATTAAAGATCTTCTAGGGCTCACCGAAATGAAAAAAGGGAAGGACAACAAGGCTGTTGTCGCATCCAACATCATGTACATTGTCGGCCAGTATCCACGATTCTTGAAAGCCCATTGGAAGTTCCTTAAAACAGTGGTCAACAAATTATTCGAGTTCATGCACGAAACACATGAAGGTACGCTGTTAAATCACGGATGAGATCTATTCCTGATGAAAATGGGACGTAGGTGTCCAGGACATGGCATGTGATACGTTCATCAAGATAGCGCAGAAGTGTCGTCGGCACTTTGTCATGCAGCAGGCTGGCGAAGTCGAGCCTTTTATAGACGAGCTTCTAAGGAATCTGCATAGAACCACTGTCGACTTGTCACCAGCACAGGCAAGCTTTGCATTTGTTGAATCGTTTCTTGCCATTTGCTGACATTAATGCACATAGGTTCACACCTTCTACGAAGCCGTGGGTTATATGATCTCTGCACAGCCGAACAAGCCTGTTCAGGATAAATTAGTCGCCAAACTCATGGAGATGCCTAATAATGCCGTGAGTCGTAGAGTTGGCGCAATTGTTACCTTCCCGTTTACCCATTGTATCGCAAAGTGGGATTCTTTAATGGCGCAAGCTGCCAGCGGAGGGGTAGAAGTACTCAGTAACACGGAGAATCTAAAGATTCTCTCGAATGTGTTGAAGACCAACGTATCCGCCGCAAAGAGTGTCGGCCAATTCTTCACACCTCAATTAGGACGGATATATATGGACATGCTGGGCTTGTACAGAGCCGTTAGCTCCATCATTAGTGAGACTGTTGCAACACAAGGTGGAGTCCGCGTTGGCGTTTGTCCTGTCAATTACTGACATCTTATGTAGGGCTTGTTGCTACCAAGACCCCAAAGGTCCGTTCGCTAAGGACCATTAAAAAGGAGGTTTTGAAACTTGTGGATGTGTATGTCAGCAACACTGAAGACCTCGAGTCCGCAAACACAAACCTAATGCCAGCCTTGTTCGAGGCCATTCTGGACGATTACAACCGGAATGTTGCCCCAGCTCGTGACGCAGAGGTGCTTAATGTCATGATTACGATTGTCTCGAAATTAGAAGTAACTCCATTTCAGTTCAACCTTGATGTTCAGCCACTTACCGTTCCTTGCTCCTCGCTTCGTCCTCCAGAGCCTCCTTACCCCCCAAATACCAGCCATCCTTGACGCCGTATTCCAAAGTACCTTATCCATGATTAGTGAAGATTTCTCTGAGTACCCTGAGCACCGACTGGCGTTCTTCAAATTGCTCCGGGCTATCAACCTGAAATGTTTCCCCGGTCTGTCTCGATGATGATGTCTTTGTACTCAGACATTGATCCCTTTTCTAGCCCTCCTGACGTTACCGCCGGCAGAGTTTAAGCTTATTATGGATAGTGCTGTGTGGGCCATTAAACACACGATGCGTGATATTTCGGAGATTGGTCTTGGACGTGAGTGTTGGCATCATTTGCGCTTTGGTAGAAGCCTGACTCGCTGTGTAGTCGCGAACGAGATAATAGACAACTTCGCAGTTAGCGAACCGAATATTTCGAACGCATTCTTCCAGCAGTATTTCCTGAGCTTGCTTCAAGATATCTTCTTCGTCCTCACCGACACTGACCACAAGAGCGGTAAGCCTAAGTATTTTCGCTGACAGTGAATCACTCATTCGCCGTTAGGTTTCAAACAGCAAAGTATCGTTCTTGCGCGGATGTTCCAATTAGTAATGACCGGCCAACTCAATGCCCCCCTGTTTGATCCTGCAACTGTCGGGAATTCATCAATGACCAATCAGGAGTTCTTGAAAATGTACACCGCCAACCTTTTGAAGACGGCCTTCCCACACCTTGCAAAGTAAGTGGTAGACACTCATTCAAGGCTGTCACCTGGATCCTCATCACCCCAAAGCGCTCAAGTGCAAGCATGTGTGTTACAAATGGCCGAATTCCACGGCGACCCCAACAAGTTCAAGTTAGCACTACGAGATTTCTTGGTGCAATTGAAGGAATTCTCGGGAGATAATGCAGATCTTTTCATTGACGAAAAGGAGGCTGAAGCAAAACTCAAAGCTGAGGCTGAGCTTCAAGCCGCATCACGAATCCCTGGCATGCTTAAGCCTTCGCAGATCCGGCCAGAAGACGAAGATCTATGAGATGGACGATCAAGCACCTCCCTTCACCCCACACCCCTGTCCCTTAGTTTCTTTGGTCTTGCAACGTCCAGAATGTTTTTAACCATGCTCGTTTGATCCAATCCTGTTCGGTGATACGGTTTGCCTTAATTATATCTGAAGGCCATTGGCTTATTCTTGCCTTTACTAAGCAGCCTCTCCCTGATATCAATTCCAGTCTACTTGTAATTACTCTAAACGAATGACCACAAGATGTCCGACTCTGTCGCACCATCATTTGCCGGAGGTGTCATTGCAGATTATGAAGCTAAGATGAATAACGAATGTCATCCGATTTTATGAACATCATGAGCACACACGAACGACTCTTCGACCTGGGCTTTTCACAGAAGCTAACCGGGGAGGATTCAATGCGTAATTTATTCTGCGCACAAGCAAACAGGGACCGTGTGTGTGTTGTCCGGATATTTAACGTGCCGGTATCACTCGGGAGTGGTTACCCGGCCTACAGGCCCAGGTATCATACACATTTCTATACCAAGGGTTCTACAGCCGGTGGGGACTGTCGCAGCATTTCGGTTCCTCTGTACAGTGTACGCAATTTTCGCAAACGTAGACGTCTAGCTGGGGTCTTGGTCGAAATAGCATTTTAATGGTGAATTTGATCCTACCGGTTCAATTAATTTGGATGCCGGAATTGATTTCCAAATATGTCATATCTTCCTCCGTGTACACAAGCCACAACACATAGCCCATAAGAAGCGGAAGCCCCAACACTCTTACCTAGGCTTTATATTTACCTCTCCTTCGCCCGTATCTCTCAAAGTCAGCATTCCGGAGCAACCATGTCGGTCGCCATACCCCCTCGTCCACCAATCAAAAGCACTGAGGTCTTCAAGGTGGGTCTCCGAATGATCCAATTGCACCGGCCATGAGTGCTGACGAGACGTTCACAATACGTGTTCACGCCGACGGTGGAAAACAGAAAGATATTTTCGAGGGGAAAGTTTTGTTTTGCACTGGAGGTCCTTCTGGGATATGCAAGGCCATGACTAAGTCTATTGTGAGTGTTCATTCTCAGTGGGAGGGCTGGTGGCACCGACAATGACTTCATTTCATGCCGACACCTCTTCATATCGTTACATTCAGATGTCGCATGGCGCCGACGCCATTATCATCGGCCGAAAGTGAGTCGGTGGCAAGCGTGGAGATCCGGACGGACGGACAGACATTGCTCACCCCCACTGTGTTGGATAGGGTCGATAAGGGCGAAGCTGCTGCCAAGGAACTTAGTAATGCGACAGGCCAGAGATGCGTTTTTGCACAAGCAGATGTTCGTGAGCCTGAACAGCTGAAGGCAGCTGCCAAAAAGTGTATCGACACCTTTGGGAAAATCGACTTTGTGATATGTGGTACGCTTCTGTTCTTTATGCATTTTTGGATGAACGTTTATTCTCGTTTCCGTTTATCTTCCGGGGGGCAGGGGCCGCCGGGAACTTTCTGGCGCCGATCTCTGGTCTTTCCGAGAATGCATTCGCTACTGTCGTTAGGATTGACACGCTAGGGACGTTTAATACGATCAAAGCCACCCTTCCCCATGTCCGAAGAACCCGTGGTTCGGTTAGTATCTTGGTAGCCTTCATCACCATGTTCTCCTTGCTAATTGGCGAATTTGTCAGTATATTCATGTTAGCGCTACTCTTCATTACTATGGTACCCCCTACCAAGGTATAGTCATTTGGAACGTATCTTGTGTACGCCCAACTGAGGGCGTCTCCGCCTTAGCCCACGTTTCAGCGGCGAAGGCTGGTGTCGATGCCTTGTCGAATGTCCTCGCCGTAGAGGAGGGTCCTCGTGGCGTCCGGTCAAATGTAATTGCTCCGGTAAGCTCTGATTTCATACATCGTGTTCTTTGTTGACCTTTGAAATGCCTCACTCATGCATGTAGGGCCCAATTCTGGGAACAGAGGGAATGGACCGTCTCACACCAGTGGGCAAGAAGGATGCTATCACTCGCTCTGTACCGCTTCAGCGCCAGGGTGGCTTAGATGATGTCCCGAATACAGCAGTGTTCTTATTCTCGGAAGCTGCCAATTGGGTGACTGGACAAATCATCGTAAGTATTGATTAACCCATCGCCCCTGAAACGTTATGGTGCTTATGCGTTTGGTGACCAGGCCGTGGATGGAGGTGCAATGCACACCAATAAGGGATCCCTTCCTTATCCAGACAGCGTTCTTGACCCCGAAGGGGCTACTAAATCTATTCGAGCGAAGATGTAAATAGCGACATGAAAGGTGGCGTGTGATTGATATCCTGCCTGCGCGAGAACGCTGTGTTGTGCATGTCCTGTAAGACCTCCATGCATCAGTTTTGTCACAGAACGTTCCGGTTAAAGCCTGCCGATGGAGCGACCCTCTGAGATCTCTGTGCGGGAAAATGAGGCAGCCTATCCCAACAAGATCGCGGTTGTACTGATCCGAGTTGCCTGAAATGGAGATCCGACTTGATCTGGGGCGTCTGGAAAATAAGCGAGACTGCCAACGTGCGTTTGTGATGGTGACGCGTGCCAAAGGAGACTCCACTCAATTTTCGCGGCTGAAGTGAGCCGATCATGATTTTCTGCCAGTGCGATAGCGCCGTCTGACCGGACGGCCTTCTTGGCCCTGAAGGGACTGCTAAGTCTATCCGAGCGAGGGTGTAAATTACAATACCAGTGATGCGTGTGGCGCGTGTCAGAACAGTCTCCATTCAATTATCGAGTCCTTCACCGGCGTAGCGCCCACAACATATCTTAACGGTTTGCGTAAGCTAGCGCGGGAAGCTGCAGACACATTCCTAGCCGATGAGACACGGCATAATGAAAGTTTAAGTTTCAACATCTTGGATTCTGAACCCACGCGTCGCCTTGTTACGATCTACATAATACTCAATTCGCAACGCGCCCAGATCAATCGAGGGGTAAGGATGGTCCTTTGCAGGGGGCGGGCGGAATGTAGGCACGTTGTGGCGCTTTTTGCCTGCCGAAGTCCTTCGGATGATTTTCTTCCAAGCCGTTAACTCTGCTATTGATGGCGACGGAGTAACGAGGGACGGTGTTGGGATACGAACTGCGAGTGCGATAGCGTAAGTTTGCACCGTCTGGCGAGCCATTGCACTTGTATGTTGGAACTTCTGGAACCATTTCATGCTCAGTCCGGTTGGCGCTTCGAGGCCAGCGGTTATTGATGCTTGGATTTGCAGAAGCCTTCCACAAAGTCTCAAGTCGACCACTTCCCGCACCCTCGTCACACATCTTCGCCCAGCACTTCGAAACGCTCAAATTTCGTGCCCTCCTGAGTCCGTCGCTTTTGCCGAATCCCTTCTTCGCGAGTCGGAAGGCTGCTTCTTCCCCTCACTCTTCACCCTCAGTCTACACAACTTTTCTCACATTGGTCGACCACTTTGTAGCCTGGTATGACTGGTGATCGCCGCTCGACGCGGCAGAACCCGCCACTCATTTCGCTCGATAAGACATGTATTTGGATGAGTACAAACCGTTCACAAAAAAGCCACGATTTTGTGCACACACCGCATTCGTCCGCAATGGAGTCACACATAATCCAACGTCTCTCGTCCATTATGGATTGAAAAGAGGAACGGAAGAATAAAAGCGCAATTTGAGGACCCCAAGTTGTGAAGGAGTTTGCAATAATAGAAGACCCCGTCGTTTTTTGCGTTCAATTCGAGACCGAAAAATTTACAAGAGCCCCTACAGAGTAGTGGGAATCACTACAGAAGCCATTACAAATTGGTGGCACGACTCGGAACATGAGCTTCAAGTTACTAAGGCAGAGTTCAGGGAAGCAGAAAAAGTCCTCAAACAACCTTCTCACTCACTTTGAGTCAGCTTGTAGAGTTTCGTGAGGACGGGTAGGACCCCAAGGCCCAGGGAGAGGGAAGTGAATCTTGTGGCAGAGTGCTAGTCGCTGCACTGGAAGCTGGTCGATTGTACCTCTGATATGATGCCCCGCGATAAGACCAAAAGGCGTCTCACTATAAATCGCAGACAGGCTTGATTTGGTGAGAAGTGGAAGGAGAGCGTCGGGACTATATGGAGCAGGCATGTGCACAATGTTAAGGAACGGGGCGTTGTACATTGCCTCGAGGAGATGATGCTGATTGTCGTCCTTCTCCTTCCAAGCCCAAAGAATATCGTAGGGAAACCGAAACTCAACGAGCCTGACCCATTTTTCCTTCATACAAGAACAGATGGCGGCAACAAGAGCCCGGCTGTGGGTGTTATTGTGGACGTTATTGGAGTCATTCAGTCTCACAGAACGAGGCTGAATGTACTGAATGGCTTTGCAGAGACCTCGGGTGCTGTCCGAGGAGCGGATCGCTAAGGAGAGACAGAGATGCGTGATATGGGGAGTCGCCTGAAGTATTCTGTGGGCCGTTGCACCAAATCCGCCGTTGAAGAGCAACTTCCGAACATAATTTCCAAGATATGGCTGGTCACTCAAGGTACGCCCGAGGCAGCGGGCCTGCGTAACGGTAGACAGTATGATTGTGAAATAAATGGGCGAACGCGCTACGCAATTCCACCTTCTGCAAACAAGCAGGGCAGCTGTGCGTGTGGTAGAGATGGGTGGTTTCGAGTTGAATCTATGTGCGAATTCAAACTCATCGTCGTCCAGCTTGCAGACATCCTGCAACACTAACGCGAGTATTTCACTTGGAAAGGTCTTCATCGACTGAAGGGGTGCGTCTCTCAGCTAGGCTAATGTCCACTGAATGGGACGCAAAGGACCCTGGGTTCCGTTCAATGCATTTCAGAGGACCTGGTCATTTTTTCCATTCAATCAGGGACGTTGTGACGTTGTGAGTCACCCGCCGAAAGTGCGCCCTGACGTAACGGATCCGATTGAAGCGTGGACCAGAACGAAAGCTCTAGCACCCGCTCCCAACGTTATGATACATCGAGGATTCGATATTGGCAGAATTTTTACAGTGTGGAGTTCCCACACGCCCGAAATTCAAGCTAGTAAACATCAGCTGTGAAAGGTGTTAAAGTACAGAACTAGTTTCCGATACTGAAGATTCATCATCGTCATCATCAGTAAGTGCTGATCTGACCTTTCTTGGTCAGTTTTCCCGACACATCGTTTAGGACAGGGAAGAACGTTGTAATTCCCTTTTATGGCATGGACATCGATTTGTTGTGGGCTCTTCTTGCCAGCAGCCATTGCCTTGCATCACCGCAGCCAACACATTCGTACTTCTCTCTAGAGATTCAGATGTTAGAGGTAGAAAATCTCCTCTCCCGCATCTCAAAAGATGCACATACGTTGCGAGGACACTTTCAACCCAACAGCACAATGATGCCGGACGACTACCCCTTTTCCTTGTTCACTGTCTACAATCCTTCCGACCGTCATTCCCAGCGAGAGGCTGCTTTGCAGTTTTTGGGGCATCTGGACGCACATTACGAAATTGTCTTTGGATTCTTGAAAATCATTCAGGAAGTCGAGGCCACGCTTCGAATTCGACGCGCACGCCTGCGCACTTCTTTGCAACCTGTCGCAGCAATGCCTATCGAGGTTCTTCAGATGATCTTTCGGTTCGCAATTCGATCCACCAGGCGCCGTCCCTTGGAATATATCGAACCCCTAGCACTCAGTCAAGTGTGCCCCACTTGGCGCCGTGCTGCCCAATCATGTCCGTCGCTATGGACCATAATCCGGGATACTCACGGGAAGAGACTTGGACCTAGTAACCCCTACATTCTATACTCCAAGGATCTTCCCCTACATCTTGACACCCGGGGACCGTCGACAGTTAAAGATCCCACGTTGCTGCTGCGCAACACAGACGCCAAAAGAGTCATTTCCCATCATCATCGTATCCAACATAATGAAAATGATGAGCATCAAGTCGCATCACCTAGGATAGGGGACTGTGAGAATCTTCGGCAGCTTGAGCTGTGTGTAGACCCGTATTTCGACGGGGTCACGCCGCACGGGCTCCATAAACTGAGGGAGATCCGCTCTTTGGCTCTGAGTGGCATAGATATTGGATGCGTACCGGCTACCCTCCCGTACCTGTCAACTTTCAAGTTCTCACTCTCACTCGATATGACCCCCAGGAGGATGCTCCAACTTTATCAGGTTAGCCGGGGCGTTGAACATCTGCACCTCTCTGTAAAGGTCTCGATGCGGAGGGAACCCCCTACGGTGATAATATTTGAGAAGCTACACACGCTGGAACTTGGTCTTCGCAACTTAACGATCCTGGACCATCTCTTCACTGAGATACATGCTCCAAATCTAGTCGACTTGGCAATCGATTTTGCCTCGGGGTGTGAGAAAGTCGAAACGGACTGGTACATTCCAATTCCAGAACCTACGTACACCCCCGAAAGGGGTTTGCTCCGTCTCAGGACTTTCGTAAGTGCGCCATTCCCGGAATCACTGCTCATGAAGTTGAACCGATTTACATGTAGCTCATAGATGCGTCACAAATTAGAGGACTTCGATTTCGAACGAGGTCTGCATCCTGGTTAAGGATCATCTTGGAACTTCTAGTCTGCCTGCCATTGCACAGCTCACGTATCCCGGCCCCAAAACTCAGTCATCTTACCCTGATATTTGATCCACCCCTTGATTTACAACAGGACGAAGGTCCTGGCTTTGGTCCCCGAATACTTAAGCAAATCCTGAAAAAGCGAAAAGAGTTCGGATTTGGGATCGAAAAACTGTCTGTCTCCCGAAATCTGCTTCCAACCGGTAAATCCTGGCTTGAGCAACTTGTTGATAGATGGGAACATGTCGAGGACTTCCCGCTTCCAGAGGATGAGTATGCCACACCTTGTGATACATGCGCTTTTCATGATTAGATCTAGTTCGGTGCCTCTATTGGATTGGCGATAGGCAGTACATACAATCTGAGGTTTTAATGCAGACTGCTGGCCAATGAGTCGTTCGCGGTTTTGACCTATCAAGGCTCATGGATCATGGGTGACAGCAACGTAACACTCAAGAACATGGCGGAAGACCTTAGGTAGCCCCCAGGTTGTTACCCACCAACACTGCGCCCGGACCCAACGGACCCGCGCCGAGGATTTTAACATCGGCAGAAAATGTCCCTGTCCTTACCCGCCAACAGTGCCTTGAATCTTCTGGAATTTTTACATACATGCATAGTCCCCAAATGGTCAAATTTCAAGTACGTTAGTAAGAGTCGGTTGTGAAGAGTGTTAGCTAACACGTCCATGCAAGTACTACTGGTCCCGCCTTTTCTG